ACAGCAAGTTAGTATGGTTGCGTTGACGAACTTGCAGATTACATACCCAGTCATCTGCGTAAACACCTGGACCAGCGTAGCATGCATGAGTCTCTTCCGCCATACCGGGACAGTGAACATGACCTTCCAGCCCGGCGCTGTAATCGCCTTCTCAGCGTCAATAGTCAATTTGATTTCATTGAATTCGCTCTGGATCCATTCGTCGTTCGTGCCATTGTAGTGCAGTTTCTTAAGTACCCTCAGAGCGTCGTCTGCACGATCGATCTCGACCAGGTACCTCGGTGATTCGGGGAAGAACAGCATACCACATAGAATGATGAGACACGGGATGCATTGGAAGGCAAGTGGAAAGCGCCAAGAGAACGACGACGTTGCGGGTACCTTCGAGGAGCCGTAACCAACCCATGTCGAGACGATGAAACCTACACCAATCATTTGCTGGGTAAGACCAGTTATGAGACCTAAGCATATGAGTGATTAGGATTTTGAGCGGATTCAAAAGTACTGACCTCGTGTTTTAGGATGAGCACATTCAGTCTGGTAAATTGGCACAGACATGGACATCAAACCTACTGCCCACCCAGCCAAGATTCGTCCAACGAGTATCATAGCGAGATCTTGAGCGGCGCATTGAAGGACGGCTCCAACCAGGTTTATGAAGGCACCCATCATGATCGTTTTCCTGCGGCCGAATCTATCCATCGTGAAGCCTCCCCTAGCATTTGTCAGTATATGTCGAGAACTTTGCGCAAGGGCCGTTCTCTTACATCATCGAACCAAAGAAGGCTCCGCCTGAGAACGTCGCGTTGATGGCTCCTATAACTGGAGATGTTTTATCTGTGCTGAAAAACTCAAGAAAGTTTGGGGATTGAATGACAATCGTCATTACTCCGGAATCATATCCGAAGAGGAAGCTGCCCGTGCCAGCGAAGATCGCAAGGGCGACGTTGAAAATGAGACCCATGCTTGCTGCCTTCGTCTACCGACACACCGAAGACTGGATGAGGTATGGAATACTGGGAGAACACTTGATATCAACGTGCTGCTGCAGCAGGTATATATTGGCCCAAGCAATGATGTACTCGCGCCATCGACGCATGCTGGTCATGTTACATCCCCAGGGCAGCCTCGCGTAACAAGCATTTTAACCGGAAGCTCGCGCCTAGCTTCCACTGTGCGCTCATACACAAGCTTTAGAGGTGTCCGCTGGTAGAAAATTATTTGCTGATCTGAGTGAGTAAAACCCGGGGAACAAGTCGAAGGATGTTGGGGTGCAGTAGCGTGCGGGGAGGTATGTTGAATTTCCGCCAATGGATAGCGTCTGCCACCAGCTCGCTTCGCAGATGTAGCACCGTTACAGCGGCTCTACTTCATGTTCGAAGCCCGTCACTACGAACGATCGCAAGTGCAGGATGCATGGCCTCTCATGATGGCCGGCCCGCCTGCCTATCCTAGCTTTGAGACCTTCCAATCCCCACCCAGTACATCCATACCCTTGAGCTCACCATCGGCGTTGACCTCTAGGAAGCCCTTCTGTTCGCCTTTGTTATCCACCAGAGTCGCTTTGTCACCTTCCCTCACGCCATATAGTCTAATTTCACCACCAGTAGCGAGCCATTCATAGCTAAAGCCGCCCTCGCCTTGTGCTTGTCCGAGCACCAACACAGTGCCTTCTCTAACAAACAACGGCAATTGGAGGAAGCCATACTTCTCCTTGATCCACCTGCCACCCTTTACTTCTTTGCCGTCCCAAAAGCTGAACCAACGACCGGGTGGCAGGTAGTACTCAACGCTGCCGTCTTCTTCAAAGACAGGGGCAGCTAGGATCTGACTGCCAACAAAGAATTGGCGATCCACATACCAGGATGTTGGGTCATCTGGAAACTCAAGAGCTGTCGCACGAACGCTAGTGGGCCAGCCATTAGCAACGCTCTCTTCGGCCTGTGCGAAGAGGTATGGCATGAGGCCGCGCTTGAGCTGCACCCAGTGTCGGAGAACCTCGGTGCAGTTTTCAGGCTCCGCTGATGAGTTGTCGACTAGCCACGGCACGCGGTATGAGTTCGAACCGTGAAGTCGACTGTGGGAGTTGAGCAGTCCAAAGGCGACCCAGCGCTTGTAGATCCAAGGTGGTGGGCTTCCTTCGAAGCCACCAATGTCACTTGTCCAGAATGCGAAGGATGCAAGCCCGATACTCAGCCCTCCGCGCACCGATTCAGAGAGTGCAGCAGGTGTCGATTCGCAATCACCGCCCCAGTGGAGTGGAAAGCGCTGTGATCCCGCACAAGCCGTGCGCGCGAATAATATGGCTTCGTGCTCACCCTCTCGTTTCTGCACTGCCTCATAGACCAACTTGTTGTAGATGAAAGCGTAGTAGTTGTGCATACGACTCGGATCTACGTTTTTGTCATGCCACTGGACGTTCTTCGTGGGTATACGTTCACCGAAATCCGTTTTGATAGAGTTCACACCCACATCAAAGAGTTTCTCCATGCACTCGCGGAACCAATCGCAAGCCTCCGGATTTGTAAAGTCGACAATCCCCATGCCAGTCTGCCAAAGGTCCCACTGCCACACATCTCCGTTCGTCTTCTTCAGCAGATAGCCTTTCTCGGCAGCATATTTAAACACCGGGCTTGCCTGACCAACGTAGGGATTCGTCCAAACACTGACTTTGTTAATAAGTCCGTCGTCCTTCATGCGCTTGATCTGACCCGCCGGGTCTGGAAAGCTTTCGGGGTCCCAGATGAAGTCACACCAGTGGAAAGCACGGAGCCAAAAGCAATCAAAATGGAACACTTCAACTGGTATCTTGGAGTCAGACATCTTTTCGACGAAATGACGGACAGTCTGCTCATCGTAAGATGTCGTAAACGATGTGCTGAGCCAGAGACCGTACGACCAAGCTGGAACTCTATTCGATCTGCCAGTGAGAATGGAGTACTTGGTCAGTACTTCTTTAGGAGTTGGTCCGTAGATAAGGTACCTTAAAAATTAGCCAATCAAACCATCGAAGCCGTTCACGATGCTCACCATTTCAAACGCTGCCCCGCAACTGTAGTCTGCAACCTTGAGCATCGTTCGCTGCCAATCTCCATATCGATCTTGTCGGGTGTATCGATGAAGACACCATAACCTTTCGAGCTCAGCCAGAATGACACGTTCTTGTATGCCTGCTCGCTTGAAGTACCCCCGTCCTCGTTCCATACCTCGACATTCTGACCGATCTTGTTCCAAGCACCAAAACGTTCACCTAGGCCGTGAATAGTTTCGCCAACACCCAACTCAGTCTGAGTGAACATGTAATGTTTGTGTGCACTCAGATCTTCCACAAGCTTGGGTGTGCTAAGGGCTGGCGAGTACGCTAGCCCGACGCTTCGGTTGAGAAGTGAAGTCAACGTCTTTGACCCGTCCGTTGCATGGAATTTGATGTCGAATGTATGTTGATTAGAGCTAACAGTCGCACTCAATCCGCCTGAAACGACCGTGGTTCCCTTCTCGGTCTTGCTAATCTCACCCGTACAGTTGGGTTTGCCCGCTGGGTATAGATCAAAGTTTGGACCTAGACGCCTGGCACCAGCGAAGTGCGTGGCTTCGAGCGAAATAACGCCATCAAATTGAGCCTCGATGTCGATGGAGATGGTGCTCAGATTCAAAGTGTCACCTCTAGTGAAGATCTTCCTACTTGGACATAAGAGTGTGACCGCTTTGTTGTTTTCATGAGGCGTGACGGTATAAACTTCTTCCGCATGTTGAACTGTGAAACGGTCGTTGACCAGCCACATCCCTATGAAGTTGTGAGCAGTGAGAATTACTTGGGCCGTACAGACTCGTACCATCGCGGAATTTCATCTTGGCTTCGTCCTTGAGCTCAGATGCTTGAAACGACCTATAGAATAGTTGATTGATGACTTCAAGCCACGTCTGGTGGTGTCGTTTTCTGTAGTTCCCAAGATATTCAAGAATGCCATCATAGCACTCGGATATGCGGTCCGGCCCGTGGGCGATGCTAGGAGTGTGGAGGACTGTATGGACGGACAGTTCGGTACCAGATTACCCGATGCCCCTCGCGCTGCGGGGTACGGCTCAAGACACTACAGAGATCAACAGCAATTTACTCGACAACTGAGAGCCCATCCAGAGAAGCTACCATATCAAGCAAATGGTACCCAGCGGAGGACGTGGACTTGATCATTTCCGATTTGCTTTTTAGCCGGCTACTCGAGCATGCAAGGGTCACGAAGTACTTGCCAATTCCCGCTATAAGACTCGTGTAGCGTCTGCGCGGCACCTTCTTCACCATCACCTGAGCGTTTTCATGAGCAGTGCGCATCGGAATAGTTTCCCGTCCTGAATCATGCGCAATCACAAAAGAGAGTTTCGACGATACCTTCCACAAGGGTTGTCCAAGGGCACGTGAAGGGGAACTCGCAAGGCACCGCGTAAGCAATTAGCCACTGAAGGAACGATGGACTGATCCTTGAGAGCGACTTCCTGCCAAGTTTCCCGAACCGTCTCTTTACTTCACGGCACTGCGTGAGGCTGCACTTCTGTCCACAGCACCACTTAGACGCGGGAATTCCAGAGTAAGGAGAACAACGAGAAGCGAATGGGAGTCTGACCCTGGTGCCGGAGACATCTCCGGCGCGAAACGTTGTTCACAGACCCACTACCCACTGTCCCCAACAGGGCGCAACGTTGTCGCAGTCGCCCAATTCGTCTTGTCATCCGTGCAAGGCTTCCGCACGGTCAGTGTGTGTTGTTGTCCCACTCGTAGGGTATCGTCGTCCATTATGATAAGCAGATCTCATCTAGCTCCTGAAAAGCTTGAACTGTTGTGTGATTTGTTAACGCAGGCATGCCCCGAGACGCCCCCTTTCTGCAACGTACTTAGCTTTCCCGTCGCGTGCGGTGTTCTCCTACCGCATTTACTCCAGTTTACCACGATACGATCGATCGGGATCCCGAGATTAGATTCTTTTCCTGCCTTCCAGAACAACGACATGCCGATATCAGTTATTTATTTCTATCTTCGCCGTCCAGATGTTACTCCGGAGCACTTTCGATCTTATATGGAAGGCACGCATGTACCATTGATCAAAGAAGTGTTTGAAATGCATCCACCGCAGTCTCTAAGGTTGCGTTACATAGCACGCGTCAAGACTGGGGCTGGTGACCGGTTGGGCGCTGTCACATCAAGCAGAGGACGAGCGGATCCAGATGCGCCAGTTGTCTTGGTCGGGTCGCCTAAGGATGTAGATTGGGATGCAATTGGAGAGATGGTTTTCCGCGATGAGTTGCACGTCCAGCAATGCCTAGCGGTGATGAACGGTCCAGGTGGACAGCGGATTAAAGAGGACGAGGAAATCATTGCGATAACGGAGAAGACCCGGGTAATACTTATGGGCGAGGAGAGCAATTTTATGTAAACTGCAAAGGCGTACACGTGCGTAGCTAGAGGTGGATGGAATTTTAGGTGAGTCGCCGCGTACTCGCAGTGTATGGATGGTCTGACATTGATATAACAGGGTATGTCAACGAGACAAAGCACAACAGTCACTGGTTTCTATTAGAGGAATGCGCGATCTACTATCAATACAGTTAACGACCCCAAGTGTTTGATGCTCCTGGTTGTTTCATACATGAAGATGCTCTGACATCTCCGACAACACGCGAGGGGGTGGCTCAAGTGACTGTAGAAAGTTGCAGTTTGATAAAGAATAATGAGGCTGGTCCCAATCACCAGGGGATATGCATCCGAGCTGCAGATGCTACCCAGCCTGCGAAGTTGCGCTCGTTCATGGTTGGTTTTTCCGGTTGTTTCAGCAATAGGCTATTAATGCGCTTGACGAAACCTTGCCGTCGCATTCGACATACGTGTCGCCAGGCGGGTGGGTCTGGGCGCTCTTGAACGCGCCCAGGCAGTAGGAAACTCGACTCAGCTGTGCAACTAGAGCCGACTGTACAGTATTGTGCAGAAGAGGGGCAGAGTATACAGAGATAGATGCGGAATTTCCGAACACACGTCAGATCGTCATCACGTGATAGCGTCGTCATTAGAGAACCGTGGAATCTTGGAATTCGCTTTCCCTTGGCAACAACAACCCGCTGCTATCAAGCGGATAACACCTGCATGTTTCGACACAGCGGCACAAAACGAGAACCTGAGCACGAGGCTTACACGCGAGGTTGACGGTCGGGATTGAATCATAAACGGGTTCTCAGAACGCGTCGCACCAGCGCGCCTAATATCGACCGCTCGATACCCAACTAGCACTACAAGCTGATTAGTTTACTGCCTACCCAGTGTATACTTAACCTTTGTGTATATCATACTCTTGTTTCTTGACACAAATTCATCATTATTAGGCGTCTTCGCACTTTGGTCGCGTCTTATGTTATGTCGTTAGCTCATTGTTGCGAAGAAAGTCGTCTGCCCCAGATTTACCAATTACGCCAGATAGCTCCCGGGACTTTTTTGTAGTTGGTACTGTCACAGTAACGACGGAAGAGGCAGCCAGTATCTCTGGAGGATACAACCCAAACGACAGGCCGTCGGTGGCTTTCAAATTCTTTTGCAGAGCCTCCATTCTGTTCCGAATTACTGTATAGCTACCCGAACACTACCACGTAAGGAATATCCACATGCCCAACATAATATTCACTTATGCTCTATTCGAGGACTTCAATGCTACTTCTCAAAGTCATGAGAAATGCCGATCACCTCTTCTAAACTCTTCTCGGTACTGTCCCATTCCTTACTCACTACATCAAGCACCCATCTCCCCCTAGGCTTGAGACAAAACTTGAAAGGCTTAGGCTCAGTCATGAAGCCAACGACTCTCATCTCCTACGGATCCACTTCCTCATCCTCTAGAGCCTCTACATCGAACGCCCAGAGTAGATGCGCGATGTTCATGAAAGTTTCGTCTGTAGCAACACGCTTTCCTTGGCAAATCCTTCGACCCTTGCCAAACACAGGAAGTGGAAGGTCGTCGCGAAGCTTTCGATTGCATAACCAGAGCTCAGGGACAAGATCTTGTGCGTCACCAAGTGAAGCGTCAAAAACCACCTCATCGCGGCCAATGGTCCATGCGTCTGCCATGATGGTTACGTCTTTGGTAATCTTCACGCCATCGAATTTGTCAGTACGGTCCACACGTCGTGGAATAGACCCTGGAGATATAGGCCGCCAGCGGAACAGTTCATGTGCGACAGCATCAACGTAGACGAGGTTATTCCGGTCCGAGAATCTAGGAAGCCGTTCGGGGCCAACGAACTGGTCTAGAACTTCATGCGCATGGGTCAAAACAACGGGTTTCTATGTAGCTGCGACAAAGAGCCAGAGTAATTGGCGCGATGACCTTTCCATCCCGCCCTGGATAGATGTCGCGAGCGTGAAGGCAAGGACGAGATCTGATACTGGTGAGTTCACAAGAGCGTGTTTTGATGCGGTTGTGATGGCTTGCTTTGTTGCATTGCAACCCAGTGCGCCCTTACCGAGGCGAAATAGGCGCATATACAGATCGACCTGAGAAGTGTAGAGCTTGTCAGCATATTTTTGCCACGGGGAGATGAAGGCGGGCAAGTAACGAAGGAAGGGCACAAGGTCTGGAAGCTGAGGATTTGCGGCAAAGTGAGTGACTTTCGCTCGGATGGCAATAACCTCATGGAGAAGTGGCTCTTCAAACTTGGGTATGCGGAGGCCATAATGAAGGGCAAGGATGACGCTAGACTGGGTTCGCTCGAGTAAAGGGTAGATGGTCTTCGTAGTAATTGTGAAACCGTCTGTGGACTTCCTTAAGGCAGTAGCGAGGTCAAAGAGCAGTTGTCTGGCCTCGTATTCCATCAGCGGCTGAAATTTGGCCGCTGCAGGCGCACCCAGGCTTGGTGATAGGACGCGATGATGCAGCTTGAGATGATCGTCATAATCGTGCATCAGCGTAAATCGAGAACAGCCTGGGGCTGCCCCCGTAATCATCTCCATGCTTACGGAAGTCGGTCGGTTGCTGTACCATTGACTGCGACGACTGAAAAGTTCAGTGACGGCCTCGTACGAATTGAGTACGACAATGGGTACAATTCCAAACAGCTTGGGAACTGTAATCGGCCCGTGTTGTATAGACCAGGCGCTCCAGTTTATCAGTGGTTTCTCGATCGGAGAGCTGTGAAGATCACTAATAAGGGGAAGTTTGAGGAGGGACTTTTGGAATGCATTCTGGCCCTTATTGTTGGTGCAAAGGTAGAGTACTGCCAGGGCGCTCACGGCCAGAAAGACGGTCGCAATAAGGTTGGATATGGCTGAAAGATCAACCTTTGAAAGCTGTGGGAGATGCAATTACTTGAAAGCCCAAGAAGGCGGATAACATGCACAACATTACTCAAGTTTCTGCTTTAAGAGCCTGATCCTGAATAAGTTAGGCAGAGTAATATTCGGCAACAACATCCCCGGTGACCCATGTCACGGCCCATCCGAGATTGCGATAACGAAAGTATCGAGTTTTGATAACAGCGTCTCGGCGGAATGCCCCTGGTAGCGCGTATGGCGGATATTTTTGCATTCAACTAGACTGACATTGCAGGTACCGCCATCGCTCCTAAAATGAAAGTTGGGAATATCGAAGACCTTCTTGGGCTATCGAGGGACTACTTGTTAGCAGCCATGAGATATCTCGTAATTTGAGATAGGGCAGAGAATCCCCTGTATGAACATGCTCGGAATACGGATGGCGAGATTCTTCATGTCACATCACACGCATTATTCGGTGTCTTTGCAGTAGGCCCGTCTCTTCCTCCCGGTCCGGGAGCGGAATGCGCAGATTCGACCAGGATGACATACACAGATCTATCTGTGGTCTTTTGCACGAGAAGATAACTGTTGCGCATCCGACCAGCATGAGATATACGACGCTTGACAAGATATCCGAGAGGAATCTAGCTGGATGGGACTCCTGTAGTCGCACCTTTAGTGGTGTGGGTGATGTACTAGTCAGATTAAGCGCTCAAACTGGGGGAGAGAACGGCCCTTCAAGCTTTGGAGGGTCTGCACAACATGGCCATATTTCCTGTCGATACTCATGACCAAAAGACTGTCCTAGGTGTGGCATTCTCTTTCTCCTTTCTTGCCGTCCTCGCCGTTGTCTTGCGCTTGACTGCCCATGAGATTGCCCGCAAAAGATGGACACCCGCCGACTATCTCATCATCACTGTCTGTGTAAGAAGCCTAGAGTTAGCAATTGTGACTACCACTAATCAGGTCGAGATTTTCGCCGTTGGCTTGCAAGCAATCAGCATCACTGGTGTCTTCCTCGCTGGCATTGGCTACGGGCACGTTAAGGACATCGTAGCAGAATACGGCCTGGAACCTTTCACCAAGCTCTCGCAGATCGTTATACCCTTGCAGTTTCTCTGGGTTCTCAGCCTCGCTTGTGCCAAGATGTCGATCCTTACTCTGTCTGTTTTCATTTTCCCAATTCGATGGGTTGTTTGGGGCTCCTACGTAACCATGGCTATCCTTATTGCTTGACGATCGGAACAATTCTTGCTGACTGTTCGATCTGCCGGCCTATCGCATTCAATTGGGACAAAACGATTCCTGGAGGAACTTGCGGCGACCAGGCCATGTAGTTCACGATCAGTGGAGTCATCAACGTCGTCACTGATGTTGTAGTGCTTCTCTTACCCATGCACGCTCTGTACCACCTCCAGATGGCTATGTACAAGAGAGTGGCCCTCGTTACCGTTTTGGCCTGGGTATCTTGCAAGTTGCAGCAAGATGTCAGTCCGAACCATGGTCTAACGGAAACAGTACGTGCATCATCAGCGCTCTTCGCATCTCTGTCTTGTCCAGTATGGACTTTCCAGATATTGCCTTCACAATCCCGAGAGCCAATATTTTCAGCTGTCTAGAGCCCTGTCTTGCCGTGGCTCTTGCCTGTGTTCCCCTGATGCGTCCACTCCTCCGCCAATCTACACCAACACCTTATGGCTTAGGGAAGAAGTCTGCGAACACCGAATCGAAGTCCGCTGGTGTGAGGGTAGTGAGCGATGATGGATTCGAGCGGCTAGATGACGATACGAGCCACCTATGGCTCAGACCCATGGGACAGCAGCACCGTGTTGATGCCTCAGATCAGCGAGAAATCATACCTGAAGATGCAGGCCAAGGTGACTAAGAGTCTCTTGATAGGCAAGAGAGGGATGGTGGTATGAGCAGTCGATGCGTTGCATCGGAGCAGCCACAGACGTTGCGAAGGAATACTGCCGGTGAGCACGACATGAGCTCGGAATATCAGTAAGGAATCCATATGAGATGAAAGTACTGCAACGTTGAGATGCGTGTAATAGCTGTATCTGCGGCGTGGTATGTAAATTATGGATGACGCGACACTTAGTCGTATATAGCCGTAGCGCCACCGTTCGTTGCCGATAGCCGAAGCACAGGCACAGGCACCTCCCGCCTGTTTCACGTTTCCCTTCCATCGTCAAACCACCAGCATCGCCCCGCTACTATGCCGCTGTCACAAATATGGTAGCCGGATCGAGAACCAACCACTGGGTTTCCTATGGGATTGCGCACATTCGGGTCCCTGCGATATGCGAATGCACGGTAGAAGCGCCAAAGTGTCAAAGGTATGTGCTTACGCAAAGCAATTGTAAAGATCGAGGGATAGGGAAGAAACCCACTTGTGGTCTGCTCCTATGCTCAATATTTCAGCTGTCTTCACCAAGATCGGGAACCCACTCGAAAGATTCATCGACATTTCCGTCAGCCGCCTGACGCATGTGTCGCATCGTAGTATCAAGGTCCTCGTGCGACCTCACCAAAGCCGTCTACCACGACTTTCTTTTTATCGGCAGCTCCATGTTGTTCCGGGTGTTCGTTCCGCGCTCCTAAACAATCGGTGCCATGAGTACGGGTATGTGGGTAACGTCTTGTCTCAGGGCCAGGAACGGACAAAATACGATTGGACGTTCGACTCGAAGGAACCTGACAGCGGAACCCACATCTTGCCAACCGCACGACAAGGCTTGGTCCAATTACGTAGTGGAACCCGCGAAATTTGGGTGCAGTGTTAGGTTATTAACTGGACATCCTCCTCATCTATACCATCACGATGTCACTGTGTATTTGACCGTACCATACCTTTCTTTCCTATTCTTATTCTTCTTCCTTTGCAGCTGTGCTGCGTCCTCTCATTACGATGTTTTCCAACTCTACCGATAACGTGCTGGCCGCCCGTCACATACAAACCGATTCTGATGTTGAATATACAATCGACTACTGGGGCTATGCGGTCCGCAATTTTCCATGCACAAACGATGCTGGATCGTGTGAGTATCTCGATGCCGTTTACGGCAATCACTACACCTCGATGATTTTCACCTTCATTCTATGGGCTGTCCTCGGCGCGCTCTTACTTCTGACGCTCTTGTCTCGACTGGTTCGACCACAAAGAAGGGATGGTGTGAAGCAGAGCCTCTTGTACCGTCTAGTCAGTCTGGGGTCCTCTACCATACGCCGGCACCTCATGCCTGAATGCTCAAAAGTATTCAAATATACTACAAGGCTGCAGGTTCTGATCTTAGCGTTGCTATGTGCTTACCTAACAGCCTTCTCGTGAGTCAAGGTTCCAATGACAAATACAATACGACTGACTTTCAAAAGATTTGCCGGTATCACTTACAAAACTTGGATCACACCTATCAAAAACACAAACTTGCACAACACCCGAAGCGGCATTGGCGGCTTTGCCGATCGCGTTGGTGCCTTTGCATTCGCTTTGACTCCTCTGACTATCGCCCTCTGTAGCCGCGACTCTATTCTGAGTATGCTTACCGGCATTCCATATCAGAGCTTCAACTTCTTGCACCGCTGGACGGGCCGCATCATCCTTGTCCAATCGTTCGTACATGCCATTATCTGGACCATTGTCGAAGGAAAGCTATACCAGCCACAACCAACAACGTACAACGAATGGATCAGTCAGAAGTACATGATCTGGGGCTGTGTCGCGCAAGGGTTCATCACATTCTTATTCGTCTTCAGTCTCAGGCCAGTAATCCGCTGGACGGGTTATGAGTTCTTCCGCAAATCACATCTCGTCGTCGCTGGCCTTTATCTGGGGGCTTGCTGGGGCCATTGGGAGAAACTGTCATGTTGGATGATCGCGTCTTTGGCCATTATGGGGTTCGACCTCGTGGTGCGCACACTTCGCACCTGGCTCATACACACTGGGTACAAAGATGGAGGTCTTGGTTTCGGCTTCCGCTCTATTCCTGCAACCATGGAGACATTTAAAGATCCAACCGGAACTATCGTAAGGATGACATTTGCTCACCCCCATAGAGCGTGGGAAATCGGGCAACACTTCTACCTCACGTTTCCTGCGCTCAACATCTGGCAATCGCATCCTTTCACCCCGGCATCCAACCCTACGAGCTCCTCCCCAATTCAGAGCCATACTTACATCATACGCGCTTGCAAAGGCGAGACTGCCAAACTCGCTACTCTCGCTGAATCGGCCGCCAACTGCTATCCACGCCGTGAAGCGTCGACCCCAGTTATTATGATGGGCGTAAGTGTTTCGGTAAGAATTGCATGTAAGACATACACTGACTTCAAATACCTTCATCTAGCCATGTGGTAGCGCCATCATGAATGACGACTTCTCAAACATCCTCGCCATCTCTGGTGGCACAGGAATCACTTACACCCTGCCCGTTATCATGAAAGCGTTAAGCGACGCTTCCCCCGCGCGCAACATCGAATTAGTCTGGACTGTGCGACACCTGGAGAACCTTGCATGGATTGCCTCTGAGTTGGCATATCTGAAGTCACAACTCGATGGATTCCAAGCAGATTCGCCCTACAATGAGGACAAGCTAGAGAAGGCGCCGATAGTATCGGTTGAGTCAAAGAAGCGCTTCAGGATCAACATCTTTGTGACTCGGCCTGACCCAAGAAAGCATCAACAAGCCTCTTGGCAACCTCCTGTGGACAAAGGCAATGATTTTGGTGACAGCGATTCACTGTCTCAAGCAACTTCTATTGACACCATGCCTTTCGACCGCCGAGTTGAGGAACTGAGCCGTCAGTGCCCTAACTTCAGAATCACATGGCTAAATAATGCGCGTCCTGATGTTCCTTCTCTGGTCGATACCTTCATGAGCGAGACAGTCGAACAGGGAAGAACCCAAGTCATCGGCTCTGGCCCGCCTGATCTAGGTACACAGCTAAGAGCTGCTGTTGCGGCAAAGAATGTCCCGGGAAATGTCTGGCGGGGCGACGAGACGAGCGATGTCGCATGTGTCTGGGATGATCGCATGGGTTGAGAGATAGATTACGCTTGGTTACTTTCGCTGTGAATATTTGACCTAGAATGTATATAGACATGTACTTTACCAGTCTTCTTGTGCATGCGTTCAATCATTCGCTGTTCCTCAGAATCTTGTAGGACGAACGGACCTACTACACCCAAGCGAAGGCATCTTTCGAGTACTACATAACGCGTTCTTCTAGGGGGGAAACGGAACCAACAAGCGCTTTACAGAACATTCCCTAATCCAGCATCTCTGAGCGATTATCTTCGATCATCTCCTCACCGTCGAAGTGCATCCACTCCTCGAAAATTACGTCAGGGTCTTCTTCCAGCCAGTCGTCTGAAGACGTAGGGGTCATATCGCCCAACACATTGTCGCCTCTATTCGTCTCTCCAGACCCAACACCATTGTCTTGGATCCCAACAATTGAAGCCCATGACGTATGAGTGCTCTGTCTCAGATTCTCATCTACCTTGGCTGAATGAGAGTCCTTGTGCTCCGCACGCCCGGATGAGGATGGCAGTACGAGATTATTTGAGTCTTCCGCTTGGGTGAGTAAGGACGGGAGAACGAGGTCGTTCGTGTCGTCGTTTCGTTTGCGCGACGCGCCCTGAGCCCCATTGGCTTCCAAAAGATCTCTTATGTAAATCATCGCTTCCCTAGGTCTCCAAGACTGTTGGCTGTACGTTTTTGCTCTCTGTAAGGCAGAATCCCTAGTCCGTCCTTTCGGAGTGATGTTGATGTCGATATCCTTGTGATGAAGTAGGAGCTCTACGATGCCGATATTTGCAGATTCTACCGCAAGATGTAGCGGCGTATCACCTCTGCTGCCCCTATCGTTGACATCCAAAGCAGAATGGTTGAAACCTGCATTCCTTTGGGTGTGTTCAAGGAGGAGCATCGCGAGTTCTAGACTATTGTTTCTTGTGGCTCGGTGCCAGAAATTCGCTCTTCTATCTTTCGTGCACTGCTCACGGAATGCTTCATCGACTAAGAGTTTCTCCAGAATATCGATACGGTTTCCTACAATGTTTGTTCGGGTGGAGAGGTCGCGTATCGTACCTTGCGGAGAGGCTTCGTCATAATCGAGCAAGATCTCAACTAACAACCAATGTGCTCCCCTGGCTGCTTCGAATAATAGCGAATCTCGGCCATTTTTGACGTTGCCTTGATCGGTCCTAGGATGCTCGAGCAGTACTGCCAACGTTTGAGCGTGTCCGCGCCATGCTGCTACCTGACACGTGCTCAGCCGTGTACTTCCGACGATCTTGTTTACACCGATATCCTGCCGAAGCAGCAAGAGCTTTACGATCTCCGTGTGTCCATAGAATACGGCGGTTTGCAAAGGCGTTCTTTTGTAGAAAGATCCGCTGGTATCATTCACATCAAGTCCCCGTTCGTCGAATATTTTGAGCATCAGTTGTACGATCTCCACATAGCCTTTTCGGCAAGCAAGAAGCAGAGGGTTTGTTGTATAATTTCCCCACTCCGTCCCAGAGTCCAGAATGATACCAGGGTATTCAAGCAGCTTTTCCACAGTTTCGAAGTGACCACGCGAAGCTGCAATGTTTATAGGTGAGAGTCCACGGAACTTTGGTACCAGGTTTGGGTCGACGATTTTGTACTTGAGAAGAAGTCCAACAACCCCAGCGCGCCCATGGGCGGCGGCAAAGTGAATCAGATTGCCAGTACCCGAACCGCCAATAGGTTTGTTGATGATAGGGTCCAATTTCGTAGATTCTAGCAAACACTCCAGCATAGCTATACGTTCTTTCGAGATGATGCGGCATATGGTGGGCATTCTGCTGTATCGAATCCACTCTGGTGTAATATCGGGTAGCAACAACAGTGTAGCCATACTCGCTGTCTGCGTGGAACTTGCTGCAACGTCGAAAAGTCCACGCCCGGTTGCCCCAAGCATATCTCTATTGCAGATCTCCCACGCTTGCTGGAAAAGTCCATGCTGTTCTGTCTCTATCGTTTCGCGGAGGACATGTTTCGTAATATCTGCTGTTCTCTCCACAAGCACATTGAACGCGGGTACACAACGACCGGATACAGCCTCGTGTAGGGGTGTCCTTCCATTGTTATTGAGAATATCTGACTGAGCTCCCAAAGAAACGAGAAGGTGAATCATCTCAACCTGGTTGGTCCTGGCAGCGCAATGCAAAGCAGTAGAGCCATCATCGGCTTGTGTAGAGACGTTGATGCCTAGTTGAATGATGAATTTCACAGAACTAATGTTACCTGCTGATGCTGCTTGCATCAACGTCAAGGTGTTCGCCAACGACACGTCGCCCTGAGTGCTTGGTGATTCTCCAAGTGTGTTTGATGAGCAGGTGGTATCAGGCCTTGCTCGGCGGCGACTTGACTTAGATGTTTCAGGACCGATCTGAACCTGGGGGTGACTTTTCTGAATATGCTGGCGGATGTTGTCCTTGCGAGAAACACGAAAGGAGCAGCCCACAATGGGGCATGCATGTCGAGCTACGCCAAGTCGGTGCCGTGCCTGCACATGTCTAGTAAGATCAGAACGCAGAGCAAAGCTTCTAGTACATTCGCCGCATCGGAACGGCTTTGAGTGCGTCTTCATATGCTGACTATTGTAATATCAGCGTCCACCAAAGAGCAAGGTGCTGGTAGGTTGTAAGCTTACTTATAGCGGCCCAAAGTGTTGAAAGCTTTAGAGCATTGATTGCAACGAAAGACTTCGCTCCAGTCCATAGTCTGAAGACCGATGTCGTATGTAGGCCTTAGATGCCTATTCACGTCAAGAACTACCGCCTTAGATGAAGCCTTTTAAAGGTGTGCAGGCTGAGGCTTACGATAACCAACCAATCATTCGGCGAACAGGCGCCCTTCGCAACAGCGTTGCGCTATTGGCCGCCCTTTGACTGACCATGTTGCCTTTTGTTGTGTGTGTACCTAGCGCTCTCCATCTGAGTGTCTTCCTGACTCTTCCTTCCTACTCCCTCTTATCCACAGCTTCTGTTCGTCGCTCTGACAGCCATCGTCGCCTACAAGAACCAGCCACAGTGCACTGCTCGCGCCTTCCTCCACGGCTTTGTCATTCCACTCACGAACATTATTCACGACCATGAACCACCAGTATCAGCAACCATCTCCTACGAGATCGCGCGACAATATCAACCTCGACATGGAGTTCCTCGACGAAGATAGACGATCTGCCTTCAGCTGGCAGGACATTCAGCTGGCTACGTCAACTGCAGCCGCGAGCGCACAGACACTCCGTGGCGTAGCCAATCAGAGGTAATTTTTTTTTAACATCATGCAGTTATGCCTTTTCGCAAGGTCCTGGACTCTCGCAGACAGGCCTGCGCTCGGGCCATGTATACCCGCAAGAACTTGGCACCTATTCTGTGCTTGAGGCTCTTACTCAAGAATTCCTTGGCCCCTCGGATCCATACAACACCAACGGCAGTTTTTACCCATATACCGGAGATGCTAGTGTGTTCAGTAACTTTGCCTTCGATGATTTCGGTGCTCCTTCGATGGATGACAGCTTCTTGACATCGATGCCATTGCCTTCGCAGCCCGACTTTTTCCCGATTCAGCCTCCGTACCCTGCAGCAGGAACGGGTTATGCTTTCCAAACCATTGCTCCAGCTACTGCTGCGCAGATGAACGTGGCTGCACCACCTAACCGGCCTTCTGGTGCACGTGCCAACGCTCGTCACCGCACTGCCGAGACGCGCATCAGCTGCACCGTTGATGGTTGCACCAAGACCTTCCGCCGCGCTGGCGATTACCGCCGCCACATGCGGAAGCATCAAGACCCTATACTAAAGTGCATTGTCGACGACTGTGACATGAAGTTTTACCGCCTGGACAAACTTCGTGATCACATACGCCAAGGCCACAAAATGGTCTTGTAGATTCGAAGATTCTTCTTCGATACTGGACGCGCGCGGCTTGGTCTATGACCTTGAAGATGATCGGTATCGCCTTGAGGGTAGTTATTGGGATGTTGGATCTCTTGATGTTGTACCAAATTGTAACTTCTCATGTTTCATTCAGCCAGTCATTACCGGTGCTATAGACGCTCCTTACCATAAATAGTGAAATGCAACAATCATTACTGGTGTACCGTTGACAGATCCGTAAAGACATGTTAGTGTTGCTGACTTACTGGACCAAGACGTCATTAGCCTAAGCCCTTTCAGAAACTAATTAGGTACCCTACCCAAAGCCTTACAGGTATCAGATGCTGACGTTGGAGTCCCGTTCACCGAATACGACGAGGACTAATTTGAGCAAGTGAAGCCGAGTATGTTAAGAATGTGACAAAAAGGCTTTCACCAAACTAAAAAGACTTTACATGAGGCTAATTAATCTCAACCACAGATATGCAGATATATTATGGCAGATACAAGATGTGAAATGCGACGTCGCGTGCTTGGCAGAGACAGGAGCAATGTGGGCTGGAAACTTCTTAAGGCCGTGATCGGCCCGGCCTGGACAGTCTGACAGATCTAGACGGACGAACCGATCCAGTTGTACGGATAGGTCGGAGTTATCGGACCGGTCTGTTCGGGCCGCCCCTGATGTGGGCAACTGGGCTGATCTGTTCTGGAGCGTTTGAGGCAGTCAGGGGAGACTAGACCATACCCATCGCTGACGTCTGGTATCTAATTGCCCTTCGGGTTAGTAGTCCAAGTCCTTGGTGTCAATTCAATTGCCTCTTCTGGCATCGTCTGTTCGCTTGGTGCCTGAATGCCATTGCTTGATAGATCTACTTTTGTCTGGAGTGAGCCACTTTCGGAGAGAACATGAGTCGTTCCGTCCTTAGGGCTGATGCTGTTACTTCCTTAGGCAATGATTGTAGGCTTGGTATGCTCTCACCATTGCTGACATCGTATCTTGAACTCAATAGAACAAATTTCTGTGAGATGGTTAGCACTGTGTCGCAAATTACTCACTCCGGGCCCGACAGCGAACGCCGTGTTCTGATAGTCACGGAGGACGGCGAGTTATGTTTGGTGAAGCCGTGAGACTTATAAAAGGTGAGAAGCGCATACCTTTTAAACACTATCTCACTACTACTCTCTTTCAAGCATCTCACCCACCCTTTTCACTCCTTACCCTAATTACAACTCTCGTTAACTAATTCAAGTCACAATGACTGCTTCATTCGTCAAGATCCTGCTTCTGGCTACTGCCAGTATGGCAACAGCTGTTAGCGTTAATGCATCTGCCAGCGTCGACGCATCTGTCAACATCGACGCATCTGCCAACGTCGACGCATCTGCCAACATCGACGCATCCGCCGATATCGATGTCGACGTTGACGTCTCCGTAGGCGCGGTACGAATTGAGGACCTTGCCGAGCAATGCGACGTTCCAACCAATGCGATGGTCAACCTACTCAACACCGACGACTTTGCCACGATCAAGGTCGAAGACTGGACCGCTATCCTTCAGCAGCCTGTTGGAGTCGTCGAAGCTTGGCCTGCTCCAATTAAACAAATTGTCTTCACTGACATCTCGGTCGAGCTCTCTGCTATGATCGCTCCGGAGACCGCACGCCGCCAGCTTGCACCGGCAGTCGTAACCAACAAAGTCGAGGTCACTGACGCTTTTGAATCCGTTCGTCGCGTTGAACGCCAAATTCTGGCCTCCCTCGATGCCCGTATAAAATCAGCCAGATCAGGTTGCTCCCAAAACACGGGGTGTGGTACTTGCGTCATTGCCGCTCGGTTGATGGGTTTCGGTGCTATCGCTACTTGCGCTGGCATTGATTTCGCCGCCATCGAAGCCAATGTCGATATTGATCTCCCCATTGTTGGAGCCAAGGTCGGCATTGATGTCTCGGTTGCTATCTCTGACCTCGTCGCGTGCAGCTCCAAGGCTACTGCTACCGTCGAGGCGGCCATTGGTGTTTGCCACTCCAACCTTTAGGTCAACATGCGTTGAACGATTCTGCGGCCAAAGCACTGCTGTATGTCATGCGATTTCGACTCAGTTGCTACCGAAGTTCCCCGCTGACATCATCTTAGATACTGTCTCATGGCTTCGCAGTTTCGTCGTGACGGTCCTGATATTCCGAGGGCAAGATTATGTTATTCGGCGCAGTGGCCGTATGCTGTATCCGAGTTAATGTTTAAAAACATCAGGGGTTTAGGGTTTCGATCTCGTAGTAATGGGAGTAGGTAGACAGCGGGTGGATATTCAATTGAAGTTAATAGAATCAATACTCACCCATGTCCCGTGTTCCGAAAGTCAACAACGCCCTAACGCACCGTCACATGCATGGTAAACGTCTTGCCTCCGCTCAGAGCTTGCAACCGGACCATTCCCGCCTATTGCACAAAGGCCGCTCCACATCAAGTAGGTAAGCGATCAGCAAAACCCTTGCGGCTGGTTGCAATCGACAGCATCGTTGATTGAGCAGCGCGGACGGCTGCCCTGTACGGTTAGGGGCCCCGCAAGTCTGGACCCTGAAAAGACGTCACCCGCCAAGGTATGATGGCATAGCATCAGCCGCTATTGTTCAAATAGATAGCAGTCGCTTAAGGGAGGCGACAACGAAGAATTACAATTCTCTTACTACACCTGCATATCCAAGAACCCTGAGCGTTTGGTATGGTGTCTCTGCGGTCCTTCGGGGAACCACTCTGCTAACTGTCCGACGAACAGGGAAGCAATACCCACCAATCACACTACCGTCACGATACGCGCTACCAGATCTTCCAAAGTTTAGTCTACACATTTCACGTACGTTCATACGCGCAGCCAATGGGCGGAATGTGCCAGCTCACACCAAGACCTCGCAGTGATACACCATCTTCATTATGAGCCCACGACCATCTCTCATGCCGCCCACCGAAGGCTCCTTCCTTTCATCGGGAGCCTTTACCCCATCCGGCCTCACACCTAATACACGTACTGAAGCTGAAGCTGCCTTCACTTCCAATAGCGTCTCGCAGACCGACTCAGCAGCTCCCGACCCACGTCTACTGCCGCTGATGGGCGCTGGTGGAGGAAACGAGAGAACCACAGATAATGGGCCACCTGAAGCTGTTAGGGCTTACACTGGCTACCGCCGACCCGGTATGGCTAGAGCAAGCTCGGCCAACTACGAGAACGCACTGAAGCGAGCGCAACAAGCATCCGTCTCGTCAGACTTCTCTGCTGACTCTGAAACACCCGAGAACGTCACTGCTGGCCAGACAGTCGCGTCGCCTTCAGGCACAACCCCCTTCCCACCCCCCGGTCAGGGAGTAGTCCCGCTTAACTATGGATCAACACCTGTCGGTGCCCCGCAGGGAGATTCGATCAAGAAAACTAGGTCACGAGGCCTGAGCCTAAGCGGTCTCGCTCAACAACAGGGCTGGAGTGAGCAGGACTACAAGCGTGTATACAGCGCACAGTTGTTGGCAGAGGACCCCAAGAACGATGCTGGTTATGGCACAGGCCCGAAATAAGAGGCCGACATTGTCTAAAGCTCGACTAAAGGCGTCCATGCGGGCCAACACCTGGCCGAAAAACATGCAGTGGCTAAAGTCAAGAGGCCAGGCTGCTATAATTCTTAGTATAATTCCCTACAACATGACATGAGCTTTATGCAAGGCGCTAGGCGGAGTTCCCCCAACAGAAAGGTCGCAGGCCGACAAACACTTCAAATATACCATTTACGGCGTGGCACAACTGCACAATCATGTTTCGCACGGGAAACTGCATGATGTGACTCTAATACTAACTTTCCTGGTAGACAGCATTTGGATACTTAATGAGCCTGCTCGAGTCATAACCTGGGCGTTGATTGTCTCCGAGGAGCTCATTCCCTATAACCTAAGACCCACCTATCACCTGCCTCACCTGCCTCAACAAACGCTCACTCTTTCACCGCCAACGACTCTCCCCGTTCTCTCCGTTTCTCTTTGATTACATCAATGCGTTCTCTCGAACACCAAGCTCCATTCGCACACCCTTCTTTCTGGCCTTTTTTACTGCCAACTCTTACTCGCTACCAATCCCCCCCTCATTGAACACGTTCACCAGAGATGCGAATCTTCGATATTCTCGTGACTGTTGTCACTATTCTGCCAACAGTTTTCTCTTTTAGAATCCCACTTCCAGAGACTCCGTGTAAGACAGGTACTCAGCGCTGCCATGACAACACCGTGGAAGAATGTGATCCTTTGGGCAACTATGTGCCTATCCGAGCATGTAGCGACACTGAGTTCTGCACGATCGATGCCCATGACCCCGACGCTCCCGGCCAATGTACTGAGCAAGATTGTGTTGTCGAACCGTGCCTACGATCTTCACACCAGGCCATTGCTCGGGCTCCCTTCATCAACGACATGCCGCCTACACGTTCTCCTTCGAAAAACTTTGAATCAAGGTCATACATCCCTAAAGGTACCCCAAGTGTTTTCGAGCATTGCATCACTGCTGGCGAGAGGCGATGCAGCGGAAAACAAGTTGAGATGTGTAGTACCGAAAACGCTTGGGTCAAAATCGAAAGCTGTAGCGATACTGAAAAGTGTCGCGCAGAATACAAGGATGCTCGTTGTCAACTGGTCGTTGCGTCCACACTTCTCATTCTACGTTTTCCCGCGGCAATACCCGAATGGTGTAGGACTGGCGAGTCTCGCTGCTTGGGCAATGTTCTTCAATCGTGCGAACAGAACAGCTGGAAACCGACAATGTGTCCCAATCCGTCCAAGTGCGTCAAGCGTGACGACGTCGCGCAATGCTGGGTAGAACCACCTTTCCCGTCCGTGGTACCAGAGCTATGCGTGCCGGGGGATAGGAAGTGCGACTCTGACGCATATGCCCTTCAGCTATGCGGCAAAGATGGAGTGTACCACACCGAGAAGAAATGCACCACCCCCGGTGATTGCAAGACCGACAGGCCAGGTCAAGCGCACTGTGGGACAGGAAGCATAGATCCACCAAAGTTCGAGCGTCAGACCAATAGCACTCAGTGCACCCACGGTGATTATGCCTGCGATACCCACCGTCGGTTCATGTTTGTTTGCATCAACGGCGCATGGCAAGAGCCGATTCAGTGCCACAGGGCCGGTGCCTGCCAGCCTGTTGGGCCTACGCCTGAATACCCCAAGGGGAACATGGACTGCATAGGCTTCCCGAAGTATCTCTATCCTGACAACAGGGTATGTGAGACCGTCAGTAGTTGCGAATTTATGCGGTACATGTACTGTTCAGCTGTAAGTGCTCTCTTCATCCACTTTCTAACGTTCTCATTCCTACAATGGCAGACTGGGGGTAAACTTGCCCTGCGGAGGATGAACTAACACGATGACAGGGCTCACCGAAACTTGAAGACATGGAGAAGTGCCGTGAGAGCATGTGCGAGGATTGGGATGTAGGTTGGACGCTCCTGACCTTGAAGAAAGAAGGCTGACTCCACGATAGTGCAAGGACTGCGATCGCTGCACATACCACCTCGGATATGGCGAAGTGCTAGAGCCTGATCTGAACACTTTAATCCATGGCTCACCGACACTGTAATATGCCGTTGTGGAGCATTCTGAGTTGCTCACCAGGTAACCCGAATGGCCTTTAGACTGATGTGCGCTGCAAGGTGCTGCGTGTATATCAAACAGCCTGCTATACATGGCGAGCATTCTTGTATATAGTCTTCTGCCACAATTGAAAACTTACTCACTGAATTCGCATCTTAACATGATAGTGACATCTGACTCTGTCATCGCATCAACGCAGACCACCAATCCCATAGCAACAACCTTCAGTCCTTACAAGAACACGGTCAGAACCCCCGCACCTGCGACCCTTTTATCATAGATTCCCTGTATGAAGATCTGCGAACTGGAAGTTGCGGCTTGCACGCAGGTATGTCTTCTCCCTCAACAAGGAAACATGAAGATAAAAGGGACGAGATAAGGAACGAGGGTAGACACGTGATGGAGAAGAATCATGACTGACCATGCCATAGGCAAAGTCCGCGTTGACGGAAGCAGGACAATTGCAGTACTGTAAAACATGGGCTTCCGCGTTACATGGTGCAGTAAGTTGTGTCGAGTCTCCCAAGGATTGAAAAGGGAAAAACGGCGCGACATTGGCTAACGAGGTTTTGGCGTCCATGTTGTGGGTATTATGACTTTGAGTACAATCTGCAGCGGCTCGTCGAACGCGTCATAGAAAGCAAGTTAGAATTGCATGGTCGGAACTGTGGCAATTGTTATAGATGATAATTGACAGGGAAGTATCGCCAACGGTAAAAGTATATCCAAATGGCTATTCCATCCTGACGCCTCTATTCGAGACAAATGTCTCTATCAAACTTTTGTCCTCTTGTTGCGCCAAGGTGCAGTACGCTGACTCTTTTCTTCAGCACCAGACTATGCTTCGAAATCACTTTTGTTGTACACTTGACTCCTTGTTCACCCTCTTTATGCTGGACCACCAAGGAATCTCATCAAATAGTCGCCCGTCGGTCCGAGGAGTGGATATCGAGTGCTGAGCTCTGCGTTTCTGCCAAGCCATAGTGCAAAGGTACCTACCACTATGGCAAGGCCAACAGCTCCATACCTGCGGCGGTGGTACCAAATACGCAGCTTGATGTACTGTATCGTCTTGGCTGCGCGCCTCAGAGCCTGCTCGCGGCGGAGGTCCTGCTCCTGTTGCAAGAAAAACGTCTCTCCGTCTTCCAATGTGAGATGACGCAGACTGGCACTTGTTGCAGACGACTTGAGTACGCTGGAAGATGAGATGCGCCACCACTCCCAACTGTTGAGTGACGCAGGAGGTAGTCTCTCGTACAGTTCAACGGTTCGAGCGATGTGAAACTCGACGTCGAAAGGCTCTGGCAGCTTGCCTAGCATAACATAGAGTATGTCCTCATCTTCTTTGTCAAACTCCATCAACTCTTCTCTCTTGGACAGCACCACGGCTGCAAAGAGATAAATGGGCATGACAGCATGTCGGGCCAAAAAGAAATCGAATAGCCTCGTAATATCCTTGTAGTCCTGTATGTTGTGGGCGAACATGGTAATTGTGCCAGCAAGCGCAAATGAAGGCTGGCTCTTGGGGAGATGGTCGTACAGAAGGGGATCGGCAGCGCGGAGGATCGGTCGCAGCAGTTCGAGCTGGGCAAGGGCTGGGTCGAGCGACGAGAGCATGAAGTCACGAATACGTAGGAGGCTTAGTCGGGCGACGGCAGCGGAGGCGTCTTTGGGCCCGAGGACGAGTAGGAAGACCTGCACGATATCGTGGTAGCCCTGAAAGTAGCACAGTGTGGGGTGACGGCGCAGGACATGGAGGATGACCTGGGAGAGCTGTTGCTTTCGACGATCAAGCTGCTTCTCGGATTCTGGCCATGTTAGCACAGAGACAAGTACCAACAGCTTACATGGCGTTTACCATTCTTTGGGTAGTAGACAAATGCGCGGTTAACGTCCAAGCTAACCTGGTGCTCGTCCTTGTGCTCGGGAAGATGATCCCATGGCTCCTTCCCCAAGTCGTCATCAGAACATCCTAGCAAGAGGGGCCCTGCATCGTGTCAGCCTAATACGGAAATCTGTGCGGGTAGAGGCGTACAAGCAGCGCGACGCAAGGTGTCGCTGACGAGGCCAGACGGGCTGGTAGCAAGGTCTACCAGGGCGGTGACGTCGCCATTGTTAATTGCTGCACGAACGAGAGATTCCTTCTCCTTTTCGGTAGGCGTGAATTGGGAGACGGGCGTGGCGTGTCGCGAGGGTAAGCTGCCAGAGCTCACTGAGCGCGACACGGAGCCGGAGGGAGTGCGAGAGGCCATGACAATGCCCGCATCTCGAAACGTCCCCTCGATATCCAGCAACAAGGAACAACGGCGTGATGACGTGGCCAACGTGGGCCTCGTATGCGCAGGAGGGCGCAGAAAAAGATGCAGAGGGGGACAAAGTGTTTGTCTGGTGGATTACATGCTGCTTCGTGCCGGCGTCCCAGGTGCCAGGTTGACGTGACGGGTCGCGCCTTCCTGCTTGTCGTGCCGAGGCGCTTGGCACCCCACGGAACTGTGAATGTCAACTACTAGGACATGCCGTTTCCAGTCTTGCCCATCGACATCCTTCACCCGCTGCCTGCACGTGAGACGACAGCCGTGCAACCCGACAACACCACTCAAAACTGCTCTTGGACCTGTTCGCCGACAGCCTTCCAGTCCCGAGACGCTGCTGTGCAGCCAAATGAGTAGTATAGGAGCCACTTCCTTGCATACACGACACCTTCACACCCACCAACGAGCGCTCCAAAGCTCCTCGTACCCTGGCCGGCTACTGCGCCGCCTCGCTGAGCCTTGCAACCCACTCGCATAGCCATCCCGAGCCTACTCAGATCGTGCTCCATACTGCACGATCATCTGGTGATCTAGATCCCCCAGCCACCTTGACATTCAAGGCACGCTACGAACGTACGCGGGTATACTCTCGTGTCTCACGTGCTAGCAGTGGGCGCACTTGCTAGCCTTTTGCATTCTTGTAGTGTGCCAAAGGCGCTACAGCGTCTTATTGCAGCAGCCCGCCTCAGTAAGCCAAGGTATCCCGGCTGCAGTTGCCTCACGTCGCTGCCGCTATTCTGCTCAACACTACTACTATCCACTACAGCCCCTGCGATATTCGACGGGCTGTCTGTTGCTTCAATTAGTTTCAGCTGCTAGTACTGATTTTCCTTGCCTCGCCACGTGTCTGACAAGCCTGCCCCGGCAGGCTGCACTATGTCATCTATCTCAACTCTGAACATTGTGCGTTCGTTGCTTCTACCTGCGTTGGCCTGATCCCGTACTGTGCACGGCATCAGAAATCGCTTGCTTGGCATTGTCAAGATCCATTTTGCCGTCAATCTCCTGAGCATTCCTTGATCACAAATGGCTCAAGCCCAAGGCCTCAGCCTCATCGACGGTGAGTGGGTTTCAAGACCACTCGACCCTTATCAGATAATGGCCAACGCTCCTCGGGAAGACGTTGAAATGCAGGATACTACTACCAGGTCGTCAGGTCAGATACCCGAATACGGCATACTGTCGCAGACAGTTGTAGAGACTCCGCTGAGCAAGCTCATTCTCCCGGCCAACATACGCCATAGGGACCTCATAGATATCGTCATGGTTGGCGAGGACTCTATACAACTCAAAGAGATCCGTGACTATGGCCATATCCACCACGTGGCTTCCAAGACTAACTTCAACGGTGGTCGCATCCTTACTGCCAAGGTTTTTGGTGACCCTCGCGAAATACCTTCATACAAAGGTACTGGTCTTCCATTACATGGGAACTACATGAAGCACATCGCAAGAAAGCCAACAACAGGAGAAGAAGGCAATATGCTGCCTCCAGAAGTCATCGTACTCAGTCTTTCCAACCGATCATTAATGTTCTTATGGGCACAGCACAGCAAGACAGGTACTACCACTTTCAGCCACAGAAATGTCAGGCTACCTGCAGGAAGTTCCCGGTTCGATCGTCTTGGAAAATTCCTCGCTATAGATCCCAAATGCCGCGCGATAGCAGTTGCAGCGCACGAAGGGCGCTTCATCCTATATAAGACGAAGCCTATGGAGAATTGGAGGAGGCAGGCCAGAGAGGGCAGCGAGATTACCACGCCTATCGAAGACGAGCGGATTATATCAATCGAAGGGCAGATCATGCATATGGACTTTCTGTCATCGGGAGGCGGGCATGACGATTTTCACGTCGTGTTGCTTTTCGTGGTCGTGTTGGAAGGAAGGACCAGACTTACTTGCTTCGATTGGGACTGCAGACAAGATCTTAGCAGAGCAACCCCGCGGACAGAGCGCTATCTCGTCCAGTTTGGTAAGTGGAAGACTGCATGACACGGCAGATGAGCTCGGCTAACTTTTTCAGAGGACATGGTGCCTTCTCTGCTCATTCCTCTTCGTCGTAGTCCCGGTTTTCTTCTGGTTTCAGATGACCACATCTCCGTCTACAAGAACATCCTCTCTGGTGACCCGGCGCATACCATAGTACCAATCGATCATACGATACTCCGGTCTATTCTACCAGGTGACAGCAAGCAAGCTCCAAAATGGACGGCTTGGGATAAGACCCCACGTAATCCCGAGTATCAGAAAGAAGCCTTTTACGTGGCCAGGGAGGATGGGCGTATCATCTACGTGGTTCGTGGTCCTTCGGGTACTGTAGAGATAGATGAAGCTGGCGAATGGCAGTGCCGGATTGACACTGCCTTCTCGTGTGTCACTGTCGGTCGCTCCGAAATTGCGCAACAACATCCGGATCTCCTGATTGCGGGCGGAGCGAGCAATGACGGTGTGCTTTGTAAAATTGGTGCCTGGCCTGCTGAATACTCATATGCAACAAACTCTCCAGACACAAGTCAGTTTTCTGTCGTCGACACGATACCAAACTGGACGCCTCTCACCGACCTTGCAGTAACTCAGCTTTCCAGTCCACGCGCGCCAGATGAGCGTCAGCGGTCGTCCGTTTTTGTCGCCAACGGCAACAGACCAAATGGAGAGATCTCGGAGCTGAGGCGCGGAATACAAGCTATTGTGGATGACAGTTTCAGCGGTATCAACGGCTGCGCTGGTATCTGGGTTGTTGACCATGGCAGCCACATGGCAGAAATAGAAGGCACGATGAGGAGTCAGCATTATGCTATATTCGCAATAACACTTCCGCCGGAGACGCTTGTGATCCGTGTCGTTCGTACCCAACCCGAGAGCCGTGCGGACTTTTCAGGAGCATGGGAGCAAGGCTCTTGGGACAAATTCCAGACGCCTAGCGACGACGATCCACTCGAAGACGACTTGATGCGAGAAGTTGAAACCATCTCGGCTTGTCCTTGGTCTGATGAGATATCGATTCAGATCACGAGACAAGAGGTCCGTACACTTCTACGACCGACATTGAAACAGATCGAGTCATTAGCATTCGATACTCCACTACTGTTGGCTGCTTCCCATGCTGGATCCCCTTTTATTGCAATTGCGTCGCGAGAAAGTGGCCGTGCATTACTAGAGATCGTACCAATTTCCAAGAGAGGCAAGTTCGAGCGGTCGAGATCCTTCAGGCACCAGCTGGATCACGACCCGACATGTATAGAGATATTAGATATCAACGGCTTCCTGTATGTCTTTGTTAGCACATTCGACTCGAAGATTTTACTCTTCAAGTATTCGCATGATAGCACGTCGATAGCTTTGGAAGATTTTTGGACAGAGCACCAAACATTCCAGAACCTGCAAAAGCTTTGTGAGAGTGCTGTCGTTATGAGCAACGAGGGCAGAAACGTTCTAGTCTGTGCGATGCGGGATGGAACTCTTCTGAGTTCTCACTTGGAGGTTGATCATAGTGGTAAGACGAAGTAGAAGCTACTGATTGGCGTTACTGACAACATGAAGGAATTTCACCTCTATCCTGGAACGCCCTCCGAATGGGCGAAGCCTCAGCCAAGATAACACGTAGTGAAACCAACGTTTCAGCGGCATATGTGTCTTGTGGATCAGACTTTTGCCGAGTACGCTACTCTCCAAGCGAATTCTCTCATCTTGAAATCGACTCTATATGGTTTACTGACCGCAGTCACCCTGAGTACAACCAATCTCCAGTGTCAGCTATATTCCAGCTGCCATTCCTCCCGGACCAGAATGTCTTTGAGAGAAACCTTGGCGGATTCTTGTTCGCTGTTGCTGGAGACCGCCTTCTTTTCTCGCAGCTCGATGCGGACGTCAAGTGTCCAACTCCGGATATACTCCCACAAGCCCTGCACGACACAAAGGTCGTTCCGCGGAAACTCATTGTAGGTGCCAAGCCTACCAACGTACTGTTCATGAAAAAGCTACGTCGAGTACTAGTATCGACTATGGAGGCAAAAGAGCGGCGTGGGCCACCACTTGGTGAACGGCTCCTGCAGTCGTCGATGAAGTTATTGAGGGTTCGGGACGACAGACCAACCGATGACATGGAGATCAAACAAGAGATGGATGCGCCTACAGAACGACTCGTTGTCGCCCAATGTCCTCTGATGAACGCCGAAAGGGTATACTCCATTGTCGAATGGCAGTTCGTGAACAAAGAAGGCAAAAAGTACAATCTCGTCATCGTTGGAACCGGAATTCAGACGAGCGCGACTCAGCACAATGGAAGGAGACTGATCTTCAACACTGGAAAATCTGGCTCGAAGCTAGATTTGCAAAAGCAGTCTACGTACAACGAACCTGTTTATGGTATAGCGCTTTGGGATAGCCAAACCACGGTGAGTATTGTTGGGAGGTCCTTGTTTATCGATCGTTTTGATGAAGAAGCCGGTCGATGGTTTCAGCGCGGAAAAACGGATCTGCATTCTCCAGGTATCCATGTGTCTGTCGTTCGCCCATTTGTTTACGTTTCGACACTCCAGCACTCGCACCTTTGCTACAAGGTGGTTGAAGCAGCACGACCGGGTACTTTCGAGTTTGTCCGAGAATTCTCTGATAGCGGCATGCGCAACTGCGCGCGACATCTGGTCGTAGACCTGCCGAACGCAAAGGACAACAGCAGTGACAGGTTTGTGTTGCTTACCGACAAGAAAAGCAGCTCGGTAACGGGTCTTTACCAACCGCCTGTAATGACTTATAGCAATGCGTCGCCGACACTATTCGAGGCGTGTCTTCCCCGTACAGTAATTCGTCTCGATCGCGGTGATATCCGTCCACCTTGGCGCCGTCCGAACACTGCGGGTCAAATTACCGGCATCATTGTTGATGATATCATCGGTGCTTGTACCGATGGCACGGTCTTCTCGTTATCCATCCTTTCTCAGCCTGCGGGTCTGCTCCTGCGGCTGTTACAAAATCTCATCGAAATCAAGGCTAACCGTTCGGGCGCTTACAAACACGATACGATCAATCCCCGCAGCGGGGACATTTTCAACGTGCTTATGAGCAACACCACTGGGAACCAACATGGTGAGATCTTGGTTAGGGATGTGGATCCACGCCATCTGGGACAAAGTTCGAAACGAGGCCCCAAACATAAGCATGTTGACGGCGACTTGTTGAAGCATTGGCTACATGAAGGAGGCGATTTGGAGGTTTTGACACGAGACGATGTGGACGAAGAGATTACAGGGTTATTTGAGGAGCTAGCGCTCGATGTAGAGCAGAGATGGGGGGCAAGGAATCGGGGTGAAGGGATTGATCAGCATAAGAACAGGCGGCTTTGCGAACATGTGAAGAGATGGATGAGCGAGGTGCTGATGCCGGTGTTGTAAGCAATTACCAATTGAAAGAGTTGGACATGAGCAGTGACCGACAACAGTCACGTTGGATGAGACTGGGTGGAACATCTCGATACGTGGCAGGGATGGACAGTTGTGTTCCTCTGATGTGTCAGAAGACAACAGTACAGTCTATAGCATCATCAACAAAGACAGACTCATCTGGTAAGAGAGAAGAACAATGATCATGGGCATGAAGCAACGGTCATGACATGTCTCGACCCTCCCAAGCACGGCTCAAACACTTTCACTCAGTCTCACGCATTGTATCTCCACAGTCACGCTGGTCAATAATGAGACAACACTGTCTTGCAAGCTTCGCGTAAAGACAACGATGAACGTCCTCAAAAGTACTTAAGCTATCATTTAGATCCAAACATGCCATTCCTATTACCAGAATGAAGTTCCTGTGCATCTCCATTTCGAGGAGAAAAAAGAAAGAAAAGTCTTTCAATTTCCTCCGACTACACCCTAAGCAACCTGTTGAGCCACTAGTGACTCCTCCTGCGACTCCACTGTCATTCCCAGCTCGAAAGCGACTTCATTCATCGAGTCCTCGAGCAGAATCCGTTGTCTCGAGGTTCAGAGAGCGTCTTGAGCTTCCTTCGGCCTTTCACGAGACGGCAGTGTCGCAACTAGACCGAGCGGAGATTCTCCGACCTTCATCGCCGCACCCCTTAGGGGGTTCTGGGTCGGGAAGTAGCAGTGGCGTAGGCTTCGAGCGGGAAGAAGAGGGCATACATCCTTTTGTACGAACGTTGGTATATGGTGTCGTCCAGAGTTCGCATGGCGAAAGGTACGACGAGGCAGAGTGTGAGAGAAGGAGGATTGGGGGATTTCGATGGATTAGATCGATAACGGATATGATGGAGGACAGCAAGGCTAGATCAGTGTGATGAGATGGGTACATTATTCATGACTTGACAGAAAAGAGTAGTGATATCGTCTTACTTGTCTGATTAGCTTCTTCTTGCGACTTGAGACTTAGAAGTGGAACAGCTTTGACGAAGTTTCACTTGTCTACTAAAAACGATTTATATGCAATTCGTTCATATCGTGATATACTACGTATTGTACATATATACAGCACCTCCCTACAAAAAACCGTTGAAGTGCCTCTGCTGTAAATGATCAAATGTCCTAGGCATTGAATCAATAGCCCTGACAGTCAATGGCGCGCTACGTTCAAGAATCTCCGTCATCCAAGCCTCCGCATCAGTATCATAACCTATACCGTGTCTTTCGTCGCTCTTCACTTGGTCAAGGGCCTTGGCTAGCAAGACCAAAGTCTTGTACCGCGGAAGTACGCTTGTCGTCTTGATCTCGTGGTGGCGAAGCTCCATCCACTGATAGCCCTTGCGGTCTTTGCGGATGTAGTTGGGGACAAGGTCGCGCCAACCAGGGAAACGTGGCATGAGGTATGCTTCGCAAATGGTGAAGGCGTCCATGAGACGAGCGCGTAGAGTGAGTTGTTGAATAAATTCATTGAAGGTCAAAGTATCAATGGTGAAACCGTTGACAAGAAGGTCGCGAATAGTACGCTGGGCTTCTAGCAGAGCGTTGGGATCCTCAGATTGGGCGAGCAGACTACGAATGTAGATGCGGGAAGCCTTAGTGAGGATGTCGCGACGATTATTTGATATGCGCGATTCTTGAAAGCGTTGTTGAACTGAAGGGTCGACAAGAGAGTCTTGATCAGGAAGGTCGGGGGGTTCATGGTTATCGGAGACGGCGGCAGGTTGTTGCATGACTTGGTGAACGGTCTTTGTGAGGTTTGCAGCTGAGACACGTGCCAATTCCCAACACCTGGCCACTTCGGCATGTTTGCCAGCCATGAAATGGGCCTCCATCATCGACGTTGTAAGGGTCAATGGTGTCGTGTAATTGTTGGCGTCGGGCGTTAACGCTACAGCCTTTTGGAAAAGCTTCTTGCAGATGTTGTAAGCTGATCGAGCGCTGTATAGCGATACCATAAGGCCATAGTAGGACTGTACAAGAGCACGGGGGTCGTATATCCGAGTCGATCGTTCAAGTCCCGGTTGTCGATGAGCGACCTCTCGAGCTGTACCAGAAACAAGCATTTTTTCAAGTGCCTCCTCAACCCTAAGGAGTTTATAGTTCGGATGTTTGGCACCTTTTTTCTCTAGCCTTTGAAGATCAGCCGAACCGAGCGCCTGTATTGAGGCTTGGCGAGAGCTCTCTGTTTGGTAGACCTGGCGTTCCATCATCCTTTCGTAAGCATGAACCGCTTGAGTATACTGTCTTTCCCTAACGAAACCGATCATGACTATAGCGTAGTGGATTGCGTGGACCTGAAGTCTCTGTTCCGGCATCGTGACTCTCAACAGTTTGTAAGCAGCATTGGTCTGCTTTACTTCAACTAATGCTCGCATTAGACTGCTGTAGGTCCAACTGTCCAGAGGGATGTCGTTTTCGACCATTTCTTTGTATCGCTCTCTGCTACCCACCAGGTCGCGGTCTAGAGCACGCTGTTGGATCAGCAGATTCCAAGTGTGTGTGAGAGGTTGTCCGTGTAGTCTCCCCGCCTTCCAACTATTGAGCATGCCTTGCGCAATTGCTTGGGCGCCTTCTTCATCCCCTGCATTCACAAAGGCTTCAACATAGCCCGCTCTTGCATGAACATCCGTGTCGAGCTTTATACCCATCTTCTTGGCTTCCGAGAACAGTGTCTCAAAAGCTTCAACGTCACCTCTATGAGCACAAAAGTCGAGCAAGGGTCCAAATGTGTAGATATCTGGTTCAACACCCGAGCCCAAGCAATTGTTGAGACATTCAAGAGCGCCGTCGAGATCTTCAGCACGGACGTAGGCAAGCAGTAGAATGTTCCAGCAGCCGGTATCTGGGTTCATGTGGAACTCCTCGTGTATACGTTTGAATTGCATGATCGTGCCGATGACATCTGCGCTTCGAGCGTACACATAGAGGAGTGATGACAGGACCTTGATCGTCACTTCGTCTTTGTAAGCTGACTTAAGCTCATCGACATATCTGCACACCTTCTCAGTGTCACCAACATCCGCATATACGTTAATCAAATGCCTAAGAAGTTGAGGGCGTAGTGGCTGATTGGGATACCAAGCGCGCAGATCTTGTACATGGTCTTGGACACGTCTCAGGCCACCCTTGGTAGAATGCTGGTAGATCAGAGACTCTATCAGATTCACTGATGGCCTTGCTTGGATGGTGGGTTCGGTCTGGTCGAGATATAGCTGTCGGTATCTTCTATATAGCTCAAGCGGAATCTTTCGCTGGTTGTTGTATTGTTGGTAGCGTGGGAGCTCCAGTAGCCGTCGAATAGCATACTCATAACAGGCGGGAGTAGGGAGCTGAAGATCATGGAGGTCGTCGAAAAGCCCGACGAAATAATTCCAAATAAAATCGTCATCAAGTTCTCTGGTGCTCAGAACACGATCCACTACGTGGGGTACGAAGCTCATGACAAAGCAGTCTAAGTCACGCTTCAGTAGTCGCGAAGACCTGAGTTCGTGCTGAAACTCGTCGACATATCGCAAGAAAGACTGGAAGTGTTCTAGCAGTTCTGGTAGTTGTGCCACCTCACCCCATAGGCTTGCGAGCGTATCTCCAAAGCGTATCGCCTGATATGCAGATATGCCACGGATTCTGGGCGTCCGCCGCATGAACGTCCTAAAGACACGGAAAGCAAGATCCCACTGCTCGTCCAGAACGGCTCGTCGAAGGATGACGTCCATGCCGGAATACATATTAAGACTCGAATGTTCGGGCTCCTCCAGCAGCTGGATTGCTGGCCCAATCATTCCTAGCGCAGTATATGCTTTGATAGCTGCTACACGTGTTGAATGCCGGCGAAGGGCTGATGGTAGCTCACCAAACACCTGAAGAATTCGCTCCGGTACCGCAGAGTTGCCATCCTGAACGACGTCTTGGCTGAGGTAACGTATGAGATGACGTCGCACTCTTTTATATGAACTTGCTAGGCGGTCTTTAGAAACAGCAGTGTACAGCTGCCATGCTAACTCTTGCTTCCCAGGTTGCGGCGAATCTAGAAATTTTCGAAGCGCTGTATGGGCACCTAAAACTTGCGATAGCTCTGCTGCTTCCTTCTTGGCCTGTTCCACCACGTCCATGTCTAATTGTGCCTCGTGGCTTGAGGGTTGCGCTTGTGCTGTCGAAAAATAGCGAACTCGATTTGCACACGGCCGCCGTAGCTTCGTTTCTGGTGCATTGAGCCGTTCAACGGGTGGTCGTCTAAGAAGTGCAAGTGTCTTCTCTGGGTACAGAAAGTCGAGCAAAACACCATCCTGCCGTCTTGGGTCCCCGATAGTTTTCTTTGCCGCTGCATCATCCATGTCACCGCCTGTGTTTTGGGTAGTCGAGGCCGCGGCCGACCAGGTGGGAAGAGTGAGATCGGCTGCACCGTGGTGCCAAAGGGTGGAAGGCAACGCGCGCCGACTGCGTAGACATGGTTTCGGAGCGCGGAAGAGCTGGCGTCCGCCGGATTCGAGGCATGTCGAAGCACGCTCGAGCATCACCTGGACTGTGGGAAGTGCAGATGGTGCCAGCGCAGATTACCAGAAGCTACAAAGTGTCCTATTAACTGGGACAGTCAGTTGTTGTGGTGGTGACAGAATTGGTATTGGGGCTTGCCCACACTTGCGCATGCCTCCAAACTGTGCAATGGCGATTACTGGGGAAGGTGGTAGGACAGGAAACGAACAAAAAGAGCGTCGACTCAAAAGAAGGGGCCTAAAGCAAAGAAGGCAGCAGAAAAGCCGGGTAGTGCGCGTGGCAATGGCGGGCCCGACGTCTATGATGTCTCGAAAAGTTTACGGCGCGACCATGACCTGAGATTCCGACTCGCTTGGCAGGGCCATGGATAGCTCGCCAATTGATGCCCCTCCACATGAGCCGCATCCCCACAGTTGCACTCCCCTACCACCAACCGGGCCATGGACATCACCAAGTTTGTGACCGACTACCGCGAGTCGGCCTTCCTGATAGGCGACTACAATACCTACCACGGCCAGTTGTCGCGCCGTCTTCGAATCGTGAACAAGAAGCTCGGGCGGGCAACACCCAAGAACGCCAAATATGCCGCGAAGGCCCCGGTGACGGCAGAGGATATCAAGAACAACAATGAGTAGGAGCACCTTGCGGAAATGCCGTCTCGGAAACTGACTGTAGCAGGGCTCTTCACGTGCTCCTGCTCAACTCGGAACGCGCATGGGCGCAGGCCATGGCCACAAAGGCTTCTCACTCTGAAGACAACGCCGACAAGAGCATCACTGGTTCTACGCGCCAACACATCCTTTCTCGTCTGCACAAGGCCATTCAATATGCAAAGCAGGCTGTAGACCTCGTCTCTGACACGAGCGCCAGCGGCGCTTCCGAAACGGATGTGCTTGAAGCAAAAGCATATGCATACACTCTGGCTGGAGCGCACGAGTTTGAGAAGCAAGCCGAGGGCATCAAGAGCAAGAATGCTTCACCCTCGCGCTGGGCTCCCTGTCTCACCAACTACTCGGCGGCGCGCATCATCTACAGCTCTTTGTTGAAAGCTACGAGGAAGGACCTATTCAAGGATGTCATGGCAGGTACCACCGACCCAAGCATACGCTATGCTGCGTACCAGAGTCGCATCCCACGCACCGTGGGTGTTCCGGCGGTTGCAGTCAAGTATTTCCCAAAGGACGATGCAGAGCTAGTCCAGGCTGTGCAGAAGCTTGACTCGGCAGCCTTGAAGGAAGAGGAAGCAGCCTCATCTCGTAAGTAACAGAATCCGAGGACTCAGGCAACGCTAACAGTCACACAGACACCCAGATTACATGGCGAGGCCGAACAGCAAACGTGGTGGATGCCGCAATTGGCCAGGCTCTAGCATCTGTCGATACCGCCTCTGCTACTCTTGACCAATCCGCGACCTCCACCTCATCCCCCAAGGACCGAGCCAACGCGTACGACGATATCCTCATCGCAAGCCAGGACGCAGTTGATGCAACACGAAGGGCGATCGAGGAGCTTGAGAAGGAAGGTGTCGACGAGGGCGATGCGCGTATGCAGGATCTCCGTGTCACGAACCTGGCTGTCAACTATGACCTGATATCATGGAGAGTTGGGCGGAACAGAGTGCTTGTTGGCAAAGACGATGGGCTCACGTTTCCTGCGAATCCCCCCCAGAAACCGCGACGGCCGCGTAAAGACGGCAAGCAATGGGTTGAACGGGAGGAACCCACTGGCCGCAAGCTGGCACGTCTGCGAGAGCGCATCGCTCTGTACGATGCGATTCTGCAAAGTATTGACTCGGTCAAGGACCTAAGAGGTGCTGCTCGCGATACTGGCTTCATTTCTGAACTCGACGGACAGCGCGCATATTTCCAAGCGTTAAAGTGTTTAAACTTGTCGCACTCGTATGCATTTTTGTCGACTCCAAAACAAGCGTTGGCGCTTTGCAACAGAGCATTGACGTTGGCAAGCCAAGCGGCATCAGCTCCAAGATCTCAATCACCTTCAAGTTCGAGCGCACCCAAGATGGAAGTGTCAGGTGAACAGACACAGACGCTAAAGAAGAATCTGGAGAATCTGAACTCGCATTACCGAGGTGTTGTGGCGCTTTCGCAACTGTTTGCAAACTCAGAGACGGCGTCCAAGGCCGGACTGGCAAATGCGGCACCCGTTGTTGAGAGACTGAACGAATACCCATCATCGGGCTCGGTTGATCTCAAGAACCTTGTTACATGGCCTCCGAAGTTGAAGCCTGTACCAGTCAAGCCTCTCTTCCTCGATGTAGCGTGGAACTACATCGAATATCCTGGACGCGCACCGCAAGTGCAAGAACCAGAGCCAGAAAAGGCGCCGGTTGAGGAGAAGAAGGAGGAGAAGCCGCAAGCCAAGAAGGGTTGGTTCTCCTTTGGTAGATAATCAGCAATCGCCGCGCGGTTCGCAGGGATGTATCCGTGGGATCACGGTTGCTCGTTCAAAAGCTACCACTATGATCAAATGGTCTTCAACTACAGCCGTACAGATAGGTACGTGATATAGCATGATCAAAGACCCTGAACATGCCCTTCTCCAGACTGCAACATGGTTCACGCTACGGCTGCCCGTCCAATTTGAACCCTTTATTTACGTGACAGCCACAAGTTGGAGACATGGTGGGCCGTGATTGGTCTAGTGTAAGGTATGTGCACAGACGTGTATGGCTGTTGTGGGACTAGTGTGATTTGAGCCTCAGGGGCAATAGCATAAGCGCCAAATCTGCGTGAACCATCACGCGCCTGACGGGACGGTTGTTTCGTTTCAACGATATCTGTTCGTGGGTCTCGCAGGTCGGGGCGTGGCATTGATGAACGTGAATATGAACCTGTGATATGTGTTCAACTTGCTTGTGACATGACCTTGGAAGGCTGAATCGCTGAAAAGGCGATCCTTCACTCTAGATCACGACGGCGAAGCTTGTACCACAGCAGTAAAACGGCCCGGCTCAAAAGAGACTGGAGGGGCGCTTGGGGGTAGTAGTTCTGAGGTCATGCAGGTGATTAGGGTTAAATGAGATGGGTGGATATCGATAGGTCGATACGCACTGTCATGACCCCTTAGTACTTACCCACAAACGCGCAGAGAACGTATCTTGTACCTTGCAGCTCAATTTCTTGTCGTGCTCGTTCCTCTCAACAGACACTCTTTCAACACTGTTTTGTAGCTGTGGTCCTTCTGTCCTTCGCTCCTTATCGTCGCTCATTTACTTAATACCACACTCTTTTGAAGCACCACTTACCCGTTCGCGTCTTCTTTGGTGTGTATCATCAAAGCGTGCCCGATCCCATCCAGTACATCATCAGCAACTCGAGGGGCGCCACGCGTTTCTCGACCCTAATACTTCATCACGGCTTCCGCACTGGCTACCTCTATCCTCCCTCGGCCCCAGGTCGACGATTCGTTTCGCAGACCCTCGATTCTGCAGGTTTTCGACCTGCCCGCCTTCAAGACGCCAACCACCAATTTTGAAGACAAGCTGCCGTCGATCGGCCACGATATATCACGCCCTTCCTCAAGCTCGACCGTGGCTTCATACACCCAACAACGGCATGGCAGCAATGCCTCGATCCAGCTGCCTTCGCTGGCGACGCTAGCTTCAGCTGCATCGAACTGCCCCACAGCGAACATGAACAGTAATGATAATGATAATATGAGGAAAGAGACGCCCGAGAAGAAAATGCCGTCTCCGCTTAGGTATGTTCCATTCGAAAGGCAGACGGGCTACGAAACAGGTCGTTTTTTGATGAGTCGCGGCCCAGCTATACTATATCCTCGAGGTGAACATGGCAATCTATGTTGGAATCCTATCGAGAAAGTAGCAGTGTATGCCTTTGAGGATGCAGTATGGCTGAGATGCGACTGACAAAAAACGTTCGTGCAGCGCTGCGGGTGCCGGCCGTGACTGGCTTATCGCAAACGCCAAGCCTTGCACCACGGACTTTTCAACTCGCCCGCTAACATGGAAACCAGCAAACCCTCTAATGGACTCAGCATGACTTATGCAACTTCTGCGCCCGCAACCGCTGGTGGACAAGCTGGTTCTCCGGTACGTATGATTGTGATCGTTGGTGTTTTAGGTCGAGGCATTTCGCTCTATCATTATGGGCTTATCTCACCTATCGATAACCCTTTGCCCCAGCAACGAGCTTCTGCGTACCATACCTCCTACCGATACTCGTGCTGATTTGTTTAGCCCTCGTGCATGAACTGTAGCACCAGCACTACCCCCTTGTGGCGCCGCGATGAAACGGGCGCTGTTCTCTGCAACGCCTGTGGCCTTTTCCTGAAGCTGCACGGCCGGTAAGTTGCGACTGTACAAAATGCATATGAGACATGTACTGACTTGACATCCTCATCTCTGCAGGCCACGACCTATCTCACTCAAGACCGATGTCATCAAGAGCCGCAACCGCGTGAAGACTGGCGGGCCAGGCGGACGCAAGAGGGTATGCAGGTCATCTCGTAGTCACTGTCACGACTAACACACGACAGACAAGTGACCAAGGTGGTCTTCCTGCCGCGCATCCCGATGCTGATGGCCAGCTAGCCCTCGCCCAGCACCGCCGCACATCAGGCAAGATCTCTTCAGGCTTGTCCGACCGCTCGCAATCGCCTATATCACGCACCGGCACCCCGAACTTCAACCATCCCTCCAACATCGCACCGTCGCACCTGTTTGAGCAGGCGCTGCATGGTGGTGATTTCCATTCGCCTTCGCTCCCGGGATTCGGTATTCGTGCTCCCTCGCCCGCTAACTCGTCGATCAACGGTTCCCATCTCGAAGCTCCTCTCCCATATGAGACTCTCGCCGCACAGAACACTGCACTCAAGACACGTGTCTCGGAAATGGAACTTATCAACGATCTCTTCCGGAACCGCGTTAGCGAACTCGAACAGAGCGAGCAATCAGCGCGGCAGACAGAATCAACCTTAAGACAAGAGCTTGAGGAGATCAAACAACGGGAGGCCGACCTGAAGAGGCGGCTTGACGAAATCGAAGCCGACAGCCCAAGACACAAGAAGATGAAGATGAGCGAATTTGTGGACGAGAGCCGCGCTGGCACGCCTATTAGTGCTATGGTTGAATAGTCACCATGGGCTCTTGATGAGGCGTTTCCTTTGATTATCTAATGACTGTTTCATGCATGCGGGGAGAGACCGAGTTGCATCTGTCATCTCCCTGCGACGAGAGTTGGGCGTCGACGCCTGCTTTGTGCTCGGTCTTTACGACCATCTAATGTCTGAATACCACTTCTTATCACTGTCCCTTGGGGCTTTGATTGTATTGTAATCTTTCTTTTGAGTCTGATACCAAGTGTTGATGCGAGGAGATGTAGCTGTGCTGTTACGGCCGAGATGGGTGGGACGGGCTGGGATGGATGGGATGAGGCGGGAACGGGCCATGCTTACCAAAAGTCTTATATGGGGGTTAGTTTAGTCGCTATTCAATGCGATGCGAGCACTGCATTTACTTGCCTTTGTTTCATGTTGTATGTGAGAGCTTGTGCAAACTTAATACAATCACGCACTCGTCTTATAGTCAGAACCACCTCAGTACCAAGACGACGACTGATCCGTATCCATGGCGGCTGCGTTGAACACCACACTGCAGATATAGTTGTTGAGTGCGTTCACTTTGATTTGTTCAAGCCCACCCGCTGATTCTTGCTCATTGCATCCCGGTTTGGGTAGCATTAGGATCTTGTGTCAGGATTGTACTGAGTTCATCTCATCATGATGACTCTTGAACCCTGTTCACACACCGGAATATGTGAATGATACCGATACTTAAATACGAGCTTGAGGTCCTTCCTTGTTTGCTTGACTGAACTACCAGTGGTATCGGAAAAAGCTCTCCCTGTCGGAAGTCTGGTGTTTGTTGTGCCATGGAATACGATCGACTCGGGCCACATGTTTGCAATGTAAAGAAGTGCAGAGCATACAAAAGAGTCATGTCACAGTAGAGAAAGTGTTTGCAACGTCCTCCTCAATAGATAAATCTAGGCCATGTCTAAAGTCAAGCCAAAGAACCTCAATTGACACATTGAGCGTGATGATGTCGACAGTCGGCTCGGTTCTTTCGGTTGATAGGAATGTGGTTTTGAGGTGACTGTAGGTTACGGAAGGCTGGAATGGTCTCCAAGATCTCCCAGCTCAGCACCAAGTCTCATAGGATCTCTCACCTTTCACAGCAATTCCAAAATGCCTTGATTGGCTTCAAGACATTGGTCGAAGTGGTGGTTATCGGGAGTAAACGGGGAGCGCTAACCCGATGTGAGCTCCCGCACGGACTCTTGGCGGCTAATCAACCCTTCAGCGAGTTTTTGCATCCACCTCCTCCATCCTCCTCCCACCACTCCCCATCCATTGAAGGACCAATTCATCTCCAACTCATCTCCACTCCGACCGTCAACACCATCACCATGGTTGCCATCGCTCGCTCCTTCGGCGCCGCCCGCGTGGCCGCCCGCGGCTTCTCCAACGCTGGTATGTCTCGCGCCTGCCGCAGCAGCTCAAGCCATTGGGCTTGAGCTCTGCAAGCTCATCAAGCAGCCATTGACCATCATCTCGCAGCCCGCCAGCCCCAGCAGAGCACCCTCGTCGCTGCCCGCAGTGCCTTCCGCAACAACGCCGCCCGCAACGTCATCCAGAAGCGTGGCATCGTCGCCGAGTCCACCGCTGCCGCCATGGTCGCTGCCGCTAAGATCCAGGGTGCCGGTCTCGCTACCATCGGTCTTGCCGGTGCCGGTGTTGGTATCGGAACGGTTTTCGGTGGTCTCATCCAGGGTGTTGCCCGCAACCCCTCCCTCAGGGGTCAGCTCTTCCAGTACGCCGTTCTCGGTTTCGCCTTCGCTGAGGCCACTGGTCTTTTCGCGCTCATGATGTCCTTCTTGCTCCTCTACGTCGCATAGATGTGTGCATTGCATGGACTGCCGGACATTTGGGGTCAACGGTATGGGGGTGCCGCAAGGTTGAAAACTTTTCTTGCGGATGGGTGTGTGCATAGGGACGACTACTACCTCTTTTCCTACTCTAGTGGCCGGTCAGATTGTGTAAAACATGTACTTTAGACGAGCAATCTGAAGAGCAAGCTACCACCACGGCTCGCTTTCCTTACCCAGCGCACGTGCGGAAGCTCTAGCTATGGTAATGACATGTGCGGATGACTGACGTTAAGCTCAATGAACTCGATTGGACCCTCCTAGACGATACCGAAGCTTGTCAATGCCCGTGCCACGTTCCGTGATGAGCTACTGCTGTTCTAGCTGTCCGACATTGGAACTTGGTCGTGCCAAGCTTTTCGCTCGACTTCAGCCTTAAGCTTGTGGACATTTCATACTGCCTTCCCTTCCACAGCGATAGTCAAGTCCGACTTGATGCTAAGTGCCTGTTGAATTGTTTGTCTTACCTCCCGTCACAGGTATACATATCGATGGCCTACCCCAGAACCCCGCGATTGCCTCGGTACGGCCCACACCACCGGGGGTAAGCTGTAGATGAACCATCGATACAAATATGGAGTAACGACGCATTACTTGTTCGATTACAACCCCATATTCACAAATGTTGCTATGTCGCGAGCATGATTGCGGTGTTGCTGGTGTTGTTATGATACTAACCGTAGTTTCCCGCGGAAGTCACGGAAACAGGTATGGGCTTAAATCACAACCATACTGTTATGGATCTCGCTGATTGCTTGTAGCATCAATATTACAACGCAGTCGGTACTACTCGATCGTCCATGAAACGTATATCGCTCGACCTCTTACGACCGCCTTACAGCACCAACGTCCTTCCACCCGATCACAATTTACGTTGGATACGCATGGTCTGAGATAACGAGGAATGACGCATCTGTGGAACCACAGGGCTGTGGCTATCGCAAACGAAGGACTTGACGGGCGTAATGAAAGCTGTGGCTCCTCATGATGGGACCTACACACTCAATCGCATCGCAAAATGGATGGTGGGGCATGTCTGGGGAGCCTCTGTATCTGGATTCAGATTGCTCTGATACTTGATACAGTCGCAGAAGAAGCAACAACTGCTGCGCAAGTCGTATGGAGGGACCGAGGCTGCATCGTTTCAGATCTATGTTTGGGCAGATGGTGAGGCTGTTCCCGAAACATGACACAGCAATGCTCCAACCTGATTCCGAGAAACCGAAATCGGAAACTAAACAACCCAACTCTTCCTTGCCGACTGCGGGACAAACAATGCTCTCGGACACCGAAATGATGTATGTTCTTACTCGGGTCGTACCACACCGTGAAACTACAGTAGGTTTTGGGACAAGCTTCAACATTCGACGCCGCAAAGCTTAGCTGTCATGTCTCGCTGGCGTCACCACTCTAGCTCATGGTATTTAGCCCTCGGACGCCTTCCTGAGGTCAATTGAGCAACTACTATTCCATCCGTACTATCATCTTGTAATCTTTGTGCTGGTCACTCTTCTTCTAACAACTCCTATTACAATACACTTGCAATCCTGTTAACCAGTAAACATGCGTTGCACAGCCTTCATCGCCGTTGCTGCGTTCTCCAGCGCAGTCTTCGCTGCTGGTATGCTTCTATGCCTCTACGATATGCATGTGATATCGAACGTCCTTCTAACATCTCTCAGCCAACCCTCAAGATGACGTTGCGTCCATCCTCGAGGCTCTTCGTGCGAACAACCCGGAAGATGCTGATGCCGCTGCTGCGGCCATGAAGGTCAAGCTTCGCCGTCAGGACGATTTGGACTCTATCCTCGCCGCCCTGGAGGCCAACAACCCCGACGATGCTGCCGCTGCTAAGCAGGCCTCGTCTTCATCTGCCACCAAGCGCCAGGACGACTTGGCTTCCATTTTGGCCGCACTTGAGGCCAATAACCCTGACGACGCCGCGGCTGCTAAGCAGGCTGCACCATCCTCTACTGCCACCGCCACTCCTGTTTCTAAGCGTCAGGACGATGTGGCTTCCATCCTCGCAGCACTCGAGCAAAACAGCCCCGACGATGCCGCGGCTGCGCGCCAGAACATCCAGAAGCGTCAAGACGACGTTGCGTCTATCCTTGCAGCACTCGCACAGAACAACCCGGATGATGCCCAGGCAGCTCAGAGCCTTGGAAAGCGATGGATTGCCTAGATGAAGAATGTCTTGATGGCAAGGTGATGAGCGGGTGCTGCGATTTGGTTCGGAAGGTAATAATTGGGTGTACATAGTTTAGTGCTTTTGACTGACTCTATACGATAAGAAATCCCCAGGCATAATTCTCACTAATGCACTCATTTGGTCTGATTTTGGTATTTGCTAAAGAATGATGTTGTTGCTTCTGGTCGGGGAGGGTGCCCCGAATTGGGAGCAGAGACGCAGCCCCTGTTGTACCCCGCATCGAGAAAAGAGTCACCACTTGTCACAACGATTTGCTCAACGCCTAGGTGATACACAGGAAGACTCCGCCCATGTTCACAATTGACTCAAGTTATATATTATGTAAAACTAATTTTTGTCCAGTTTCTCCATCCGACACGATGGCCGAGTGGTCTAAGGCGGTAGATTTAAGCCCCGCTTAGATCTCTACTACAGAAATGTGCGTGGGTTCGAGTACGTTACACCGCTCAACATTGCTTTGCGAAGTATACTAACCTACAACAGACCCCACTCGTGTCAAAACAGGATAATTTAATTTTTTGTTTTTTTTTTGTTTTTGCTCCTTCGCTTGAGAAAGAGATGGTCAGTGGTAAGTCTTGACATCGAGGACAACGCAGCCGATCTTACCAACCAATTTGGCCTGCCTATGCTCCATCAATGGCGAGCATTAAGATGAATTATAAGAACATCCGTGGCCAAGTACGCTTTATTTTTCATCTTTGTACTCGAAAGGAAGATCTTTTGGCTGGTGACGAGGTTTAATGTCAAGGAGGACCACGCCCGTACTTACTCATCAACGGCGAGCGTCAGACCAAGGTGTGGAAAGTCACGAATGTGTCAAAGAACGACGGCGCTGATTTTCTAGGCGAAATCGACGGACGGCACAAGAGCATATCACATGTTAGAGGATGCATGACACCACATGGAGAAATTAAGATTGATGTCCCATACTTGCCCAAACTAACCACTTCTTTTATATCCGCTCCTGCTTCTTAGAGCCTCACCATACCTAGCCAAGACAAACGGTATGCACGCACCCAGAATGCTCAAACAGCCGAGCAATGTACAAGCCCACTGGGGGCCCAGTCTTCGAAACATCTGGACTGCAAAGAGGGGAAAGGTTCCACCAAGTACGTACCGCAATATAGCATTCGAGGCCATGGCACTGGCACTGTACAGTGGTCCGTACGTATCAGTGATATACATCATGCATGCCATGAAGATAAGCATATTGCCCATGCCGAAGAAGGCTTCGGCAATGGTTGGCACAATCCAATGTACACGGCAGGCTGCAGACCAGCCAAAGAGGAACAAGCCGATAGTGAGAATGGGCCCACCAGCGAATGCAAGCGGCAAGCGCTTTTCAGGCGCCAGCCGTGATGTTGCAAAGGCCGGAGCTGGCCTCTTCTCTGCAACCGCCTTCCGCACGCGAGGCAGGTAGAAGAGTTTGCTGAACGATACAATACAAACGGTGGCTACAATGACACCGACACCCAGGCCGAGGAATGTAAGACCTGTGGATATGCTATCGAACCCATACTCTGTCTCGAACACATACGGGAAAGCGGCGAAGAAGGCGTACAGCAAGCCAAAGTTGAAAGCAGAGTACGTGTTGAAGGTTGCCACAATCGGCTCCGTGAGCAGCATGTGCATGGGCCGAGTGAGGGTTTTGGTGGCATAAGTGCTGACGACCTTCGGCAACGACATGCCTTCGGTTGGCGATCTTGGGAGCGGAAGATTGCGTTTCTTCGCGCGGCGACGTAGGAGGACAGGTTTGTACGACTCACGGAAGAATGGCGCTGGTGCAATGACGAGAATGATAGTGAAGAAGAGTATCAACCATGACGTCCAGCGCCAGCCACGTGTTTGGGTTACGGCAGCACCCAGGATTGGTCCTAATGCTGGGCCAAAGAATGGTGTTGCGACGTAAAGCGACATGGGACCAGAGCGCTTCTCAGGCGGCCAGATATCGCTCAACGTACCTGACCCCATACTCAGACTAGGCGCAGCGAAGAAGCCAGCCCAGAATCTCAGCACCACCAGACTCGCCATACTTTGCACGAAACCTGTGCCTAGGATGAAGAGCGCAAAGATGGGCAAGCTGATGAAGATGAGGGGTCGTCTTCCAAAAGTTTCACTAAGAGGAGCAGCGAACGGTCCACCAAAAGCTAGTCCGAGGGCATATATCGAGTATGCAAATGTCGCGATAAGTTGCGTCGAGCTCAGCTCTGTCGCTGCTTGTTCGATGGCAGGTGTGAAGACGGACGATGCGAATGTCCCCACAAGCGCAATACCGGAGATCGTGTATGTCTGATACCACTTCCTGGCTGCGCTCCAGTTATGAGGGTTCAAAGGGTCGTCAGGGCCGTCCCAGTCGAGAGTCGCAGGGCGAACTTGCGATGAAGCCCCATCAGCGATTGGTGTTGCATCTTGATTTGAACTCGGCTGAGGTCCTTTCTCAGGATCAGAATCTGACTTCAAGCCCACCTCAGTTGATGGCTGACGACTTCTACCAGGAATCTTTTCGACATTGACGGGACTTGGTGGCCTTGTTGATGCTGCTGTCGTATCCGACCAGGAAACAGGTCGTGAAGCATTTGGAGCGGCCATGGCGTGAGTCTTTCACTTCACAGATATGAGAAAATGGAGCTGGCAACAAGTCGACAGAGCTTTCGCGAGACATGAAAAAGACGAATGCGTTTGCGCCATGACTCTAGTATGGCCCACCATGGTAAAACTCCGATAAGAAGACCTTCTGCACAGACAAAAAGATTGTCGCGTAAATTCTAGTCTGGTGTTGATCTGGCATGAGATGCGATTCTGCAAACTAGATTGGTAGGTCCTGGTAGTGCATCTGGACGATCCTGGCTCCGATCGATCCAAAAATTGGCATGTTGAGCTTGTTCGGAGTTGAGAAGCGGTTGAATCTAAGGATCGGGTGAAGCTAGAGTTCGGGATCGTGCCGGCGCTGCATCTGAAGCGGGTCTGATGACGATGAATACTGCTTTCTTTCTGCATCCAACCTCAATAGTGCATACACGTCCATTGAGCCCACCAAGTCGACCAGAACTCATTGGTGCCTGTGAATGGAGAACGTGTCTCTACTCTAGTGTGATTCTTGTGCTTTTAGGGATACTGAAGAAGCATACGAAGAGCCTCACTACTAGTGCACTTGCTCATCGATAGTGGGCGACCTGACTGTTATCGCGCGCCAATGCGATCAGAGACATAGCCCGAGATAGTGTCGCATTCAGCAACGTCTGGCAGCAACTTGATCTGCAAGCGCTCACACGTTGAACAGTTGCGCAATGCCCCGATTCGGCTGGTCTCTCCTCACCAACGTGCTCAGTTTGCTGGCGTAGAATTGTAAGATGCAACAACATACATCAGGGCTGGCACGATCGTTCATCGGCCCCACTTTTGCTGCGCAGCTAATTGCATGGCCGACCCAACCAATGGCCCTCAGACACCTTCTTTCTGCATAAACTCTTCTACAGCGAAGCTCTGGTAAGCAGGGATGAGTATGCGCAGCATCGTCTGAGCTATTACGTCGCCTCGATATACCTTCTTTTGGCTTAGCAGTTCTCATTTTACAAACGAGCCCAGGCAGCGCGAAACTGGCGCGGTCAGGCATAACTATGCGTTTTTTTCGCGTTGGAAATGAAGTCCGTCATCACTATGCGACAGCAACAACCACTCAATTCTGGCTCAAATTTCGGCCTTCGGCATTTGTGGGAGCAGTCGCAATCATGAGGAGTTTCAGCGTGTCTTCGGCTCTATCACTTGAGATCGCCCGCACTCTCCTCCCAGCAGTTTGCAAGATCCAACCACGCCGATTGTCGTCAAGCGAATGTGCGCCTTTAGCCCCCTAGTTTGATGCGACACCCCAGATTGGGATCGAAGCTGCATAAGATGTCAAGTTCTACGCTCTATTGACCGAGATGAATAAATCTGACACACGGTGTTGGCGATCGTCATCTTTTTGTTTATCTACGACAGCGACGCAAATCTCCGCAACGACTCCTGAGTTCAGCTGAGGGTGCGTCGAGCATGCTACGCCGCTACCACCTGTGGGTCTCGCCTCTCTCCACCGACGAAGAAAAGGATGAAAATCAGGGTTTGAGCAAGGTGAAAGAGAAGACGTCGTCCAATTACTAGTTGTGGCTTTCTCAGCTTCCAATCGAACGTGGTTCACATGTTTTGTAGCACATCATAGACGTATCGAGACTACACAAGAGTCGAGGGAAACGCCATTCAACACCTGACAGAGTATTGTGAGTAACGATCGTCGCATACTGTACTGCGATCAATTAGATACAGGAAGAGTGAGGCACATAACGGCCAACCGCATTGTGCGTCCAACCTAGTGGATGCAGCATATCTTGGCACACATAGCCTCACTTACAACCGCCATTTCTCCCAAACTTCAAGGTTAATCCTGACATCCTAACGCAACAAAGTTAACAATTGACAAATGGCGGAACAAAACATCTCAAGCCAAAGCGACAGAGGCGTAGACAAGAGCGCCCAACGACCTTCGTGCTTTAGCTCTTTCAGTTCTACATCGAGCATCACATTCAGAATTAGGCATAGCATAGTTGCCTTCCGGGAAAAGATACGATCATTAGATAGTAGGTGAGTAGTTACACTGGATACAGTGGTTATGGTTGGCCTAACATCATTCAGGCGAATACAGCAGAAGCACCAGCAGGCAGCCGTCCCCTGCTCCAAGCTCCTTACCCTCCCATTCGAAATTCGTCTTATGATATACGACTACGTTTTTACTGCACGCAATGCTACCTACTCTGATATCCGTCTTGTTTCTTCCCAGAATATCTATCCAAATGCGTTCTGGAATGCCAAAATGCCACGCGGATATTATATCAAAGGTCATCCTTGCATAGGTGAAGAAATGCTTGAGTTTACAAGAGCTTCCTCAGGCTTAGCTGCTCTAAATACCGAAGATATTGCGATTGGTAAACGACACGAGGACGTAGATAAACTATATCAAGAAACCCAGCTTGGGGTAATGGCTTTGATGCTGACCTGTCGTGCGCTGTAAGTCTCGAAACTTGTATATAGAAGAAAGAGCACTGACACTGACACTGACAGATACCACGAGATGCTCAACATTTTCTACGCACACCGAACCTGGCAGTTCAACGACCTTGACACTCTAGTCATTACTGCGGAACATATCCCGATGCGACACTTTAACAGTATCCGCTCTCTATACCTTAACGCAAGCCACCTCCCTCAATATGCAGATTTTACAGGCTACATTTGGGGTTTACCCCGCGAGTATCAACAAAGGTTTAGACACTTGGCTCCTCCCTCAAGGTCGCTAATATCGCGCGTATCGCGCGCTGTCGACACCAGATTGATCGACACTGGAGACATTCGCAAATGGCAGGCAGCCTGTGATATAATAGCCCGGATGGAGTCGCTTAAGAAACTGCGAATAACCTTGTGTGAGCAAGCTTTCATTGTGGTATTAGGGAGCAGACGACCAAATGTACAAATCACGAAGGAGTCATTCGTGTTCGCTCCGTTGATTGAGATTGGGAAGAGAAGAGACCTAGAGGTATTCGAGGTCCAGGTTGACTGGCCTGTCGGCGATGACGATGCGTGGTCTGAGGAAGCAGAGAAGGGGTTTAATTTGATAAGGCTTGCCGGGGAGTCGCATTCAGGGCTGCAATGATCCGTATTGCGTATGACGTCGCCTAAAGATGCGGCACCTATCGTTGCCAGCCTAGATAGTCGTCGGTTACAATGCGGTATTTCTTTCCAGACCGGCATGCTGTCTTCTCGAAATGACAGAAAGAGGATCAAACCACAAGATTATAGTGGATAAACGTTGCACTACAACGCCGAACAATGCTATTGTCTGCGCCTCGAAGAAGAAAAAGCCAAAAGAGCAGACGAGCTACATAAATGACGTGAAAATGATATCCTACTACCATGACACCTCAATCCTTACACTATTGTCCTAAATTATGCACCCCTAACATATCTTTACTGGACATCGAGAAGCTGCTTCAACTGTACAATCAACTTCCACTCGTCCTGGCTAACGTCGCTCCTGAAGAACTCCTTGAGTGTATCGATACTCTTCCGGCTAATAGCAGAATACAGAATATCGTCTTCTTCCAAGTGGCGACCGTACATGGGCTGATTGTTGCCCTCGATCTTGACGGCGACGGAGGGTTGACCCCTCTTGCATATTTGCATGGGTTTGTGGTCACGCTCGATAGAAGTGCTATTGAACGAATTAGTAAAGGGTGTGGTAGTAGAAGAAAAGCAGACTTACACTCTTCCGAGATTAACGATTTCCTTAGCACCAGTGACAGCGTTCTTCTTGACCGCGCAGATGGGCGTTGTCATTCTCAGAGCACCTTCAGTAACATCCACACCAATAATGATAGGATCCTTCTTGTTGAAAACAGCGACCGGCTTGAGTACGCAAGGGAAGACTGCCAGCATCTTTGACTCCTCCTTCCGCTGCTCCTCAAGCTGCTTCATGTGTGCTGTGAACTTGTCGAACAAGTGGTAGATGATGTCAGCTTCAAAAATCTTGACACCGATCTCCTCTGCATACGCTTTGGCTTCCTTGTCAACCTTGACATCGAAGCACAGCATGACGGCGTATTCTCTGGCCTTTTCTAACATGATACCGGCTCGAAGAACGTCCTTCCTGAAAACCGGACCAATGGAAATAGTAGCCACAGGAATCTTTGAGACACGCAAGAACTCAAGGAGCGCTTCGAGCGAACCCAGAGTGGACGCTTGGACAGAGACACCGCGACCAGTCTTGGAAACCTTACTGAGCAAGTGTGCTAGATCGCCCATGACTTCATCCATGAGGTCCTCCTCGTCATCATTAGGACCGACGACAAGTAGACGCGAACCGGCGATGGCTTGGTCGAGTCCATCAGCAGCGATTTTGATACCCATGGCAGCCTTGACCTCCTTGTTGTGCACGTATTGTGACTTGACACGTAGCTCCTTCATCTCAGCCGGCGTCAATAAAGCTCGAATGTTAGTTACTATAGGTTCTGGATTACCACACAGCACTATGCGGTCGCCTTCGTGAAGAACACCGTTGGACAAGATAACATCTATAGTGGTACCAAGACCTTCGATGACCTTGACTTCAAGCACAGTACACTCAACCTCTGAAAGATACATGAGGTTGTTCGTAAGGCGCTCTTGCGTAAGCTTGACAATAAGCTTGATCATATCAGGGATACCTTCTCCGGTATGCGCTGATGTTGGGCATACGGAGACGTACTTGGACATGTTCTTGTTTCTGTTGAAGATCTCAGAGTTGAAACCTTGTTCTTGCAGTTGAGTGCGAACAAAAGTCCATCGCTCTTCAAACTCAGATTGAACGGAGGCCTTTTGAAGGCTCAGACTATCTTCGAAGCCGTTGTTGTCGATCTTCTTCCAGCCGAACAGACGATCGATCTTGTTGAGAGCAACGATGAAAGGTGTCCGCCTGTCTCTAAGAAGCTTCATGGACTCGATGGTTTGAGGTTCAAGACCGTGCATTATATCGATAACGAGGATAGCAATGTTACAGAGCGAAGAACCACGAGATCGGAGGTTGGTGAAAGACTCGTGACCGGGTGTGTCGATAACTAGGAGACCAGGGACGTTGAAAACAAAGTCGTTGTCCTTGTTAACGACGGCAACCTTCTTCTGAAGTGCCTCAACAGGGAAGTAGGTGGCACCAATCTGTTGCGTGATACCTCCAGCTTCGCCTTCTTGTACGTTGGTCTGGCGGATCTTGTCGAGCAGCTTTGTTTTACCGGTATCGACATGGCCAAGAATACAGCAAATAGGAGATCGCAAGTTGTCCTTTGATCGCGCAGCAAGAGCCTCCTCGTGAGCCTGCTTTCGTCGGTCGGCGGCGGCAGCCTTACGAGCGGCTTCGGCTCGCTGCGTGGCGGTTCCTTCTTCGTCTTCCGACGAGTCGTCCTCGCTGTCATCTTCAGAATCGGAATCTGAGCTAGCGTCCTTAGACTTGTCGGCCTTGTCTGCAGCAGCCTTCTCCGCTGCCGCCTTCTCTTCCTTGGCCTTCTTCTCACTTGCCTTGCGCTCTTCTTCTTCATCGGTGTCGACGTCCCAACTGTCTTTAACACCGTCCAACTCGTCGGCTTGAGCCTCCCAGTCGTCGGCAGAGTCACCGTCCTCTCCCTTCTTGGCTTCAGCATCGAGCCGGGCTTTCTCTGCAGCCTCAGCTGCAGCGGCAGCTTGCTCTTCGGCCAGCTTGAGTTCTTCCATTTTCTTGGCGGCCTCCTCTGCCTCTCGAGCTTCCTTCTCTTGTTGACTCTCGGCCTGCTTCTTCTTCTTTTTCTTGCGGTCATCGTAGACTGGCTTCTTCTTCTTCTCGGCTTCATCGGCAAGTCCGGCAACCTTTGTGCCACCTGATTCTAGGAGCTGCTGTAGGCGGAGTTCGTTCTTTGCCTTTGCTTCCTTTTGAGCCTTGGTCATGTACTTGCCCTCCTTCTTCAGTTGCTCAATCTTTTCTTTCTCCTTCTGCTTCTTGAGTGCCTTGGCTTCCTCCTTGCGCTTCTGCTCTTCAGCCTCTTGTCGCTCCAGTTCCTCTAGCCTGGCTTTCTCTTCGGCCTCAGCGCGCGCCATCTCTTCTTCTCTCTTCTTGCGCTCTTCCTGTTGCTTCTGTAGGGCAGCCAGCGCAGGGTTGAGCTTCTTCTTCTTGCCTCCAGCAGCGGGCGCGGCATCTGGGGCTGGTGTAGGGGCCGAAGGTGCGGCAGAGGCAGCTGGCTTGGTCTCGGTAGGCTTCGCAGGTTCGGCTTTGGCAGGACCAGTGGCCTTCTTCTTCGCAGCCTAATACTGGTTAGTACACGCTCATCCAATGAACAATGTAGTTGACGGATCCGTACCAATTCCTTCTTTCGCTGCTTTTCCTTCTCCTTCTTCTCCTTCTCCTTCTCTGCCTTGGTCTTCACACGCGGAGCATCACTGGTGGTCTTCTCCTCGACGGGTTCCTCGGTCTTGGCAGCAGCGCCACCCTTACCCTTCTTCTTGCCGTAGTTTCCAGCAAATACATCGTCGTCATCGTCGTCGAAGGTTCCTTCCTGTGGTGCTTTGCTGTCAAAGTCGCCGTTTGCGTCATCAACAGGTGGGTCCTCGCCTTCGACTTCAAGATTTGCGCCCTTCTTGTTCTTCTTCTTGCCGCGCTTTGCAAGAGCAGCCATCAAACCACCACCGGCAACATCTTCATCGGCGGCAGCATCCTCAGGCTGGGGTTCTGTTGCAGCGCCATCCTGAGGCGCGACAGACTCGCCGAGCTCGGCTTCCCAGTCGTCGTTCTGCGCCTTCTTGTTGCCCTTCTTTTTTGGCGGCATTTTGTATATGGTGTATTGCTACGGATGTGGTATGTGGACTCTTATGTGCAGATGTCACTAGAGGCGTGTTGTGATAGGGCGTGGCCGGGTCGACAGTTCGCACTCGATGGGTCGCACTTGGAGTCAACTGTAGAAATCGCAAGTGATCCAGCAGGCGGCCTCGCGCTTCACAGTGGAAGTGGCAGGAGGGAAAACTGGAGCCGAAGAAGACAGGTCCCGAATCAACCAATAAAGGCCTGGACCGTGAAAGAGTGACGAGAAAATGCGAACGCACACTGGCTTCTGCGAAATTCCGTTGGAGTTATCGATTGTTCTGTGTGGCGGCGGGCGGCGAACGGCTAGCTATGGAGGGGTAGGAGGCGCTCGGACCACCCATGGCGCCCATGGCTTCCTTGTCTATGCCGTTGATTCGCAACCTCCGTCCACTAATAAGTAATCAAGCATGCAGAGCAAGTTATGATGGACATTGTCACTATGCAATTCTTCATAGCTATTCTTGCGTCCTACGTCCCAGGTCTACACCCAAATTTTCCCTTCCATTGCGAAGCACACCACAGGACGACAAATATAAAGTATGCTGCTCCGACAAATTCCAGTACGTTGAACGCCGTGCCAAAACCTCGAACTCCGACCCAATGAGAGAATGCAATGACGATATTACAATAGTAGCGATAAAAGCCACATGCAGAAGCATGGCCATGTACGTGACTGATGATGAAACGGTATCTTTATGGCAACGCGTAGAATCGTGAAGCATCGACCAAAGTAGAAACTAACTGCAGCCCTCAAGGCTTAGTATAGCTGGCCGCTGATGAGTAAGGACTCGACAGCAGAGCCAATGAACTGCTTCTTGAGCGTGAGATCGCATCCAAATCTGCCGTCGTGTTAGCGTTGATCGTGTGGTTATATGTGAGTGAACATACCTCTGCTCTAGTTCGGCCTTGATCTGCTTCTTGGTGACGTTCATGAGATCAGACTTGGACAAGATATCCTTGATCTCGACCAAGATAGCATCGTCACTTGGCAGGTTCGCCATCTCCATGCTATCCATGCCGTAGCCGCTCTGGGCAAGACTCATTCGTGAGTGATTGTCGTAGCGTGGGAGGTTGAGGTGCGACATGGGGCGGGATGGTGGCATGCCTCCATACTCTGAGCCAGCGACAGATGCGCTTCCAAACGGCTTCCTGGTAGCGTAGGTGTAACCTGAAACCTCCGAGCGGTCGTCACGGATGGTGTGCTGCTCCCACATCTCTGCTTGGTACTCCTCCCACCTCTTCTTAGGGATGCTGGCAGGGTCAAACTTGCCTTCGTCCGTGACAACAATCTTCTGGCCCTTTTCACCAGTAACAACACGAGTGTTACCCCAGGAGAAGTCGTCCATGTACCAGAAAGAGTACAGAGGTAGACCAAAGGCGAAAACGGGTGTTGCAAAGATGTAGATGATCATCCAACCAATCATCTCCCACTTGCGTCGAATAATGAAGATGATGGCCTGTAGACCGTAGATGGCACCAAGAAGAATGAACGCCGTGATAGGAACTACATCAGGCGACCACACCAGTGTGTAGATGAGATAACCAATGTAAACAACAATGACAGGCTGTACGACCGTTGAAAGCAGATCCATGAAGACGATGAAGCGCATACTGAAACAACAGAATCCACAAAGCTGGGTAAGCGGGATGAGTTCGATCAGGTTGTGAACAGTAGAGTTGATCCAGCGACGACGTTGAGACATGAAGACGGACCAGCTGTCAGGCGCCACGGTCCAAGCATGTGCTCTCATTGTGTACTTTGTCTTGTACTTGGAGTGGTACTTGAGGAGGAGCGTGGTCAAGAAACGATCCTCTCCCAGATGCAACAGGTTCTTCGTATGTAGAGTGTCGACCCGAATCTCTTGGTAGGCTTCGACGACTTCCTTGCTGACGAACAATGGTTTTCCAGACTCGGCAGCGCGAATGCGGTACATGGTGAAACAACCAGGAAGACAAGTAACTGAGCCGAACAGACTCTCGAAAGCCTTGGTCAAGTTGTGGGAAATGAAGTATTCGTACACTTGCATCATCGTGACGAAAGAGGATTTGGCGTTGGTGAGGGCGGTTTCACCACAAATGGCAAGTAGGCGAGTATCGTGAAGGAAGGCTGCGACAAATCGAGTGGCGGCGTCAGGTGCAACCTCGGTATCAGCATCAATTTGCAGAAGGAATTCGTAGAAGGTAGGGTTGACTCCAATGATGTTCCGAATCTGATGATGCATCTCGAGCTCAAGCGGAGTCATGGGGAGGTTGTAGTGCACACGGTTCAAGAATCGCATGAGGATAATCTGGGAGTCACGCTTTCCACGGTTACCAGGCTTGGAGACTTCCGAAGGCTTTCCGATCTTGACCACGACCAGGAAAGGCACGATGTGACCATGTACCTCGTACAGACCAGAGTAACATTTGCCCATGTTGTGTTGACGCTGTCCTTCGCCCAAACTCTCGAAGCTGAGTGGCTCGGGGTCGGTAGCCTCGGGGACACCCAGAATGTCGAGAACGATACGAGGAGTGGGCTTGTCGTTGCCTTGACCGATAATCATGCCATCGCAGACAATGACAAGTAGTTTGCGCTTGTCATCATACTTCATCCTAGCGGCGGAATCGATAGCACGACGAAGGGATTCTTCGTCTTCAGTGTACGCGGGAACGGTGCAGATGATGAACTTGTCAATGTTTTCCGGGTCTGTCTTTCGGCTGAACTGAAGAGCCGCAAGAAACTTGAAACCGATGACACTGACTAGCATAATGGAAATCGCAAGAAGGAAGTACTTGGCGAACAAGCACTTGGCCGAGTTTCTGGTGTCGACATCGCCGACGTAGAAGAGATTGTTCATGCAGGTCTCCATGTTCGCTTTTGTTGTAGCGTCCAAGTTGAGATTCTGCCAGTACTTGGTAATGTCTTTACCAGCCTGAACTCGGAAAATGTCCACGACGTCTCGTGACATGAAGTCGGTATCGATATTTCCTGTGTCGTTGGGTTCCTCACCAATCGGGAACTTGAGTTCGCGACCACCTGGGATGTAATCCGTGAAATCGTATACGCGGCCATTCATGTAGGCAATCGAGTTACCCTTGTTTCCAAGCGTTTTCAGATATTCAGGGCTGTATCCAACTCGGCCTTTCATGTAGTTGGCCTTGAGGAACATTTGCTGCTCAAACCACCAGTCGGGACGAGAATCGTTGGTGAAAGACCGGAAGTCATGGTATTGCGCGTTGAGATCGGTGGTACTGATGAGATTGTTCACGGATGAGTCGGTGTAATTGGAGTTCTTGTAGTTCAGTTGAACGGCGTCGTTGATCCCCTTTCCGTCCTTGCCTAAGCACAGAGCAGAGACCTGCACAGGGAACAGATTGGTCGCATCTTTTCCTGAGTACTTCTCCAGATTCTTCTGTGGGACAATGCTGGGGTAATGGTGTGGAATGAACTCTCCCAAGTCGTAGACGATACCCCGGATGGCAACGTAAGCTTCGTTTCCATCCTTGCCGTCGTAGGAAGTCAGTTCAGCAGAAGAGTAAACATGTTGTTTCGGGCAGATGACAGCGGGAAACCCAATCATGAGGAAGATGACAAACGCACAGCTCCACCAAATGATCATGTTGATGGCTAACTTTTCTCGCCATGCCATCCGCACGTCTTTGCGCTTGATGCGTCCAATGTATCGGATAGCAAAGTCGGGAATGAGCCATGTCATGACGTAGACAATGAACACCCATCTCTTTCGACTGCTGGAGGTGGGAATGGTTTCGACTTCTTGTAGTTTTGCATCAGCTGCTTTCTCGTCGTCAATGGCTTTGGGCTGTTCCAAGCCATGGAACATGTCCCCATTGGTGATGCCAGACGGCGCTTCTGAGCGAGCATCAATATCACGCTGACCGAAATAGTTGCCGCTCTTGTCGTCATAGTATGCGCCAGGCGAGGGCGAAAGAAGGCCGGTTCGGACGTCACCAAACGATCGACCAGCTTCGGGAGTAAGCAGATTGTCGTTGGAATCAGCAGGTCCACGTGCATAAGGAGCGAGGTTCGATACATTGGCAATCTCGAGCCAGCACTTCTCACTTAAGAAGACACCAGTGGCACCAACACGAACTTCGTTCTCTCGCCACGGCTTTTGATCAAGGACCATCTCAGCCTTTTCTTTGTCGCTACCAACAATGGCAAGGTCAGTTTGAGCAAGTCCGAGGAACTCCGCGAAAGGCATGAAAATGCTGTAATCAGCAACCCGGAGACGTTGACTGATCTCTGCGATACCGAGAGCCTGAACCTGTTGACGAACGCACTTGCTGTCGAACTGATTTGCAATCCTTCTGTCATTGGGTTTCAAGCAGAAGACAAAGTAAGCGTTGGCTTTCCGCATTGTCGATTCAATGGTCCTCAAGGAACTGATGAACTGACCCGCAGCACCAGTCTGCTTCTGGGACTCTCCAGGCTTCTTGGTGCCAGAGATGTTGCTTTCAGCATCACTGATGGCCTCTTCGTCGAATACATTGAGTTGACGTCCAAATCGTCCCGTCTTGTCAGCCTTCCGCTTTGCCAGACTAGGTTGACGCGTGGGTTTGGAGCTAACGGTGGCTTGAACAATAGCTGACTTCTCTTTGGGATGTGACATCTTCTGAAGAGCCTCTTGTCCAAAAAGTTGTTGAACGAACGGAGCCTGCGCAGACTTGAGTAGGTGCATCATGTCACCAGAGATAAGCTCTGCGTTCTCTTCCAGCAGCCCCTCGACGCTGTAGTCAATGTCACCTGTGAAATGGCGAATTGTGAAGGTTGGCGAAGTGTTAGGCGTGGGGAAGTTGCTGCCGGGTTGTACGACAGTAAGACTACCAGGTACGATAGCCTGGTGCTTGCCGTCGAAACGCTTACGAATAGCCTCAAGGAACTGCATATCGGTCTTGCCACGGCGCATCTGATCATCGAGAATGCTCAAAAGGCCATTGCCTGGCTTCATGAGACCCGTCTTCACGGCGGTGTTGTCGTAGAAAGCCATAGGTGGCAGAGAGATCTCTTCGGCTTCCAGCTCTTGGATTTGCCGTTGGAAAAAGCTCTCTTGACAGAAAGAGATGAGAGACTCGTTCGCAGTGTTATTGAGCAGCTGGTCGAGTGATGATCCGGTGGCCGCAAAGTTGGCGAATCCGGGGAAGTCGACCATTGAAACGGTGTTGGAAATCTGCTCAGACGGCACCGAGATCCTAGAATTCATCTGCTCCATGACCCATGTTACAAGAAGTGAGTAGAGAGAGCGGGCGAGCTCATCCGCATTGGCTCGTGCACCCTTGGGATCCAGCATGACAGTGACGCGCTCGCGGTAAAGTGTCTTGGACTTGTATCGCAAGCTTTGCTCTAGATCGGACATGGCGACACCCAAAAACTGAGCAATGGGTACTAGAGAGTCCTTGTTCTTGACAACGGTGATAGACTCACCACCCTCGTGGGAGTAACCACCGCTCTCATCGGGCGCAGGGGTAGTGTTTTGACCCATCTCAAACTCGAGCTGACCAATGTGCATGATGGTAGCCATAATCTCGCATATGCCTGCAATGCTTTCCTTGCCAAACTCAAGCCTGCGCAGAGCGGCCTTGAAATCAGCGAAGCCCTTGGTGTCGTCGATACCCACCTTGAGCTGTGTGGGGTGCCCGAGATAGCGCCATCTCTTGTTGGAACCAAGCGAGGTACGGTTGCCGCCATTACCGTCTCCGCCTACTGCGTCAAGGAAGAGATGCTTCTTCTCATTGAGACTGGTGCCGGCGAGGAGGTAGTAGAGAACGTGGTAGGTGCGCTCTCCAGTGGGAACGGAAGCGATGCGGCTGCGCTCGAGACGGTGGGCGAGGAACTGAGCGCCCAGCAGAGTGGCGTTGTTTGCGGTGGTGGTATTATACTGGAGCTCTAATAAGAGACCGGATTTGGAGGCTTGCGGGGTAGTGAGGGACTTGGTAGTGGTGAAGGCATCAAAAACAAAGTTGGCGTGTTCGATCTTCTTGGACAGGGGTGTAGAGGAAAAGGACATGAAGGACCGCAGCATATGTCCACGGATGGTCGTCTTTCCAGCGCCAGACTCGCCACTGTCGCATGTTAGAGGGGTGGTTTGGATGCCGGTCTTGCAAACACTCACAGAAAGACGATGGCCTGGTCCTCAGAACGGTGTCCAAGACGCGTGTAGGCTCGGAGAGAGAGATCCTCGGCGGCCTGGTGGGCACTTCCCTCCTTGCCGCCGTCGACTCCCAGGCTGGCATCTGTGCATGTGTTGATGGCGACAATTCCCTGGGACGAGAGGGAGGCGATGGGAAGATGTGCGTGGTAGCGGCTGGCAAGGGCAGAAGTCAAGCCCGTGTCGTTCTGCTGGTGCTGGGGCAGCGATGGCAGCGAGGGGTTCTGCAGCGGATTGGAAGCCATGATGGGCAGCCGCGTCCCCGTGGGAGCGAAAGAGGGACTGGAGAGTCAGGCAGGAGCAACGCCGTGTCGAATGGCAACTGCTCGTCGAATGGTTGTCTCTTGCTGGTGTTGTGTCCGAGGGCTACTCAGAACGCAGACAGAACAAGAAAAACACGCCACGGAAATAATTACAATCAGCGAGTGTGGTAAAGGGTGTACAAACGAAGGTAAAAGATGTTCAAAGCCGTTGACTTGCAGTGCAAAGGGGCCGGTACAGTATGCTGGCTGCTCTGGACGGAGCGCTGGAGAGCATGGGGCTACGATGCTTCTAGCTCAGCTTCGCCCGCCGCCGCACCAGCCGCTTTTTGGCGTGTGTTGACTGGGAGACCCAGCGATCACGAAAAGGGGGCGCAAAAATAGAATAGAATACGCTGAACTGCCCTATTGCCTCACATCTCCATTGCGGCTCCACTCGTCTGCTTACTGATGAGACGGGAACTTTCTTTGCGCACTCTTCCGCCTCGCACTGCTCACGAGACAGCGGACAGCACGAGGCAACGCGACGCGGCCTGGACCAGAGAAACAAGTCTGGTCGACACTCTTTTCCACGTTGCACTTCCTTCCCCAGGCATGGACTTGGAACCCGGAGGCGCGTTGCAGAGAACCACTCCCAACCATGCATGCTAGTGGTCGCGCTCCCCCGGGAACGATCATCGCTGCACGCTTCAATGCACTAGCTGCTCAACCCGTATCGATTGCGCGGCGACTGAGAAATCCTCCCACCACGGACAATTCTCCATGATGCTCACGTCTCTCACCAGCCGTCAGCTAACGTTTGTTTTGCTGGCGTGAGGACGTTGGGCTAGACGGCCTCGAGGCCCACTGCCCTAGAACCCGGAAGGCTGTGCTGTCTACATGACTTCACGATAGACCCTGGAGTAGCGCCCGCGCTGGGGACACAAGGATTGATTTTATCGGTCCCAACGAGGGGTTAGTGCTTTGACGTCAGGTCGAGTTTTGAAATTGTTCCGGCGTGATTCGGTCTGGTTGAAACCAGCGATCTAAAGACAAATGAGAGCTAGATGAAAGGGAGCGAGTGTGGATATTGGGATGCGCCCACGCTATGATACAAGCTTCAGACATCGGAAGCCATCTCCACAGACCCAGACGGTGTGCCGTCCGTCTTATCGATTGCAGACTGGCCATGGAGTGATTGGAATTCTCCGATGCTTGCTTGTTCATCGCCTTCGATAGTCTGTGGAAATATCGCTGCCATGAATAACAAACTAAAAATAGGGGTTGCCATCGCATCCAGCGCCACCCGCTCGTATCACAGGCCCATCGGGTGGGCGCCGCTGCTGGTAGTGGCCACGAAAACCAAGACTCGCCATCCATGTCCGGCTGGCGTTGATGCATTGAGCTGTCTCGCACCGGTATTAGTCACCCTACTAACACCCCCTAACCATACCGCGCCATCCCCCATGAAGCTGGGCGGGAATGCACCTCGCCCTGAGCCAACAAACATCACGGCTGCTCTGTCTGCGTTCCACGAGCCTCTCTTGCTACCTGCCTTTTGTTCTTCTTCATACAATCGTTTAATCCGTCCACTCGCTAGTCCCGTTCGCACCGTTGCTGTCAAAGACGTAATCACATCCAGAGGCTACCCGTACCACCTTTGCCCGGACATCGACCATCTGGGACGACACCTGCAGTTGACACACGGTACCACCTCATCTACCCTCGCTATAGTATTGCTACTTGCATCCACGGAAGGGGCGACCCGCCTCAGCCCGCAGACATGAGTTTCGTCAACAACTCCCGCATGTCCGTCTACTCGACGGCGTCTGCCTCGGCATCGCGACCGGGGAATTCGCCCTCGCAGATATCGACCACCACCCTCCTCAACACTCTCAACTCGGCATACAAGAACGGGCGCTCGTACAATCTCGAAGCCAGCACCAGCCTGGTTGTCAACACATGGGTCAATGCGAAGAGCATCATTGATGACCGCATTGGTGGCACAGTCGACCTTGAGTTGGGCCGAAAGGCCTGGGAGCATGCCCGCCGGAGAGCTGAGGATGGCTGCATAGTCCTTGCGTATGTATCCAACACCCCCATCTTCACCATCGCCGACTGACTGGTATAGTTCCCTGCATGACTCGAGCCCTTCACTCTTTTCTCCCTTCGTTTCCAGCCTGCCTCTATCGCTGCCGGGCAACTTCTACACCGCGCTCGAGGCCCTCAAGGCCTTCACACACTGCGTCACTCCGCAGAACCCTTCAACTCCTCGCTACTCAGCACTGGCCGCCGTCTTCACCATCAATCTTGCTGGTGCTGTCGTCGGAGCTGAGATCAAGCTGTCCACTTCCGGCTTGGACGTCCAACAAGGCCTGCTCCAAGTTCCTGGACAGACTGGCTTCCGTGCCTTTGATGTCTTCTACTATTTGAACTCGAGCTCGGCATCCAGGCAAGAGAGAGAATACCTGGACATTCAATCCTTGGACAAATATGCCCTCCTCCGACGATCTGGAACATACGACCCTCCTAGCTACCTCCCTGATGCCGACGATGCCGCCGCAGCTGAAGATTTCCGCTCCAACCTTAAGGCAATTGGCATCAAGGGCCAAAAGCTGACTAGCCTCATCAGCTGTCTCACAGGCCTGTTGAAGCTCGGCAACACCCTCGACTATTTCATGGATGAGGAATCGCTAGCTGCGGTATGTGAGGATGTTGAGACACTCATGGATCTACCCGAAGGTACCCTTCGCCAGAAGCTGGGATCCAACGAGCGCGAAATTGCCATTGGTGGCATCTATGAAGCCATCGTCGACTACGTTGTTGCCCACGCCAACACCTCGATCAAGGAGGACATCCGCCGTGCCAAGTCCGGATTCGATATGGACGACAGCGACGGCAGCGGCATGATGACGCCTGACGAGTCCGAGGATGGAGACATTGTTAACATCACTGTCGTTGAGATTCCTAGTCGCTCGTTGGGCAAAGCGATTGCACTGCGTACTGTCTTTGACGACAGCGAAGGCATCAATGCTGAGATGCGAGACGACGGTGTACAAGTGCCGCCTGTTGGTAACTCCGTTCTCGAGGCCATGCGCGAGGCCATGCAAAGCTGTGCAGTCGAGCTCGGCGTTAATGGACCTGCTCTCCGCGAGAAAGAGACCGAACTGGAGAAGCGCGAGGCTGTATTGGACAAGCTCGCACTTGAGATCCCAGAGGAGGATAACTTCGTGAAACAGATGCTCTATCCGGTACCTAACAGCGGCGTAGTCCTAGGCAAGCACGGCCGTTTCGACCTGGCCATGACAGTCGCAAGTAGCAGAGTTTGGTTCCAGCTGGCTATTCATCCTTCAGATTCTGTCCCCGCTTCGCTGAACCAGGATCTCAATTCTACATGGCAGGCCGGTGTGGTATCCCGACAACTCCGTGAGTGGCGACTACCCGAGTGGGCAAATCGCCGCAACCGTAATCTTGATTTCACTGCCGACTTTGACCACCACGAGTTCTATGACCGATATGCTCCACTAGGTTGCATGGACGGCCAAGAGGGCATCCAAAACTGGATTCTGCAACGCGGCTGGAGTAACGGCGAAGTCATGGTAGGCAAGGAGCGCGTCTGGGTGAGGGAGGGCACGTGGTGGGAGGCTGAATCGCAGCTTGACCTCAAGACACAAGAGATGGGCGGTTCTCCCAACATGCTTGGTGGCATGATTGGAGCTGCTGGCATGGAGAATGGATACCCCACTCAGCTCCCGCCCACAGCAAGCGCCTTCTTTCCACCTCTTCCAGACATGTCTGCTACTCCCCAGAACCCTTTCCAGAGCTCTACAAGTCTGGCTGTGCCGGGGGCTGCAGATGCTAAGTCAATCGCCCCTACTACACACACCCTTCCCACCACGGGTCCTGGTGATTACGGTCTCGGAATGAAGGGCGACGAGAACAAAGGCGTCACTTACTATGACATGGAGTCAGGTGGTAATGCCGTCGTCACTGAAACCCCTCTCACTGGTACTCGAAGGCTCTGGGTCGCCTTTGTTTGGGCCCTCACCTTCTGGATCCCCTCACCACTCCTCAAGTGGTTTGGTCGTATGAAGCGACCTGATGTGCGCATGGCGTGGCGTGAGAAGCTTGTCTTGGTCATGCTCATCCTGTTGCTGAACGCCACTATCGTTTTCTATATTGTCGCTTTCGGTAAACTCTTGTGTCCCAACAAGGACAAGGTCTGGAACACCAAGGAAGTATCAGCGCACCAGGGCGAGGACGACTACTACGTCAGTCATCGTGGTGTGGTTTACGACCTGACTTCTTTCTGGAAAAAGCAGCACAGCGACTCCAACACCGAGGCTACACGGGATCGAATGATGGAAATGGCTGGTGCCAACATGGACCCATATATCATCCCCCCGCTATGGATTGCTTGCCCCAATCTGATCGAGCCAACCGATCAAAACAAAGTCCTTCAGCTGACTCTCAACGAATCTACGGCTGAGAATCTCAACTCAATCGCCGTCCACAAGTCTGGTTCGATGACAAATATGCCAGACAGCAACGCGTTGAAGAGCGACGTATGGTACCCCAAAGTCTTTCTCCCCGCTATGAAGGAATTCAGAAAAGGAGATCTCGTCTGGGAAGAAGACAAGGTCAAGAATGAAGGTGAAGACGACAATCACATGTGGTTCAGGCTCGACGAGAAGATTTACGACTTGACTGACTACTTCGCCACAATCGACTATATGCAAAACCAGGATCAGTACAACTTCCTTGATGCCAAGTTGATCGATATGGTAAAGAGCAACGCTGGCCAGAACCTGATGGAGGACTGGAACAATAACCTGAACAAGACTACGCGAGAGAATAACCTGCAATGTCTGGAAAACCTGTTCTACGTCGGCAGAACTGATTTCCGCAAGACGGCCAAATGCCAGGTCAACGACTACATTCTACTAGCCTTCACTATCATTCTCTGCGCGGTTATTGTCATCAAGTTCTTAGCCGCCCTTCAACTGGGCTCTCGTAAACGTCCCGCAAACCAGGACAAGTTCGTCATCTGCCAAGTGCCAGCCTATACCGAAGGCGAGGACTCACTCCGGAAGAGTTTAGACTCTCTTACCGCCCTCTCTTACGACAACAAGCGAAAGCTCATCTGCGTCATTTGCGACGGAATGATTGTTGGTGGCGGTAATGATCGCCCTACGCCCAAGATTGTACTAGATATCCTTGGTGTTGACCCCAAAGTCGATCCTCCTGCGCTTCCATTTTGGTCGGTAGGTGAAGGCAGTCAGCAGCTCAACTACGGAAAGGTCTATTCGGGACTATACGAGTTCGAAGGCAATGTTGTACCGTACATTGTCGTTGTCAAGATGGGCAAAGAGTCGGAACAGCACAAGTCCAAGCCAGGTAACCGAGGAAAGCGCGATTCCCAAATCTTGCTTATGAGCTTCCTTAACCGCGTCCACCACCGTTCGGCTATGAACCCCTTGGAGTTGGAAATGTTCCACCAAATCAACAATATCATCGGTGTTGACCCAGAGCTATACGAGTATCTGCTTATGATCGACGCTGATACCATGGTCAAGCCTGATGCTCTCAACCGTCTCGTAGCGGCTTGTGCCAACGACTCCAAGATCGCCGGTATCTGTGGTGAGACGAGCTTGGAGAATGAAGACCGCTCGTGGTGGACTATGATCCAGGTTTACGAGTACTACATTTCGCATCATCTGTCCAAGGCCTTTGAAAGTTTGTTTGGTAGCGTCACCTGTTTGCCTGGATGGTAAGTACTTGATCCCACCTCGATTAGATGGTGCTAACTCACTTCAGTTTCACCATGTACCGTTTACGCACAGCCGACAAGGGCAAACCTCTCATCATCTCGGACAAGATCATCAAGGACTACGCAGACTGCGTTGTGGACACGCTGCACAAGAAGAACCTTCTCTCGCTTGGTGAGGATCGTTATCTGACCACTCTGATGACGAAGTACTTCCCTGCCATGTCTTACAAGTTTATCCCCGATGCGTACGCTCTCACTGCCGCCCCTGACACGTGGAGCATTCTGCTTTCCCAGAGACGTCGATGGATCAACTCAACCATCCACAACTTGGCCGAACTTGTCTTCCTCAAGGACCTTTGCGGTTTTTGCTGTTTCTCCATGCGATTCGTTGTCTTCATCGACCTTTTCGGTACCCTCATCCTTCCATCCATCTGTGCGTACCTGGTGTATCTCGTCTACACCGTCTCTACGGGCAAGGGTCAATTCCCCATGTTCTCAATTGTCATGTTGGCAGCCGTCTACGGCCTCCAGGCGCTCATCTTCATCATCAAGCGACAATGGCAACACGTTGGGTGGATGATTATTTACATCCTAGCCTTCCCCATCTACTCTCTCGCCCTTCCCATGTACTCTTTCTGGAAGCAGGACGACTTTTCGTGGGGTAACACTCGTGTCGTCATTGGCGAGCAAGGTGCCAAGCAGGTTCTCACGACAGATGACGAAGGTTTCGATCCCAAGGCCATTCCTATGATGCGATGGGACGAGTACGCTGAGCGCAACGAACTCCCTGGCCGCCGCGGTCTTCCTGGTATGACTACTGAGAAGGGTGGGTTCAGCGCATACGAAGACGAAGCGTACGAGATGAACGACATGCAATCTGTCTACTCTTCGGTCAAGCCTGCTTCTACCATCATGTCCAACATGCAGCACATTTCGCACATGCCGCCCCAGTCGCCTGGTCCGTACCAAGGCATGCAAACGCGTCAATCGACGTACTCGAACTTGTCGCGCTACCAAGACAACCCGCACCAGAACCGTGTCATGTCTATGAGCAACATGAGCGACATGTACAATGGCAACAACGCTTCTCCTTATGGGCAACGACAAAGCATGGGCGGCTTCCAGAGCTCAGACAACCTGATGACATCGTCTACACCACCGGTCCGTGGGCGCAGTCCTCTCAGCTACGGCGCAAGCATGTCGCGACCTGGTAGCACCACCAACTTCCAGAGCATGATGAACGGGCCGACGGATGGGCAGATTGTCGAGACCGTTCAGGCATGTCTCAAAGACGCGGACCTCGACAGGGTCACTCGCAAGCAAATCATTGCGCTTGCGGAGCAACGGCTGCAGATGCAGCTGAGTGGCGAGAGGAAGATTTTCCTCACGCAAGCTATTGACCATGAGCTTGCCAACATGGGATAGGAAGAAATTTGAGAAGTGATTGCATTTAGCGGTGTTGTCTGGATATGTTTGCACGGCAGTAACGCCATTTAGTCGTTCCTTTTTTTTTTGGAAAGTCATGTATCGTCTACATGTGGCGCAAGATTTACATGGGAAAACTCGGGTGTCTGGGGAGCTAGCTAGGCTGTATTTACATGGTTGGCTTGATGTAATGATAATAGGACATTGTTGTTGCACATAGTATTCTGCCCATTTGCGTGACCTTGGGGGTGGCTGCACGGCTAGCGTCAGGTAGCTACGTACCCCAGCCCAGCAGTCGCGCGGCCAGAGCTCCGCCATGCCGGCATCCCGTAACCAGGACGCCCGAATCTCACCACGACGACGTAGACAAACCCGCCCTGCCCGACCTTGCTATCCTCCAACCTGATACTCGCCATATCCACTCGAGTGCCCAAACATGGCGCCAAACCGCATCGAGCAAGACGAGATCGAGAAGTACTGGGAGATATTCAGTTCGCTCAGCAATGGCGGCACCCACCTCGACGGCGCGCAGGCAGCGCCTGTCCTCAAAAACTCACATTTGCGCGACGACCAGCTGGAGAGGGTGTGGGACCTGGCGGATGTGGACAACGATGGCAAGCTCGACTTTGAGGAGTTCTGTGTTGCCATGAGACTCATCTTCGACTTGATCAATGGGGTATGTTTCTTGGAGACGCGCCGTCTGGAGGAACCCAAGCGCTGATGGACATGTCTTAGATCTCGGTCGATGTACCAAAAGTCCTCCCCGACTGGCTTGTCCCCGAGTCAAAAGCCCATCTCGTGCAAGCCACGCGCGCCCTCTCCGGCTCCCAGCCCGCCTACGAGACCGTCCACGACGACGACGATACCCCCGGTCTGCGCGACGGCTTCGACTGGTACATGTCGCCGTCCGACAAGGCCAAGTACGAGGAAATCTACACGGCGAACCGCGACGGCCACGGCAACATTACCTTCGATAGCTTGGCCGGCCTGTTCGAGAGCTTAGACAATGTTCCAGACTCGGACGTGCGATTTGCCTGGAACCTGGTAAACCCAAAAGCAAGAGAAAGCGTGGGCAAGGACGCCGCACTAGCCTTCCTCCACATACTCAACCAGCGCAGCGAAGGCTTCCGCGTACCTCGCAGCGTGCCACCCAGCCTACGGGCTAGCTTCGAGAAAGCCCACATCGACTACGACATTGAATCAAACGCAAACTCACGATGGGCCGCCACGCGCGACGACAACACCGCCACGGGCCGCAAAGCCAAGTTTGGCGACGCATACCTCACACGTCTGGGTGTCGGCGACCGTGCCGCAAACTACGGTGCGCGAGGAGGCAAAGGCACAGATTTCGGCGGTCGCACAACAGAAGACTGGGAAGAAGTCCGGCTGAAGAAACAACTGCGCGAGCTCGAGCAGAAGATTGCCGACGTCGAGAAGGAGGCGGAGAACAGACGGCATGGCAGGAGCAAGGATAGTAAGCCGGCCCTTGTTAAGCGCGAGCTGGAGCTCCTGCTTGACTACAAGAGGAACGTATTGAAGGACTTGGACAATGATGAAGGTGGCGCGGTCAAGGGACTTGGTGGAATCAGGGACGAGATTGAGACGGTTAGGGAACAGGTTGAGGGATTGCAGGGACATCTCGACAACAGGAAGAGTGTCTTGGAGGATCTGAGGAGGCAGATTGATGATGAGAAGGCGAGGTGAGGGGCTTTGGACAAAGTGTGCCGCGTCAGCCGGTGGTGTTGTAAATATATTTAGCTCTGGGCTTTTGAAGCTGATGCAACAGCAAGTCGTCTTTGAAACACAACATCTTACGTTTTTGTGCATACTTCTTCACGTTTGTTCAAGCTGTGCTTTCAAATGCCTCTAACTCTAGTCCCAACACGCCGCCATACACAAGGGCCTCACTGGCCCTTCTTTCCAAGCCTTGCAAACAACTCTGGATGATCAATAGCATACTGTGCCCCGGCAGCCCAATGATACAACTTCGCCGCAATAACATACCCCTCTTTGGCAAACTCCTCCAGCCTGTCATACAGTTCGGCAATAGGGATATTCACTCTCTGGATGTCTTCCCCTTCGTCGAGATGCTGCTCTGGCTCCGGATCGCCCTCATTCAAATGAATCTCTACCATGCACAAACACAGATTTGCAGACGTCATCCCTGGATCCGCAGCCACAGGTGGAGAAGTCGAAATCACTTTCCCCTTGTAACCTGTTTCCTCATAGAGTTCACGTACGGCAGCTTCTTCAGGCTTCTCGTCTGCATCGATGAGGCCCGCAGGCCATTCTACCGTGAAGCCACCAACCGGTGGTCTGAATTGGATGACAACGATTGTAGAGGGGGGTTTGCTGGGGTGGTAGATGATGTTTCCCATTGCGACGGCGTCCACGCCGGCGGATCCTGTCGTTTTCCGAGAGGCAATTTCCCAGATGCGTTCTTTGCCTTTGGCGTCGACATATGTGGCCTTTTGTAGTTTGACCCATTTTGCATCTGAGGAGGGCAGGTCAACGACCGAGGTTACTTTGGGAGTGCCAGTGGAAGACGCCATTGTGACTTTGCTAACGCGGTCGACGAGTGGTGATGCAAGGCTGCGACTCGTTCTGTGGAGAGACCTTTTTGGTAGGATATACGTGCTTGCGCGTGATATTGTTCGTTTGGTGAGGGGCGTCAACATTGGCCTTTGAGCGGTATCGGGGAATTGGTTATTGGAGTACCGATGACGTTATCGTGTTCGAAGGCAACAAGCACCACAGATGTCAGTGGAGCACGTAGTTGTGACCACAGAACCTCCAATTCCTGCTCTGTGAGTTCGAGATAGTCGAATATATAGCCTGGTATATTATATGGCTTAGGCGCAGTCTCACAATGCCAGTTGAGGTAACAATTGGAAGACCCCACTCTGTTTAGCGTCAGGAACGGCAATTCACGTAACGTCATCCAAAATGCCTCCAAGCCACCGATAAGCCTCACCTATCAAGACTACTGCACCTAGTTCAGCTCTGTCGCTATTGCTTTGTCTGCGCCCATGTTATTCTCTCGTCGCTGTCTGTTTCGTAACAAAGTCCGTTGAGTTTCATCGTTCTTTCTCGATTTTTTTCATCATGGCATCGTTGCGCGTTCTTACTCGATCTTCTTTACATACTAGAACCGTGCTCTCAAGCTCAAGACGTTTCTCATCAAGCATACAACGAGATGCAGACTTTACCCACGCTGTGATAGGTGGCGGCGTAGTCGGCCTAGCTATAGCCCGCAAACTGCAACAGAGAGATGGCGCATCAACAGTGTTGATGGAGAAGCATGGCTCCGTCGGTACAGAGACCAGCTCGCGGAACAGCGAAGTCATACATGCTGGTCTCTACTACGGGCCCGCGTCCCTCAAAACGAAATTATGTCTTAGAGGAAAAGATATGTTGTACGAGCTGTGCAAGAAAAATGATATCCCACACCGCAACACCGGGAAATGGATCGTCGCGCAAGACGCAGCGCAAATGGACGCTCTACAGAAGGTCCACGACTTCGCAAAGAGCATCAACGTCCCGATTCACTTTCTCAGCAAAGATGAGGCGAAAAGTCGAGAACCTGATGTCAGAGCCGAGGCCGGGGTACTAGAAAGTCCCAGTACCGGGATCGTAGATTCTCACAGCTTGATGCAATACCTCGAAGGTGACTTTGAGGACCATGGCGGAATCTGCGCCTTCAAATCCCCAGTCACACACATCACACCTCTCGACTCTGGACATAGTGGCTGGGAAGTCACGACCAGGGGGGAAGATGGCGAAGAAACCACCATAACAGCGGACACCTTGATAAACTCTGCCGGTCTCTTCGCCGTCCAGATTTCAAATATGATTTTACCCAGAGATCGGCATCGAAAAGCCTTCTATGCAAAAGGCTCTTACTTCTCTTATGCAGTATCCCGTCCCCGTCCTTCGACTCTTGTCTACCCTGCTCCAGTTCCAGGCCACGGCGGTCTAGGGACTCACCTCACTCTCGACATGTCCGGGCGCATTCGCTTTGGCCCAGACGTCGAGTGGACAGATTCGCCCACCGATTACACACCCAACACCAAGAACATGGCGCAGGCTATCGATGACATTCAAACATACCTACCTGGTGTGCATAGAGAAGCCATTCAGCCGGACTATGTAGGCATACGACCGAAGTTGGGAAAGCTTGCAGCGACGAGTGGAAAGGACTTTCAGGACTTTGTTATTCAAAAAGAGGATGGGTATGAGGGTTTTGTCAACTTGTTGGCCATTGAAAGTCCTGGGTTGACTAGTAGTTTGGCCATCGCAGAGGAGGTAGAGGGACTGTTGTATACATAGTAATGACGATTGCTGTGAATAACCTGCGCGAGGCAAGTACAGAAGTCAGATTGGGGAGTGATTTTGCTTTTTCTATTCCAACAAAAAAACACTACACGGCACAAACACGCGAGTATGGCAGAAAAAATATTTCCATTCAGCGTCTTGTGCAAACGTTCATTTTAGACATTACGCAGAAAAGGTGATGTGTATATGATCCATCACATAGCTCCTACAACATATATACCAAGAGGCATCTGAGAGCGAACCAAGTCATGAACTAACCAACAATCACGCCGTGTGGCTGATCCGTAATTTTTGATGCCACACACCCCACCGTCATGTAATGATATGATAATATGTACAGTAAGGAAAAGTTTTTGCGAGAAAAGACACTCGCGGTGTGTTGCGGTGCTCGCTGAAAACGCCGGGACATCCAATGCGCACGAAGTTTAATGATAGGAAAATGTTAATGCTGAGGTGTCGTTGACAAAGCCTTCTAGGCGCTAGATGGACGAAAGATCAAGACGCTAGATCAAAAGACGAAGAAAGGCGTTTACTTGCGGGGCTGCTGCTTGCTAAGACGCTTCCTCTTCTTGGAGTCGGTTGACTCGCTTCGTCCGTGGTTTGACGCTGGCATCGTGGGCTGACCAAGCGGGGCAGGTGATACATCACGCATCAGGCTGCTTTGCTGTGGGGCCTGGAGCTCAATGCCGTCACCAGGTGCAGTGTGGACGTATTGGCGAGCAAGAGGACTGCGTCCCTGACGCTGCTCCATGCTGTTTGTCCTGTTGTACGAAGGCTTGGGCGACTCAAGACCGGTCTGCTGGTTGGATAGCGGCGATGTACGGATAGGGGCGTGAGCAAGGTCGCTGTTGGTACGCATCTGCGCAGGCCGTTGTGGGCCCTTGGATTGGTACACAGAGTCGTCATCGATGGAGTCGACCGACTCGCTGTACATGCCCTTGCTAGCACCCGCGCCGACTTCATATGGTCCTGACCGTGGCTCCTCGTAGAAGGCTCCACCGGCAGGCTTTTGTGTTTGTTGAGTCTTGTGGTAGATGCGCGCATCCTCGGGGTCCATGAAACTCTCGACACGGCGGGGCATGTAGATGGAGTTGGCAGCAGAAGTTTCTTGCGAAGCAAACGAGTCCATGGAGGAACGAGGGTGGAGAGGAACGTGAGGAACGTTGGGGTTGCGGGGCATTGTGTTGGGAAGCGTAAGGCCAGAGTCGTTGCCCTGCTGGTACCATCCATTGGGTAGGCGTTCTGCAGCAGCAAAACGACCCTCGATGTTCTCGCCAGGCTGGAGGGGGATAGGAGCTGGGCGGTGCTTGTGTGCTTCAGCAGCAGCCTTGAAGGTCTCAGGAACCACGTTCAGGTCATCGCCAGTAGCCTCAGCGGCCTCGATAGCCTCCTGGGGCGTAGTTTTGTTGTCAGCGCTACCAGCGTCGGCACGAGGACCACCCCATGTTCGTTGACCGGCAGTGAAGATACCGTAGACCATGTAGACCCAGTTAAAGAAAGGGTTGACGATGAACATGAGGGGGTAAAGCATGATCTTGTAACGGCCGAGCTTGGCACCAAAGTAGAGCATGAGAAGCCAGTTGAGACCCAGAGAAATGGCAATGAAACCAACGGGAAGGTTGGCAACCTTTTGCGAAGTAGTGATCAAAGAGATACACAGGATGAAGAAGAGCAGCGCAGTCGTTCGGATGGTGTTCTGCATGAAGCGGACGATGAGGAGAATTGGGTAGCGCTTCCAGAGACGAATGTCAGTCAACATGCAAACTTCGTTTGTGATAAAACCCAAGAACCAGCGGCGGCGTTGCTTAAGCAGAGATTGGTAGGTTTGTACAGCTTCGGTTTTGCAGAAAGCTCCAGTGTTCATCTGAATCTGGTATCGTTCTTTGGCACCAATCATGAACAAGTGAGTGAGCCAGCGGTCCTCGCCCAAATGGCACTTGCCGTAGTCGAAGAGATCGTCGCATTGCTCGGCCTTGTCAGCGAAGTAGTACTTGGCCATTTTGCGGAAAGCAGAGAACCGCAGCATGGTGAGAGCACCGGGCAAGCAAGTGACGGCACCGCAGCCGGACTCGACTGAACGTTCGAACAGTTGACCGTGGACGTATTCCATGTCCTGAAGAAGGGTGATGAGCGAGTTCTTTTCGGTTGTAGACGTGATAACACCAGTCTGAGCCAACATGTTCTTCTTACTGCCAGGCTTGAGCTCCATCTCGTACATGAAGTTCTGGATGCAGGTCTTGTCGAGGATGCAGTCGGAGTCAATGAAGAGTACGAACAGGTTGTCGTTTCGCTTCAGGTACTCTGTGTAAATCTTGTCGATGAGCTTGAAGGTCCTCTTTTGGCAGTGGCGCTTACCGCCGTGGGGGAAGCGGGAGATGGTGATGCGGCAGCTACGGTAGATGACATCGATGGATTTCGGGTATGTGTCGAGCGTGAGAGGCACACCGAGCTTCTCAATGGTATTCAGGTAAAGCTCGTCCTCCTGGTCTCCGTCGAAGGATAGGAAGATGTGCAGGCAGGAAGGTGGGTATTCACAGTCTACCAGCGAATCGCAGGTTCGGAGAAGAATCTCTGGAATTTCCTTGTAACAAGGCATGACAATGACGACCTTGGGAGCGGATGACTCGTCGAGAACAGATTTGATCCTGCGGCTGCGACCAACGGAGTGGGTGACAAGCTGGTAGACACAGAATAGCCACGGAACAGTCAACAGACCGGCGAAAGACCAGAACGCGAACCACTGGAGGAAATCTACCATCTCCTGTGGGAAGTACTTTGTAACTTGCGAGGGAAGAGGCAGAGTAACGACCATGATTGGCAAGAAGATGGCACTGTTGGTGTTAGACTTGGTTGTCATGCGAGGACTAGAACGTTTACCGGAGCGCGAAGAAGAGGATACCGAAGAAAATGGACAAGATGCGAACACTGATCGTCTCTGCCTTTTGGAAGACCTTGACGATACAGTACAGGAAAGCGGCAACCCAAAGGAACCACTCGAGCAGAGCAGCCAACATGAGACCACCAATGATAGCAACATAGGCAATCTATTGCAGTCAGTTTCTGTACCCAGTCGATCGGCAGGTGATGTACTCACATCCTTAGCTGGCCAAGGGTCGTCAATGTCTGGGATAGAGCTGTCGACATCAGCGCGGGCAACCACCGCGCGGGCTGCGAGGCCCATCATCTCCTGCCAAACCATGGCGGGCTATTAGGTATGTATATTCGTAGTTGTCGTTAGGCGGGATAGCGAGCGAGGCGTGTCGAGTAGAGGGGAAGATGTTGAGTAACAAAGAACCCAACAGTCGCACAAGGCTAGACAAGTAGCCCAAGTAGCGGAGGGGGGGAAAACGTAAATCCAGAAATGTTGGAGAGCCGAGAAAACTACTAGTAGTGGTGAGGTATTGGTGTTTGGCGGTGATAGCAGTAGTAGTAGTTGTGATGTAAGCGGATGGTGAGTCTTCGCAGCGCCCAGATAAACGAGTGTAAGGGTGGGAAGGACAAGAAGGGCTCAGATCAAGATCATCAACAAGATAACAGGATACTGCACACAAGGGCAGTCCGGAGTCGTGTGGGAGGAGCGCCTTGAGGAGGGAAGGAACTTGCTACGAGGGGATCGAGCTGGTTTACAAGCACGAAAAGCGGGCGCGCTCGGTCCACATTGCCTTGACCCAAATCGACCTGGCTTTTCTGGGCAGCAGTCGAGATGCACGATCGTCACAGGGGCACTCCAACCACATTGGGCAAGCAGCCCGCGCTTTGATGTCGAAAGCGAGTTGCTTGCAGGCCTACGCCTGGTCTCAGTGGCCCCGACTCGTGCCAAACCACGCGCCGGCGGCACTATGCCTGCAGCCTCGCAGGTTATTTTGGGCGTCCCCATGCGCCGTCTACCGTTAGCTGTCTGAAGACTGCAGGCAAGGTGTTCCCCTCTGTTTCGCATGTTTCTCATCACAGATAGATGAGCCTTTTGGGCCTGCGTGTTTGAGGCACAATCAAGGGCATCGAGAGCCACAGCACTGTCGCTGCCTCCGTGTTCAAGGACAAAGTCTGTCTCGTAAGGCAGGATGAGTCTTCAGCTCTCGCCTGACGTGGCACCATGGTGGTTGGAAATTCGCCTTCAATGCAATGCAGCTGGTGGCCTTTCATTGCCAAGCCATCTGGTAGCTTCGCGTGGACGCCGGGCGTTCAGGGGTCAGCATCGCTCACTGTTCTAAAGACATCTCCAGCCAATAATGGCAACACGCCCTTGATGCCGCTCGTACTCCTCACGAACGGCCCCAGAACATCGCGGTAGAGGCTTGGTTGTCACATTGGTCTATGGCTGGTGGCTGTCGCGAAAAAGAAGCCGTATTCCCTCATCCCTATTTTCTATCCCCTCTCCTTCCATAAGTCTTGGAGCTGCGAGCGCTAGGAAAATACTCGACGAGAATACGAGCTCACGGTGGGTATGCCAGGCCGACCCGCTCCAAAAAGCACGAAACGGCGACGGCGGCCCCCAACATCCATGGACACTGACAGGAGAAAACCTGTGCCGCTTCCGTCCGTACCGGTAATCATGGATTTTTGCATGTTCCACAGCTTGGTGGACCGCCTGCTCGTCATATCGCATATAGCAACGTCAATGTTGCAGCACTGAAGCCAGTCTTTGCCATATTTCCTTGAATAGATCTCGCCAACCCACTTCCGCTGAGGCTGAGGACGGCTCGCAATCGATAATGTCGTTGCGCACCGGCGTCGTCCCGTAGTTTCGGACCTGCTTTTCCTGACCCGAGCACGACAAGGTGCTGATCCTTTTCGCTACCACGCTGTTCAATCTTGTTTGCTGTCGGCCCAACGGTTACGGATCGCCATCTGCACGTCTAGCATTGTTGACTTGTTTACAGCGGTGTACACATGCGGTTGAGCTGCCCCATGTTCGACCTTCCTTCCTTCTGGAAGGACTGGGATCATGGCTCGTATGTCAATCTTACACGCCCGTGTCGCACATGAATCGCCGCTGTTGAGACGAGTGCGCTTACCGACATTCCGCAATAGCGCCGCGGCATATCGACATGCGATTTCGTACCGGACCCCTGAGCTGCAACCTGAGGCCTACGATATTTTGCTTTCTAATGCGTCTGTTGACCAGTCAAGGACGAAAGAATGCGCCATGCGACGATTCTCAGGGGTGAATTGTTAGAGTTTGAAGCTAGGTAACCGTTTTCGCTCCCAGTTCCGCATCTATAAAAGCGCCACAGGGCTGAACTACGGGTAAAGCTCAAATTGAAGATGTCTTCGCCTAAGTGTGATATCGAATGTCATGTAGAGAAACAGCATGACTCTCGTTGCTTGTGTCGGTACTTGATCTTGGTGGTGAATCTTCGAAAAGGTCTACCTGGGTACGACAATTCAGATGTCTCAGCGATGACTGACTCAAATTGTTGGGCTGCGTAAAGTGCATCGTTAGAACCCGCATTATCGGAACACCAACGTATGGTGATGCTAGACTGGTTGCCGAGTCGTGACTAGCAGGTAACGTCTCGATGTACACAGATAAAGTCAGTTTGAGGGGCACTCTGGTGTGGAGAAGCCAATTTCGGCTTAGTCATTCACCTCGTCTGAACCGCGGGACATTTGGTGACGCACGGATGCTTCGATGCGTGAGCGAACTCGCTGCAGGTACAATTCACCAAACCACCCGCAACGTCGACAAGAAGCCTCTCGACAGCGACATTGCCAGAGTCGCAAATACGCACGCTCTCACTCGAGCTTGTCTCACCGAGCCCGAACAAATGCAAGCAGCAACTGCGCCTGATATATTTCCCACCTTCCATGTGCGCGTATCATAACCGATCCGTGCTATCTACCGCCCCTCCACCACTGCGGCATCGCCTACTCCACCATGGAGAGGCACAGGAAGCGTATGTGTCTACGCTGTGTGCGGCAAAGAAATGCTAAAAACGTCTAGGCGAGCTTCGTGAATTAAACATACGCGCATGGGATGGCGACCAAGGTACATGGGCCAAGAATAGCTGCAGTCGCAGCCCTTATGCTGACCATGGACACAGACATCTTCGCCGTGCAAGCCTCCCTCGACTCGTCCATGAAAAAGAATACGGCCTTCATCAAACGCCTGCGGACCGCCGTAAACGCAGCCGCTCAAGCGCAGTTCCTCCAAGAAATCCGCGCCCTGTCCCTCCATAAATATCTGTCCGAAATTATCTCCGCCTGTTACGAAGGCCTGTGCAAGCTCAAGACTCCTGGAGATATTGCTGCCGGTGTAGAGATTGTCAGCGCTCTCCATCAACGCTTCGGCCCGACAGAGTTCACAGGATACATTGGTTGGTATATTGGGAGGGGCCTAGCCACACCCGACAAGTCGCACCTGAAGACATTGGCACCCGAAGTGCGCGAGCGTGAAGAGAAGGAGCGCCTGGCCCGCCAGCGCGTCCTCTTACGAGTCGCCACCGAACTCTGGCTCGTGGGTGTTCTGCGCAGTCTGGATGACGTAGCCCGACCTGAGGAAGCGAGCAAGGCCAAAGACAATGGCAAACTCGTTGAAGGCTCTACGAAAACAAAGTCGCGAGCTGACAATGCCGACGCTGAGCCTTTTCCGCTCGAGGTTCTAAAGGACATGCTGGGTCACGATCGCGAACATGTCAATCTACCCCTCGTCGTCATCTTAGTCAAAGCTTTTGCTTGGGATATACTGGGTGCCAAGCCATCTTCTGCAGAGGGTCGCAAGACTGTGAACGAGGACGGGACTACAACTGCAGACAAAAACGGGGAGGCTTCTGGCGTTGAAGACGAGGAGCAAGATCCGCCCATAATCTCCTCAGACTTGCAACAGCGTTTCAGGAACATCCTTACTCGTTACTTCGAAGATGTCAAGACGCACCTCCTCCGCGACCAAAAACACATACTCAGCCAGGGCCGGAAGAACGCCGAAGCGTACGTCAAGTCTGGCGAGGTCTTCGAGGATCGCCAGTCCAACTACGAGAAGCAGATGAAGTCCCAAGAGCGACTGGTGACAAATGCGCAGATTCTCGCCGACGCTCTGGGTGTTGAGATGCCAGATCTCAAAGAGAAAGATAGTTCCGCAAACACGGGTGATGGTGCTATTGGCCTGGTCAAGGCGGGCGAATATCTGCGCGGCCAAAGCGATGGCGCCGGCATCTGGGAAGACGAGGAAGAGCGCCGTTTCTACGAAAACCTGATTGATCTGAAGGACCGCGTTCCTGGTATCCTACTTGAAGAAGTCAAGAAGAAGAAGACAGACGGTGATGAACAGGTTGGCAAGAAAATTGAGGCGAAGCCTGAGGCAGTCGAGAAGGAGGCACCAGACGCTATGAATGGCACAAAACCGGCCGATGGCGAGGACCAATCTACTGCTATCGCGAACAAATCCGTCGGAGCCCAGGTCGATGCCCTATTGGCACGCCTTCCAGAACTTGCAACAAAGGATGCTGTCGACCAGACTGCCATGGACTTTTGTTTTCTGAACTCAAAAGCTTCCCGCAACCGCCTCATCAAGGCCGTACAAGAGATTCCAAAGGGTCGGTCCGATCTACTCCCTCTATACTCTAGACTCATTGCAACCCTCGGAAAATACATGGCAGACGTTTCTCAGGGGTTGGTATCCTACCTCGACGACGAGTTCAGAAGCCTGCAGCGGCGAAAGTCGAAAGATTTCCTGGGACAGGTGCGAACACAGAATGTACGTTACCTTGCAGAGTTGACCAAGTTCGGTGTCGTTCCTGAGCATGTCATCTTCCACTGTTTGAAAGTCAGCCTTGACGACTTCTCACGAATGAACATCGAAATCATATGCAATCTATTAGAGAATTGCGGACGTTATCTGCTCCGGAATCCCGAAACTTCTCCTCGTATGCATTCTTTTCTAGAAACCCTCCAACGCAAGAAGGGTGCTCAGGTTATTGGTCAACAAGAGCGCATGTTGATCGAGAATGCTGTGTATTACGTAAACCCGCCAGAGCGTGCGGCAATCGAACAGAAAGAACGGACACCAGTCGAGCTCTTCCTGCGCAAGATCATGTACCAAGACCTGACTCGTCGTACGCTTGACAAAACCATTAAGCAGGTACGCAAGATGCACTGGGAGGAAGAAGAGGTAGTCACTCTCCTCCATAAGGTTTTTGCAAAGCCGGGGAAGATCAAGTACAGCAATATCCACTTGCTAGCCGTCATGCTGGGGACAATCCATCGATTCCACCAAGACTTCGCCATCTCAGTCATCGACGATCTTCTCGAATCTATCACATTCGGATTAGAATTGAATGACTTCAAGTTCAACCAACGCCGAATTTCAGAAGTCAAGTACCTTGGTGAATTGTACATCTATCGGTTAGTCGACTCACCTCTCATTTTCGACACTCTCTACAAGCTTTTGAATTACGGATGGGAAGGTGGGTATGCGCGGCCCGGAGGATACAACCCTCTGGACCTTTCCGATGACTATTTCCGTATTCGCCTTGTCTGTAATCTTCTGGAGACCTGTGGCATGTATTACGACAAAGGTGCGGCGAAGAAGAAGCTTGACTTCTTTCTCACGTACCTGCAGTATTACGTGTGCATCAAGGAGGCGTTGCCGATGGACGTTGAGTTCATCGTGCAAGACGCTTTCAACCTAGTGAGACCGCAGTGGAAGATAGTCACCAACCTGGAAGAAGCTTCGCGTGTCTTTGCAGAAGCCGTCAAACAGAACTACCAAACAGCGTCGGCCGACAAGCCTGTAGAGCCTGACGAGGACGACATGTCCGCATCGGACGATGACCTGGATGGTGCCGAAGACGAGGACGTTGTATTGCCTGACGGCGAAGGAGATAAGTCATCTGGCGATGAAGATGAAGACTCCGACGATGACGAGCCTATGAAACAAACATCTTCGGACGAAGAAGAAGAGCAGATTGTGGTCACACGGCAGGAAGACGAACGCGACCCAGAAGCTGAAGCTGAGTTCGATCGTGAGCTTGCTAAGCTGATGTCAGAAAGTGCAGAGTCCCGCAAGCATGACCGCAAGCCTGTCTTCGATGTGCCACTTCCAATGCGTCGCGCTCGCGAGGCTCCAGTGAGCGCTGACGACGTTGGTAGCGAGGTACCCGTTCCAGTCGCACCAGCTCCCTCACAGACGATGAAATTCTCGTTGCTCAGCAAGCGCGGCAACAGGACGCAGACCCGATCTATTGACCTGCCCTCTGACTCAACCTTTGCTGTTGCCATGCGTAACAAGCAGCAAGCAGATACAGAAGAACGACAGCGAATCAAGAGCCTCGTCTTAAACTACAACGAAGCTCGCGATGATGCTGATGACACGACTGGTGATTCACCATTTCATTACACCCTCTCGCCTAATACCAATAGAATACGTACTGAAACTTTTCAAGGTCTGGACAAGACTCCGAACCCATACGCGCAGCCGCGCCTTGATAAAGCTGGTGCAAACCGCAGCAATCAGCGTGCACGGAAGCTACAGCTGTCAGATGTCAACTGGTATGACTCCCAACCCTCTCCCCGGCAGAGTCGCCCTGAGCCTGGTGCAACGTCTGCTTCGATGCATACGCCGCTTTCGGTGTTCACATCGAAGCGTTGAGACGATGTGCGAGTCCAGGCTTCTCACAAGCTCTACAACGCTTGCAGTCGACATTGATCATCCGCGACCATTTCGGAAGCGCTCTTCATCTTCACGAGGCTAACTACGAGGCCCTCCATGGGCGACTGAATTTTTAGGACATGATTATCATCCATGATGCTGCAGCTAGCATCCAATACGAACGACACAACAGCTCACTATGCTTACAACTGCTACTTCGACAGTATGTCACCAATGGTAGGTATTACCTGAAGACAAACAACCGTCCCAGTATCGAAGCTTCATCCTCCAAGCGAAAAGATAGCTTTGACGAACTAGAAATATCCTAGTTTGCGTGCGAGTACCATTGGAGCAGGTGAGTCTGCTACGCCGACATATGGATATTCCGACAACGAAGCTTGCGACAGGCGACGCTCGAGCCGGAGGATGAGCGGCAATGGATCAGCGTCTGTTTACATGCCTATCAAACGACATGTCTTGTCTTACGCATTACATATGGCAGGATAAGGAACGTGACGGCTCTGCGCGGCGGAAATGAGCATTTCACTGGCAGTACATTGCTTCAAAAAAAAAAAACGTTCGTGACTATAGCAATTGAAACAGTCATCATTCCAATCTATGCTTTTCTATCCGTTTTCGTGTGCAGTAAAACTCACTGCATGCTCGTCTCTTCTTGAGTGCATCCGGTCCTCCGTGTAATAACAGACAATATGCACGTTCATAGATAACAGCGAATAAGCGACGACGTCCAAGCCCCTAGCATGCGCGATCGGTGCGGCGCGCTAGTGAAGCGCGTACCTTGCAGAACCATCTACGTCACTGAAAACAAAACGTCAAAACCGCGCAAATGCCCCGTCAAAACCTTTCATCCTAGGTCAATTGACCTGGTATAATTATCGGTTCGCGACAACACCTCACAATTGCTCGCATCACAAGTCTAATGTCTAATATGCTGTCTCTTGCGCTCGCGCTGGTAGGATCAGCCTCGGCTTTAACCTTGCCGACATTCCTCCAAAGCCAGAGTCAAGCTCAATCACCACTTCGGCCTCTGGACCATTCGCAAAACTACAAGTTTGATCCTTTGTTGCATCTCCCTGGTATCTCGCCATACTTTGACGCAGTCGGTGTGTACCATTCTCTCAAGCTGCAGGATAAGCCCAATCTGACTCCATACACAGGTTTTGGTCTCGAGCACCAACCTCCCATCGGCTGCAACGTCACCGCCGCATCGTACATCATCCGACACGGTGCCATCTATTCCAACGACGCCGAATACGAGGAATACATCAAGCCTTTCCTCTGGAAGCTCGAACAGCATCGCCAAGGATGGACTGGCCCATTGGCCTTCATGGAGAAGTGGCAGTCCCCAATCTTGGAAGATAGGTTGGAGGAACTGACGCCCTCTGGCGCTGTGGATGCTGAGCTGGTAGGCAAGCATCTGTTGCAACGATACCATCACCTCGTCCCAGACACGAAGAGGATATTGGCAGACAAGAAGAGCAGGACGTTTGACACGGCTGAGAACTTTGTCAAGGCGTTCCCGCAAAAGGACGACATCGAGATCGTCAGGATTACGGAAAACACAAATGGAAGCATGGAGAGCTTGATTCCACACAAGTCGTGCAAAAACTTCTCCAAGAAACCTGGTGAGAAGCAGCAGAAGAAGGTCATCGATCTCTATGGTGCTAGCGTCGCGCATCGCCTCTCGCCTTACACACCGTTCAAGCTTGAGCCCAAAGACGTTGTCGGCTTCCAAATGCTGTGTGGTTACGAATCTGCTATCAAGGGCGAGCGAAGCCCCATCTGCGAGCAATTCACAGACTCGGAATGGATGGCGTACGAGTATGCATGGGACCTGAAATATGCCTACATGGTCGGTCCTCTCAACCCTCTCTCCCCTTACCTCGGTTTCCCGTGGCTCCAGGCTCAATCTGAACTTTTCGCACACATTGAAAAGCATGACACACCCGGCGATGGTTGGCCTGATCGGCAGCGCTTCTTTCTCGGTTTCACTCATCGCGAAGTCCCGCCTTTCATCGCCACTGCTCTCGGGTTATTCAACAGCTCTTCCGACGCCGCAGAGCAGTTTCCCACCGACCATATCAACTGGACGCGTGCATGGAAGATGAGTGACCTGATTCCCTTCCTTGGCCACGTTGGTATGGAAAAGATGACCTGCGAGCGTGGTGGCGTTCATGGCGACGAGCCAGGCACCTATGTAAGATTCATTGCTAACTCTGCACCAAGGCCAATTCCTGATTGCCAGGATGGTCCCGGTGCGAGTTGCGAGTTTGGAATGTTTAGAAAAATCATTGGAAAGGGCGCAAAGTCTCATAAGGACTTTCACAAGGTTTGCGATAAAAAGAAGTGCAAGGACGCTACTTGTGTAGAGGAGGAGGAGGTATAGGGATTGCATTCCGCATCGACCTTTGGAGGACGGGCTGTATAAATATCACCCTCGGAGTCTGCAATGCTGATTACAATAACCTTACGAAGAAGTTGGCCGATGTGTTTCCCCCCTTCTTTTCGCAACCTTTCGTAACGTTCAGGAACAACGCCTCACTCTTGTGGATTCGTTTTGTCCAGCAATGCACTGGTCAGCCCTGTTTGCTGCAGGCGTCATATGAACAATTCCACTATCAAGAAGCTGGGTACGTTCCATCCAAAGTTATCGTTACGCTACGCTATGTATAAACACCTACCAAAAATTGCAGAATGGCATGATGCCGCCGAAAATCGATAAACCTTCCCATATGCAAGGGATGATACATATAGCCTAAACATAACCAAGACCAGTTCCATGATGTGTCCCTCACAGAAACACTACTGTTCCCGTGTCCCCATACGACAGTCATGTGGCTGTGCTCGATATATTTGTGCGGTTCGAGTATGCCGTTTCGTAGTAATCGTATACTGTCGTGCGATTACAAGGTCTAACAGAAGATGCCCTAAGCAACTTGCGGGGGTTCGTGCTCCTGGCAGTTCGTCAATCGTTATCGTCCTTTGGTTTCAGGGCGTAGGGGTCAGCATTCGCTGTTAAGCTTGTGCTTTGGCCAATCGTAACCAGTTTGATCCCATGACTGCTTTAAGTTAGTTGTCTGACTTTACGATAGCAAGGCAGATATGTACAGTAAAGTTAGGATTGTTGTAAGCTCTTGGATGCTTTTTGATGTAGTCTGTAGTCTCGAAGCCTGGGGGATCGCACGTAACCATCTCCTCGCCTTTCTTCTGGTACCACCTCACGTAGTCGAAACGTATGGTAGTAGGAAAAACCAGGTTTTTCCAGTCGATCCAGGTCCACGAATTACTGAGACCCATGTTTAGAATGAGTGATAATGGTTCCTGCGCGATTTGGCGGGCCTGGATGTTGCCGTTTGGTCCTATAGCGCGCCCGTCCATGATAAACATTGTTTGGTCGCCTACTTTCCAGGATATATAAGCATCTTTGCCTTCTCCTGGAACATACTCGAACGAGAACCGTTGATACTGCTTGTTATCGAACCAATCTTTGTTCAGTATCGTGGTGGCAGAGATGGCCTGTTGGAAGGCTCCGCCGGAGTAAGTGTTGAGTCCACTGTAATGAAGGTCTGGCAACGCCGTGTAGTTGTAATTTGGATAGTACCAGATATCGAATGGTGCAACTTGATAGCTTTGTGTCGCTATTGGAAGACCATCTGGACCTGGGTAGCCTGATGTGGCACCCACCTCAATGATATCGATCTCTGGCACTCCTCTTCCCGTCCCTGGCGTTGGATGATCCTCACCAGGGCAGGTGCACGAGTTCAGTCGTTGTCCAGGCAAGTGAGACAGGCCGTCAGGGCTAGATTGGTTGGGCGTGATGCCAGCGTCGCAAGCTTGGTAAGTGTAGGGCCACAGGCCATCGGTTGTACTCAAGTAGCCTGGCCGGCCGAGGTTGCCCATCGTCCACGCACCAGGCCAAAGTCCTTGTACACCGGCTGGACCTGGTAGTGATACTGAGACTTCGAAGATGCCACCTTTGAAGCACAGCTGATTCCAACTGTTCAGCATTCCAGACCGAAACTTGAGGCCGTGATTGAAGAACTCTTCCAAGCGCAGCTGGAGTGTGCCGTCGTGGGTGGTAACAGCATCCGGATCGTACCATTCAATATCCTGCGTCGCGCCATACCACACGTTGGGTGCATAGAAGTACGGGTCGTCTCCTTCGTAGAACGTACGATTGTTGTCGTTGAACTCGTCGCTGAAAACCAGCACGTATTCGTCGCCGAACTCCCCAGTTCTTGTTTTCACAGAGTCGGGTGTGTCCGGGTCAATCAGGCCCTTACGTATATTCTCCAAAAGTGGGTATCTTTTGTTGTTGACTGTTGCCCAGATTTGAGGTCTCCATGGATTAGGAAACATACTCAGCGGCATGCCGTAGGCTGAGTTATAGTCGATAATGCCTACTGCGGAAAGCACTGGAAGTCCGACAAATATAAATAGTAGCCCACATATCATAAACGCTAAGCCGATGGTGGACATGATGCTGTCTCTTGTGAAATGGTCGCGTATCCTGGGTTTGAACTTGATGTCATCATCATCGCGAGGCATGTGCATTTCATCGTCAGCTTCCTCTTGATCGCACACGAGTGGCCAAGAGGCCATTCCCTTTTCCTCGTATGGCGCCGTCAATCTATCGTCAATAAAGGACACATTCTTCTTTGTGTCGTACAGGTCATGAGCGTTTTCATTGAGTCCCGTCGCAGAGTCATTGGGGGTAAGAAACGGATTGGTCAGCGGTAAACCAGGCGGCGGAGTGGTGGTGCGCGAGTCCACACCCAGCCTACCGTAAGACCGACGTTCTGACAAGGAAGTCCTTCGACTACGGCTGGGAGTACTAGTGGCGGCGTCTGAAAAGGGATTGAAGTAGCGAGTATAGTCGGTGCCCAGATCTTGTAAAGTGAGTGGAGTGCCAGGAGAGCGAGGTGCTTGGCTTGATAAGTCTATCGTACTCCTCGCCTTTGGTGTTCTCAGGTGAGTCCGGGGCGGAAGGCGCAAGTGAAGCCGACCCGCCGTGGTGCGCGGTCGATTCTTCTTCGTCTGCGTCTCATCGCTCGAGAGCACCTCGTTCCCTTCCGAGCTTTCATGGCTCGCCGATCTGGAGTTTGCAAGCGGCGAAGGCACAATAGGCGCAAAGGGCAAGGGGGAGGAGGAGCGCTCTGCCAACGGGCGGATACCGAAATCGAAGCCATGATCAGAAGCCGGACTCTGACTGCCGCTCGAATGGCTAATCAGTGGCTTCTCGGCTGCTCCTGCTTGCCCGGATACTCCTTCTGTGATGGTGTTGTGGGGAAACGCAACTTCCCGTTCTACACCTGAGCTCGACGACGACCGTCTGGGCTGCTCATCTCGACTTTGTGGTGATTCTGAGTATTCCGAGGATGTGTGCGAGGCGACTCTTCGTATGGACGCCATTGGCCCCGCTTCCTTGGGCTATGAGCGACCGAATGGTGTACGCGCCGGCGGTTTGCCTCACAGCCGGCCCTATGTCGTGCAGCTCACACCAATTGCGACGTCGTTAGTAGTGTTTTTGTCGATAGAACGCTTTGCTATGTATCGTATAGAATGGGCGAGCAGAAGATATCTGGAGGCGAAGAGCCGCGAGCGTACGGTGCCTGACGTCGAAGGGTAAGTTGCCAGTCGGAGAGCTTTGACGCGGTGAGACGTGAGAAGTGGATATAGCAGCTGTAAGTGAGCAACACAGAGAGCGGGGTGCTTGCGGGCAGGGAAAGTCGTGGACGTGAGCGATATAACTTCCAAGGGGTCCAGTGGTAGCAACAGTGAGTAGCGATGTTGGCCTGGCAAGCGCGTTGATTGTTTGAGCGGAAATACAAGCCTATAGCAGCTTTGATGGTGAAGGCGGATTGACGACCACACAGCCAATCACAGCTTCCCCAACGGTAGCCAACGTGTAGCTGTCGCAGTCCCGAAGATAGGCAGGAACCGTTCCCTGCGCCTGTGCTGTGTTGCGCGTCGGACTCTCCTCATGCTTTCACCACACCCGGACCGTTGCTGGCACAACTCTGCTGTTGAGGACTGAAAAGGTGCCATCACCGTCGCGACCGGAGAAGAGTCCCCAATTCATGATGTATTCGACTCGCATGTCGTACTTTGTTCCGATTGCTCGAACCGTGGAAGGCACCATAGATCAGTAACACGCTTACCTCATGACAGCCCTGATCCACTGTCCTCGAGACGGACAGCCTCTGAAGGTACTTGAGACGTTACACAATAACGGTGTGCTTGTACACTTAGCACGAGGCAACCCGTACGTGCATTTCTCTTTTGATAAGTCGCAAGCATGCCAAGCCCGCATGTAGCACGACACCGCAAAATGTGCATGCTGTACGTGTACATATTTCCAACATCACAAAGGTGCCGTTTCTATCGTGAACAGTATCGGCGCGTCCGTCTCGACTCTTACATCGTTCGCTTTAACGTGGTTGCTCGTACTGACCTGGCCACCCATTTGCGTGTCCCACTCCTTGACATCCCACTCTAGCCCTTCGGTAGAGATAACCGCTGGCCCATATATAGGAAGAAACCCCACGTTCTCTGTGAAAGTGCCACTTTCTTGGATCCCTCTTAGCAGAGTCTCTCCGCTCCTCAGTACAAAACTCAGACTAGACTCAGAGAATAGCCATAAACGCAGGTCGGTATGTTTAGTCTGTTCCCTGTACATTTCGTTCAAGAGTCCAAGGCCCTGGTCAACCCTCCCACCCAAGGTACCAAGAACAATGACATCTCGCACGGCTGAGGAAGCAATACGCAACGAAATTTTCTGCATGCATTTTCCAAAATCGGTGCTGTACTGGTCACGGTCTCGTAACACAGGAACACCTCTTGCTTCGTAGTACTCGCGTACATCATCGCGTAACGAGTCCAAGTCCCCATGAATCATATCGGGTAGCTACAAGTATCAGCAACTAATATTAACATTAAAGACCACAATTCTACTCACGTATTGTTCACGCTGCTGGATCAAATCATCCTTCAGCATATCGAAAAGTCTATTGGCGCCGCCATCGGCACATATGCGAAAGCCAGTGTGTTTCCAAAGACGTAAAAATGCAGTGAAGTGGGCTATTGGCTGATTTAAGATGAGAAGGTCAGGAGGATTCGACGTTTTCTCGGGGTGGGCGCTTTCCGCGAGAAATCTAGCAGGGTACAACTCGCTGATCCCTCGTTCTGCCATGCTCTTGATGTCCCTAGGATGCTGAAAGATTGATGTAGTGATACAGATGATAGCGTGAATGGAGCAGTTGATGAGATTGGTCGAAACTGCGGACCCTGGAGGATGTGCGTGATGCAGAGGCAGGCGCGATGCAGATGTGCCCGATCGACTAAGCTGCAAATGTGCTAGTCTCTACTCGTGCGAGGACCCCCTAGTGACCTTTAACATTCAGATATGTATAACTACCACGGTTTTGATATATACCCGTATCTCTTTGCGTACAATTCCATCTATGTATAACGTGTTGGGTTCCACTCTGGGCTCCTCGCTGCTCGTTCCTGCAGCTATACGTGATGGGAAGCTGCGGTCTGCAAAATGGTATGCAAAACGCACGATGAAACCCCATTGTCATGGAGTCGCAAATTTACAACCAATTATATTCAGAAGCGACTCAGTCTCAAGATGATGACTCTTAGGAAAGAACTTCCCACACAAGCTGTGCTCGTGCGATGGCCCTATGTTGGTCAATTTTAGTTTACCTTTCGGACACTTGTTAGCTCACCGCTCGAATCTTTCGTAACGAGAGAGCATCTGCGTCTATGACTACATCTGGGTATTATGGGCACTGCTCGCAAGTGAACTTCCGGACGTCGATCGTTCCGGAAAGGTCTGTCTTTAGGCGCAGCGATCCTAATCATCGTTGGCTTATAACAGGGCAATCACAACAGGAATTTCTCAAGTCCTGAATCCTGGAGGACGAATCCGCGATCCTGTAGATGCTCTGTTTCCTGTCCGAGGTCATGTGTTAGTGTCAATCACAAATCGGAGAAATGTCTACATGTTGTCACTACAAGAACCAACTTCCTTTTTTGTGTATCTGTGGGAATCTGTATGAGAGATCAAAGCCTTCTGGGAAATGATTGTGACTCTGTTCGAGATTACGTTTATGGGAGTTGTTGTTCAAATAACGCTCCGTGCACCTTTCGGAAAATGACGTGGAGCAACCCAGCCTCCCGGCCGCGCCGCGTTCACGAGCGAAACAACATACATTGCTACTATGTCGATCAACATCGTCGCCGATATCGCTCTTCCACAAAGAAACAGTTTTCAAGAGCCTGCCACACTAAGCGTCTTAAGGCTGCCATGGCCTCGCTCCATACAAAGCAGGGGGCACACGATGCAACCTTGCTACAATGCGCCACTCCCCATAGTCCGTTCGCGTCATTAGCTTATATCTACAACAATAGCCTTGTACGAGGCACCACGACGCCTCGCCACCGACTTTCCAGCCCTGATCTCTATCCGCTCTCCTTATGTAGGCATCCGCAAGACTATCTTGCGCCTGCAAGGGGATATCGCTGATAACGTTTTCGATGCTAGGATAACAAGGGGGTATTGCATACGAACCTGTTTGATTTCAGCTTACACGTGCCTACTGACTACCAGTCAATCCATATGGTTGAGCTTTATTTCAGATTTCAATGCAACGAATCGCACTAGGCACACGTTGGAGATGAATACGTACTCAGCCAACCACCTGGACTGCTAAGGCTCGAGCCACACCACAAGTTGTGTACGGTCTGTCATCGTGGATATACCGAAACCCAACAGCGCGAGTCCTGTCAGCACGCAGAACACCCTTGTTACTACTCACCCGCTGGGGCACTATCCACCATGGCTATGCACCCAAGGCACGCCCGAGGTGGCGTATCGTGCTAGCTGCTCCCAGTAGCCACATCTAGCTAAACTACTCCAAGACACTCTGGCTCAGCTTTCAGCCCTGTGGACAACGCCTCATTGGTACTGGAACGGTCCCTTTACTATGTAGGATTTTCGGCAGGAGGTGAGTATCTTAGCCCGAAGCTTAGCATCACGCAAGCCGAACGTCGTAGACGATCAGTCATTGAGTGAATCTCTTGATCCTCGTTCTGTCTGACTCTCTAAAATGAACAAGTCCAACACGGCTCAGTCGACAAGCCCCTGAACAATTCCTGAGCTTCAGCATATTTTATTCAGAACGCTCGCACTTTTGATCGGTTGACTGTCCCTTTCCAACGTTGACTCGAAGCGTACGGTGACAATAGTGGGCGCGTGCGGCATACAACAGTTCAATTTCTCCCACCGAACCAAACATTCGAATGCGATGGATGTAATGGCCTCCATTGCTTCACGAGGCTCGTCTTTTCACGTATATACTCAGCCTCAGCAACACAACCCGTACGCTAGAATGCCGTCAAGAAGAGCGATTGCATGCGTTACATGCGCCAAAGCAAAGACTAAGTGCAACAAAGCGGTATGTGAGAATCGCGTACATTTCGCATGACCAAATTTCCCAACACTAACACTTCGTAGTTACCTTCATGCTCTCGGTGCATCACTAAAGGTATCAAATGTCAACCGAGATCCACTCGTCGCACATCAGACAACCACGGTCGATCAAGCGTCAAGAAACAACCTAGATTACCGAGATATCCTGCTGTCAAAGCTATCTCAAATCGACACTTACATGTCTCGTCTGTTAGCTTACCTGTGTCCAAAGAGCCTGGAATTACCTCTGCTACACCTTATGTTGATTCCGAACGTACCGCAACATCTGGTTGTCAGGATTCAGGACTTCCGGGCTTTCCTATGCTCGGTCCGATCCTATCGCAAGGGCCACAAGTCTCCTACAACTGCTATGCTCATGTGGACGGCCCCATGTATGACCCGAGCATCTTCGCGCGGCCTATAGATATGGACAATCATCTCTACCTAGGCGCTATATCACCACACACACCCAGCCCAGTCACCCTTTACGAAAACGTATCCGTATTGAACGATCTGGATTATCACCAGTACGATGATTCGTGGTCTGATGAAATGCACATGTTAGATGGATTTGGTTTCGAAGTTAGTGCTGCAGGTTTTCTACCGGAGACATGGGTTGTACCAAACTCCACAAACATGGTGCCAACAGAGCAGGTACCATGGTCTCTTTATGACCTCCCGGATCTACTGCAATACAAGCCAGACGAATCGGTATCACATCTCGGTGGGATGGCCTCTTCAGCCCAGTACCAATTCGGAAATGACCTGGACTCAATTCAACCTGAATCGACGTTTTACAGACCTACTGTCACCGACATGACAGTCCTCACTTCAGCACCGTTCATGTACGACTTGAATGCAGCGACAAGTTATGCACCAGTCTGGGAGGGCCGACCTATTCCATAGCGATGCTATTGTTACACTTGACGATGTACACTCACGGTACGTTGACGCTCTGCGATGTGTGTATCACACAGTACATATTTCTATCAGTATCGCCGTTTTTGTCGCTGTTTTCTCTTCCCACCTGCAGTGTCCATTCTGCTTGCGGCCCCATGCTATGAGCGGCCTTCTGCATTAGCCAAGAAACGTGTTTACTACCTTTTCCACCAGAATCCTGGTATGTACACTATTCCAAGTGATGCAGCCAGGCTCGTGGCGTTCAGAGGTGTAGTCGGTTAGTCTTACCACGCGAGCGGTTGAACGGCTAAATCTATCTCCTTCACAAGATTGGTTCTCGCACACCTACTCATCACCGATTCTCCGTGCATCGGGTGAGCCCCAGCGAGCTTGCGCCTCACCGCAAGCCCACTGTGATAACGCTGCTACCCATTTCTCCCACGCGAAAAGATCATCCTGCCTCCACTACCATACTCTTATCAGAGCCATGGTTTGTCTGGTATGATCTTCAACCATGCAGCCGAGGTCACACAAGTGCTAATCATATGGCACCGACGGAATATCTTACACGAGCCTTTCGTCTTCATCGGACTTCACAACCCATTTGCCATCCCGAATCACTGGCGACCTTCCACGGTGATACTTGCATTGCTTACGTGTTTATGCCACATCAAACTCCTAAGGTCTACGCTGAAGAACTCAAAACAAGGTACCAAAATGCGTATACCTTTTTGCGCATGAGTACCTCGTGGCTGCAGGCATGGTGCCTGGACACAACATTTGAGATGCATACGCGAAAGAGGCACAAATCAAGCAAAGCCTGGTTCAGTTTGTTGCTATGTAACCAGGAGAATATTGTATGAGTGGGCCGCGCATTGATTGGTAGATGTAGAAGACTGGCTGGGAATAGCGAATCAGGGTTTCACGCGCACCTGTCAGTGGCTGATCACTGGTTCAACACACGGCCGTAATGAGGAAGTTTTTTCCCAATTGGACGGCTGCGTCACAGCTTCAGATGCGCCCTGACATCATTTGAGACGTTCATGAGGAAGGATGAACTACTATATATAGTGCAACCTGTTGCTTTTCACTCTGAACACTGCTTCGGCCCGTTGCGGAGGCCTAATCGCTACAACCTGACGGACCGTCCCATCGTTCACGCATCATGCCGCATCTCTTGCGAACACAGTGCCGTGGCCACTCACACAGCGGCTAGAACGCCACGGCGCTTGTCAGACACGGGCACAGCTCATCCGTAAAGGATGCGTATGGCTTACTCGGCAGATCCTGCAGTTGTATTCCATCCCTAGTAGCAGTATTGGCGCCATTTAGCGGTATGCAGTATCATGTCTAGGCCTTCTTGAACTCTTGATCCTTCAAGTCACTTCGTATCACAGCAAACCTTGTAGGTCCTCCGAGCAGGCAGTGTCGCGTCCCTCCTGGTGGCTTGCTCTCGATGGGTAGTGTCATCCCCAACTGCAGGTACTGTTTTCCTTCGTCGTTCGTGTCATCATTATGTGTGTGTATGGATGAGTGCTCTGTCAGAGTGCAGGAACGATGAACACTCAAAGGCACAGGCGCACAGGATTCGTGTTGCTCATACTACCCACACGATCAATGCGATGACTACCGTACGGGAAATGTTACCAGCTCACTGGATTCCGCAACCACCAACCCGGTAGCAGTTGGTCGTATCTGCGGCCATTCGGGTCATATAACCGTTCCTCCGGCCGCTGGAAGCACTACTTGAACGCATGAAGGCAAGACCGTAGTCTCGCTACCGCTGGCCCTTGTCAACTTACGAGGTTTGGGTCACTGATACAACCCGGGTCGAACAGGTGACATGTCCTCAAGCCATGATCACCGCCATCATGTGTGCTGTATCTTACTATTTCGATAAATATTTGGCTTTCTTATTGGCTGTCTCCGTGCTCACTCCCGTCTCCTTCGCTTCGTAGACATGCTCGCTTACGGCACGGACAATGGGTTTATAGCTAAATACGCCTCCACTGGTAACGCATTACCATTTTTTGTTTGCATCAGTTCTGAGCACACCACTCACCGAGAAGCCAAGACATCACTCCCACCACTCCGGTAGCAAATAGAACCTTGCTTTTCTCAATCTAGGAACAGGGAACAGGTCACATAGGCAACTGAGATGGCCCATCTACACTAACAGAGCCCCTTTGTGGCACGGACACTGTTTCAACAAGGATGGTGGAGGTGGGTGTGGTCTGTGAGACATGAGCTTGGTAGGAATTAGTCACTTCGAATATGATCGGGCCGAGCTATAGCACATGGAATTGGGATCTAGTGTAGGTAAGGTGAATGCTCTCTCTATCAACATCAAATCTATCGCTGGGATCCGGTCGCTTTGATCAGGCCGTTACAGCCCTTGTCACATAGAGCAACGATGGACCACGATCTTGCGGTCTGTGCAAGAGGTTTTGCTGGTGAAAGACGACGTAGCAAGGCAGAAACGGTGTGACCGCGTTGGCCGGTGAGATCGAGAGCAGAGTAAGGTGTCCTCAGCCGAGGATAACAGGGCAAGTCTTCACCCCGACAGTCTTTTTCGTCCACCAAAGATGGGTGATCAGCTCTCTCCTAGCGGCAGGTTCCAGCTGAGATAAATCTCGTAAGATGCTACTTGCCTTATCCACGCCGTCTCGTTCCAAATATCTTGATCCTTCCCGTGTCGTCCCGACCCTTCCTTCCCGCAGCAAATACTTCCCAAGGACTGCCATTTGACTCAGCACTAGCTCAACCGTACCTAGTCAACGGTATTTCCGCGTGATCGAAACAAGATGATGGTGTGACCAGATACCGAACGACCCACCACCGACGCGTAATCGCCCTAACATGCTGACGCCTTGGCTTGGTTCTAGGACTCGCGCCACGTTACTCACCTCGCGGAAAACGAATACGATATTCACCCGGTTGAGAAGGGTGCGAGGAGAACATTGGGACATTATGCTCGTCTGATCTACAAGACCTAGATGTGGTGGCGAAGAGGGCTGCTGCGGTTACTTAACCACAACGCGTAGAGCGGTAGCCGAATGCGGGCTCAGGAAGGAGTGAGAGTAAGTGTGGCGTCTGACAAAACGCGATAGGACTGCACAGTAACCACTCCGAGAATCGGAATACAAGCGAAGCTCTGTCCCCTCGGGAACCGGGGGAACAATACTCTTGTTGGTCGAACCATGGGAATGTATTTTGGTATTCGAACTGTCCCTAGAATTTCAAGACGTCTCAATAGCCTTGGTAGGTGAACAGTAGTACCCGTCTGTTTTTTTCCTGATGGTTCTCATCCATCTATGGGGCAGATAGCACGTATCTTATCAACGTATGGCTGAAGTACCGGTTCCTCGTCTCTTAATACAGGAAAAAGAGTGTTGAGATTGTCGACCTCACGTCTTACGGCCTCGTCAGTCATGTCTTGTAATGGGGTGATGAATTCGCATGTCGTGCGCCGAGCCACAATGACTTGAGCATGCTTCTCCTGTGCCAACGTCAGTTCTCGCTACCGAATGCAAACATTGTCTATGATTATACATGGTCGCGCTAGACCAAAGCGACTACGCAGCAACATATGATAGTCTAACATACCTCAAGAATATGCTCACACACCTCCACGTACTCCTCAGCTTCCCAAAAGCTAAACCCTACGACCACAGAAATCTGCCTCAGGACCTTCCCGTTTCTGTACTCCTCAAATTGCAACCGTCCATGTTCCAGATCGGATCGGACTTTCCAACGCCTCGACACCTGAAGCGACGTAAAGTTCTGCAACATGTTGTACAACAAAGAAAGAGAAAGGAAAGGTTGTGTGCCGTCATGAACAATACAGATCCTGTTCAACTGCTTGATATCTCTTTCCCACATGATTCGCCACAATAACTGAACAATGAGCTCTCGGCCTGGGCCTCCAATGCCTTTCTCGTGATGTTCTGGGCGGTAGCGGATGAACAGTTCTTCTAGACCTGTGAGACCTGCACGAGCAAATCCGAAGCTCTTGACGCGTCTACGGTTCACGTCTGCCGTATACGCTTCCGTGAGATCACAGGGAAGCCTGATTTGAAGTTTTCGGACAGTTGATGTGGACGCTGGGGATAAGGCGCTAGTTTTTCGGCTCAACTCGTCTGCCGGCGACCACTTGGTGTTGAAAATTGTTGCGGACCAGGCAAGTGCGTGATATTCCTTGTACAGCTGGCGACATGTCGACGACAGTGCCAATGGAGAGTTGCACACTGGAAGAGGTGCTGTGCCGGGGTCGCGGACGAAGACGTAGTTTATGATCTGATTCTTTAATTCACCCGGTAGCAGAACAAGAGACGATCTTTGCGTCATTGTCATTGAGATCAGTCATTTGAAACGTAGACATGCGAAGAACGCGTAGGAAACGTGCACCGAAACTTTCCTGACGGCGAATTCGGTGGGTTAGTGATGATGTCGCCGTGGCGGAGCGCGTGTCATGCCATGTGGGGCTCACTGTTGACACTTAGTCAAGATTCAAGGTCTCATATCGAGATTGCCTCGGATTCTGCACTCACTCATCACTATTGATTGATGATTTCCATAGAGATTTCAGAACCTTTGTTGTACGCTGGAGCCTAATGACACACCTCTATGCATAACTATCACGCAAACTCGACAAGTGCTCTTTAAAAAGGCTCTCTCTGCTGTGCTTCACCGACAGCCCACTTCTAACACAATCCCACGCAGCATGGCATCAAGGTATCATTCTCTCGTCCAAGATTTGCTTGATGTACGAGGTGTCAGAAGCTTAGATAAGCTTTGCGCCCAATATAGGCATCGCCACCATGCGCGACTCCGGCCAAACTCACCTGGGACTCACGCTGCCTCCCCGGTTTCCCTCGGTGTGCACCTGAACAAATGAGCTGAAACATATTCAACATGAAATGGACCACCAAACAGTTCGTCAGCTCGCGACCGCTGCAACATAATAATGCTGCCTACCCCGCCTAGGCTTGGGTCGATGTAGCACCTTGGGCGATTTGGCGTTCATCTACTCACTATCAAATCGGGATGGAAATCTACAGTGCACAACCAAACTGATGTTATTAGCGATAGGAGTTTGCACTGTCTTCAAGATCAAATTTCGCGTGTGTTCTTTTGAGTCGTGAGGACTCATGTTAGGCGTTTCGCTCTATAGAAGAGGCTTGATCGAGACATGACCATTCGTCTGTAAAGTTACAAGCACCGACAGCTGGATAAGACTGTTGAGATCCACTGGATTTCAGTACACAGGGCCGCGTATCCATGCCAGCAGCTGTCTTAGAGGTTAGTGTTTTTATGCTATTAGTCACTTCGCTCTTGCTACACACCAGCGCACATTGTCCGTAAACCCATGATGTTTTTTGAATCATTCGCAAATGGCCTCTGAGATGTTTTCAACCACCTTGTCGTGAGTAACGCCATCTCTCAGGAGCTTCAACAAGTTCGCGACGTCTCCGGCAACCCCGGACCTTACGATGACTTCTTGCTCGAAGCCTTTCCCATCTACAGGCCTGGGAACACAAATTTTACTTGCGGCCGAGCTCCGTTTGCAGTCCACAATGCCGATATTATGGAGATAGCCGCCATTGTTGCTGAAGCAAGGTGGGGGCTCATGTACGGGTGTGTCAGCGGTGACTACCATGGATGGATCGATGTTGGCGACCCAAAGATCCAAGATACTTCCATGCAACTGTGGAGCTATTACCGCGATGGCGCAGGATCATTAGCCTTCTCGTGATGTCGGGTGCTAGCTGCTAGCGAGCGGATGTTTAGCTGGAGTGGCCGGCTCAACCTTCCGAGGCTACCACGCTACGTCGCACTACAAAGTCACTCGCACGTTGTCGACCATGGTATGCACGACAGTGACGTTGTAGACACGATAGCCCATGCAGCGGATTGCATCATGAAGAATGCAAAGCAGAAGGTGAGAAGTGGAAGGCGGATCGGACATACGGCTGTGGCGGCGTTGAGCGACAGCCAGGGCAGTCATAGTCTGTCCGCAGATGACAGTCGACAGGATGGGTAAGGCGAAGAGACGAAGAGTAAGAGAGCAAGAAAGTGCAGGCAAGCTCAGTGTTCAACTGCAGTCTGTCTTGTTTTGTCTTATCGCTGTACCGGATGGGCTAGGAAGCGTGGTGCATTTGATGGCGTTCGGCGGCATATCCTGGCATGTAGCGTCATGATTATTTCGCATCTTCAGCATCTTCAGCATCAACCCTGTCGTCAGCCTCGCGACCCGCCAACGGCTGCAAAGATTGTGTATCAACACCACCATGCTGAGATAACGAGGGCGCGCAGTGCTCTACCCCTCCCTGGACGTGAATTTGGCGCATCGCCACTACGGTGGTGGCAGATCTTCCGAGGCAGCCGGGTGCGTGTAGGGTCCCTGCGGTGATCCTGTCGCTCGTCACTTCACGATTTACGACTAGACTCGGCTCTCCTTGGCAGCTTGCGACGCCCTTTCCTCAAACACCCAAGCACTCCCGCCGTGCATTCTCTGCACTCAACATATCGACGGAGCCTCCATGGACTGCTGCAGCGCTAGTTCGGTATACGAGTGCCATATTTGAGCCCATTGAACCCCCACAGTCGCTTCAGATCCCCCCCGGAAATTTGCCGAGTCGTATACCCACGCCGAGGGAAGGTGCGCTCGAGGCTGCACTCGTCGACACGCCAGACGGCAGGCACGACTCTCGTTATCCCGCCCAGCACACTGCTAGATGCGACGGCGCTCGTCCGCAGACCCAAGCTCCGAGCAGGGCCACGCCGATTCCACCGCCGACCATTCACCCGCTCCAGTTCCGGAACATGAGGATAACCTCGACCGCCAGACTGAGGCATCGCTAGTGAACGTACAGGGCTGGGCCAACAAGGGCAGGCCAAAGGACGAGGCAGGCGGGTCTGCACAGCGTCTGGCCACGGACCCAGTCGCTGCATTCCACTCTCCCACCGCTCCACGACTGCCTCCACTCATGGCGCACCACAACGCCGACTCAACCATCGGCGCGCTGGCCAAGGACACCCCGCCGCACACCATGGTCGCGCATCGCAACGAGAAGTGGCGCCAACGCCTGCGCTCTCCCTGGGCATGTTCGCCCTACACCGTCTTGACCACCCTGGCCGCCTTCATTGCCATGTTTCTCATGGCCCAGTCGTTTTTGACCAGGCAGCTGGACGTCAAAGGGTGTGGAATGTCTTACATGCGGCCTACCTACTCAAGGTTCAGCAACTTCGACACTGAACACACGCGCTTTGCCAGCAAATACTCGTTGTACTTGTATCGCGAGGGCGGCTTGGACGAGGATACCAGGGCATGTGCTTCCCTTTGAGTAAAGGGAAATTTACTGACAATCCTCAGGTCAAGGGCGTGCCAGTTCTCTTCGTTCCCGGGAATGCTGGCAGCTACAAGCAAGTCCGCTCCCTTGCTGCCGAAGCTGCATACCACTACCACAACACTGTCCAACACGATGCCGATGCCGGCAAGGCGGGGAAAAGGCCACTAGATTTCTTTTCAGTCGATTTCAATGAAGACATCACCGCCTTTCACGGCCAAACATTGCTGGATCAGGCCGAATACCTCAACGACGCCATTACGTACATTCTATCCTTGTACCACACCCCAGGAAAGTTTCTCCGTGACCCAAGCCTGCCGGATCCAACCTCGGTCATCGTGGTCGGACATTCCATGGGCGGTGTTGTCGCGCGTACTATGCTCACCATGCCGAATTACCAGGCCAACTCGATCAACACCATCATCACACTTGCTGCACCACATGCCAGACCGCCAGTGTCCTTTGACGGAGATATTGTTCGCACCTACAAGGGTGTGAACGATTACTGGCGACGCGCCTACTCGCAGAAATGGGCCATTGACAACCCGCTCTGGCACGTCACGCTCATCTCGATTGCAGGAGGAAGTTTGGACACTATGATTTCTTCCGACTATGCCAGCATCGAGTCGCTGGTGCCTGAGACTCATGGGTTTACTGTATTCTCCACGTCGATGCCGAACGTCTGGACTGGGATCGATCACCTAGCAATCACTTGGTGTGACCAGCATAGGAAGGCTGTGGTACGCGCCTTGTACGAAGTCATTGATGTGTCACGCGCAACCCAGACTGTGCCACGAGCCGAGCGTATGCGCGGCTTCAAGAGATGGTTTCTGACGGGACTGGAGGATATTGCCGAGAAGACTTTACCCCAAAAAGAAGCCAAAACGCTTCTCACGCTCGAAGAGAATAGTGCTATCATCTCAGAAGGCGAAAAGCTAGTGCTCAGAAGTCTTGGAAAGTCCAAGCAACGGCCCAATGCGCACCTCATCCCCGTACCGCCTCAGGCTGCAGGAAAGAAGTTTACACTTCTCACCAGCGAACCCTTGGACCACCCTGGAAATCATGGCCTGCTTGAGGTGCTGTTCTGCAGTGTATTTCCATCGCAACCCGGCCAGTCGACTACACTATTTTCTATGAACATGGATCTCTCGGGCGACAGTGTCGGTGCCACACGACTTGCCTGCAAGAATGCCGCCTCAGATGTCATCGCACTTCCCGCCTCGACGCGTCACTCGACCCATCCGTTCAAGATGGACGAGCGCCCTTTCTCATATCTCCAATATGATCTCGAAGATCTGGCAGAGCATCAATTCGTAGCAGTCGTTGATAAGGCTGGTGAGCGCAGCACAGGCTGGGTAGTCGCCGAATTCAGCGCTGCCCCTGAATCTCAGATCGTCGTTGATATGGGCTTACAGCGCCTTCTGACGACTGGCATGTCTCTGAGGCTTCCAGCACAGCGTCCACTGATGTCGGACATCAAGATTCCAGCTTTGCACTCTGCTCTTCTAGCCTACAACATCCACATTGGCAAGCAGTCGTGCGACGCAGGAGAGCTCTTCGCTCCTCTACTGCGGCAGTACGTTACCGACATCTACGAAAGCAAGTTCTTCGTCAATGTCAAGGATGCTAGCATCAACCTACATGGTGTATCGCCATACATGCCACCTGCTCTGCACGCTAAGCAGCCTTCGAATGGTTTATCACTACAGATTTGGTCTGACCCCACTTGCGATAGCAGTGTCGAGATCAATTTGAATGTGGATATACTAGGCAGTTTCGGAAAGCTCTGGATGCGTTACCGCATCGTCTTTGCCGCATTCCCAATCCTGGTCGTTGCCTTGGTTTTACGCCAACAGTTCAGAACGTACGACAACAGTGGAGTCTTTATGAGCTTTACTCAGGGACTAAATGAGTGTCTGAAGAGTTCACTTCCGCTCGCTCTGTCTGCACTTACATTTCTGTCGATTGCGCTAGCAGGCGCTCAACATCAGTCAAAGC